GCAGACGGTTGAGATTCTCGTCAAAAGTAACCCAGTCATTTTTCAGTCCCATATGATATGTCATGGCATTGATGTATCCAATCTGTATCGGGAAGGGAAGGGCACGAAGAGGTTTGGCGTAGATAGGCTGAAGAAATCTTTCTTTGTAGGGCTCGACGAGCTGCCACACCTCACAGCCAGCAGCTTTCGCAATAAGTTCCAGCGAATTTTTGGCTGTCTCGCGGACAAACTTGTTCATATGAGAAAGCTCATTGTTGAACTGCATACAGATTTGGGCGAGGCGGGGCTGCTTGGCCTGCGGTTGACCAGGTTGCTGCTGGATTGGCAGGGCATCTTCCTTCTTGATGTTCTTAGTGATGCGCCTGAGCAATACTTCCAGACTTGTCTGTGCAAGGCATCTCGTCTTTTCCGGGAGGTCCAGCGGCATATCCTTGATGACGTACATCAGAGCGCGAATGAATTCAGTCTGCTTAGACGTCACCCAAGCATCGCCCAAGTCAAGTTCTGTGAGCAGAAAGTTGATGCCAAGGCTTCCCCCCGTCTTTGTGAACCACTCTTCCTCGTAGCAACTGTGGCAAAAGGTATTGCTTAGGTGGTTAAAGAGATGGAGACGGCCGACATTGCTCTCGGAGCCAAGAATGAGAGCCGTGCATTTGTAAAGTTCCCGGATCGCCTGCTGCGCCGCTTCCCGGACGTCTGGGTGATCTGATGCCAAGGATTCGACGATTGCATCCGACAAGACACGGGTGTCAATAGTTAGCGGACCTTCGCCGGCTTTCGGGTCAAAGGGGTTATAGTTTCGCTTCAGGTCGATCAAAGATCTGCCCACTTCAATGAGAACGAAATGCCGGCACACGTCAAGGAGAAAGGCGCCGGATTCCTGCTTAACATCTGGTATTGACTGCGAAAACATGACCGCCTTGAGCAGTTTCTTGGTGATTTTGTCTTGCTCATCTTTCTTGGGGATGGATTTTTCACGGCTCGACACTTCGAATGGAGCGAAGTTGATATCCATCTTGCGATTCAAGAAATCTTGTGCCTGGAGTCTAACAATGCGAGGGAAATCTTCGGGAAGCTGGTCGAACCCGATACGCAGCTTCAGCTGAGTCTTGATAAAATGAATGGCCTGTTTCTTGTAGTACTCGTCATACTGCCGATTCTGGGCATTAGCCTTATTGTGCCGAGGAACCTCCATCAGCTTTTGTATTGCAAGATCGATGCCCAGGTCAGCTGGAAAGGCTCTGTCCTTCTTGGAACCGATGAGTCGCAATTCAAAGCTTGAGGCATCGTCGGCATAGTTGGTATATGTGAGAGGAACAGCACCCGTCATGAATTTACGATTTCTACCTCCAAGTTTTCCCAAGATGCGCATGGTGGTATGCGCATGAAAGTGGCTGTAGGGGTGTGGTTTTAGATGATCAAACAGGGCAGTCATGAGCTCATCAATGACAGGTGCCATGATGGGATCGAGATAATCTGCCGTCAGATTGTCGACACAGAGCTCCAACGTTCGGAGACCCTGCCCAACAAGGTCCGTGCCGGCCCGAAGAGCAACTACCAATGGGCGCATGAGGAAACTCAAATGAGGCAGCAGGTGACTGAGCCGCGCCGGGACGGTAAGGCATAGCTCAACGTAGAGGTCTCGCTCGGACGGTTTTCGTGCAGCCATGAGCAGATTGTTGAGAACATCCAGCAGCATCTCTAGCAAGGGCAATATCTGCTTATAGAGTTGCTCAAACTTGCCACCACCGATGCTCCTAAAAAGGGACCGTAGCAGAAGGAAGTAGTTCATAGGCTCCTCTGCCTTGGTTGACAGCTCTATCGACTTTGTGACAATGCTGACCACGTGAGGCAATAGAACTTGTTCGTTCTGTGTGGCGAACAAAGTCACCGCCATAAAGGCGAGTTTGAAGAGCCGCAACAAAATGGACGATTTCTTAACGTCCGCAGAGCCAACCTCGTCAATTCTTTCCATGAGAAACTGCAAGAGCATGCCGCAAAAACTAGGAGATGTTGCCTCGCTCGCAAGGAAAAACTGAGGTATGTGGAGCAGAGCTGTGTGCTCGAAAACCATGTCATAGAGATGCGGGATCTCCTGCTGGAAGACTTCATGGAAGGTTGCTGGGTCGATGCAGTGAAAGACGGTGGCGAATGTTTCCAAGAGGTCTTTTTCTTCCTTACTACTGGAGACCATATAGAAATTTGCCATGTATTCGACCGGTGATACATACTGATTCTCAGTAGCCGGCTTCTCAATCTCATAGTATCTGAACACATAGGCGCCCTCTCGGAACAACTTGATAATAACGTTTACCTCTTCTGCAGTGAAACCATAGGCGACCTCTTGCCAATGCGGTGGCGCATTAGCAGGGTCAATCGGTGTGCCAGTGTTACACGTTCTCAGCTGGTAGAATGTGTTCTTCAGCCCATTCATAAGGTTTCTGAAGAGAAATTTATTATCTCCGACAGGGTCGGCTCCTCGATCTCGGGGATTGGAAATTTTGATGGGTACTGCGGAAAAGATGTCGGTTTCGTCCCAATCCGGCGGGTGCTCCTTGTCAGCAAGATATGATTCAGGCGCACCAGCTTCGGCCTGCTGGTGATACAGCTTCGAGAGCTTGACGGCATTCGGGTACTGTCGATTCATGGCGGCAAATTTGTCTCCAATTGCGTTGAGAATCATCATCAAGTAATGTCTTGCGTCTACTTTGTTGGGGAGCTTCGCAATGCATTCGGCCATGTTCAGAAGAAGTTTCGCACTCATGGTCTGGAAAGAAGTTCCGGGAAAGTTGTCTTGGAGATTCCGGGTATACACTTCCACCGTCTTGCGAATCTGCTCTGGAGTTAAGGAGTCGCGCACATGGTGTATCAGATCCGCCAGCATACTATACGCAAGGGGTCTCATCGTCTCGTACACGGTTAAGCCATCTCCCGTCAGTGTACGCTCGTCCAAGAGTTCGTCAATTTTGGGGAGAAAGATCTTTCGGAAATTGTAGTTGATAATGTGTCTGATTGCAATCAGGAGCTCCTTTCGCGTCCCAGATTTCTCCCGGGGGCAATCCTTGAGTAGCCGAATGACGATATCGGGTAGTAAGTGTAGAAAGTCTTTCAACTGAGAAGCGTACTGGCGGAGGAGATAGGCCAGAAAGCTCATGGTCTTGATCTGGGCTGTGATGAAATCGCCAAAAGCAGCCCGGTTTTTTATACCTGAGCTCACGCCAGTGTGTATATCGCCTCTGGCAGCAGCATCGTCGTGCGCTTGCTTCTGGGCGCTTGCCTGAAGAGATAAGAAGCCCTTAATAAGGGGTACAAATCTGGGCACATTGTGGGCAACTGTGTTCCTGTAGACTTGGAAGATCGACACGACAATGATGGGGCATTCTGAAAGAACTTTGAAAGATTGCATCCCCTTGAGAAGTGGTCGATTTTGCTGCTGGGGATCCGCACCAAGCTCAGTTACCGAGGCCACGGGAGAGCCCGGCCGAGGAGACTGGAAGTTGGCTTGCGTACTTCCTGGTGTTGACGGTGCACCAGGTTGTGGATTCGGGGCGAGAGATGCATTGTCTAGCTGCTCCATTACAACCTTTTCCATCTGATCAAAGAGCTCCTGGATCAAGTTTAGGAATGGCTGGACTTTGCCCTGCAAAACCTGGTGCTGATGACGCATAATGTCGGAAGTGATTTTGACACACAAGGATGCATTGTCTTCGTTGTCGGTTCGGACTAGTTGCATGAGCAGATCGACAATTTCTTCGGCGTAAGGCTTGAACGGCTCGGTGGGCGCCATGTTGGTTGGCAGTCGGTGTAGTACTTCGAGGATGCAGTTGCGGAGTTTCTACCATCAACCGTTAGCAAAAACCAACCCCAGCGTATCACACAACGCTCTCACCTGCTCCGGGGAATTGCTTTGAAAGATGCATGGTCCACGCAAGATGTTTATGAAGATGGGCATTAAACGTTTCAAGAAAGGTTCGTAAATAGGGCCATTAGTGTAAGCGTCTAGGCTGTCGCGCAAGGTGGTCGCGGCTTCCACCTTGAGTCGGGTATCTGTATATTAACAAGAGGTTAGAAATCAGACATGATGGTAGAGGCATGCGACAAGATGGAGGGGTGATAGCTTAGAGACAAGCGGGACGAGGTGGCCATAATCGTACCTATATCAGCGGTGCTAAGTCGCTTCACGACATCGTCAATAGTAGTTCCCGACATGGCTGCATTATTGGCGTCCGCGAGACGCAGCTCTGCCTTCCATTCGCGGAAGGTGTGGCGAGGCGATGCGCAAAACGACTAATCGCAGCAAGGCTGAGGTCGAGAAACGAGGACGCGCCGCGATGGTTTCACGATAGTGCGGCAGGGCGCCGTAAATCGGCGGAAAATGAGAAAATAAAAGCAATATTCGGCAGATGCGGGCTGATAGAATCCGAAGTCGTCCGGGTATAATGAAAGACTCGAGTGGGGGTGATGGAGGATATGAAATTCAAGATTCGGCCCGCAGCCTTAAAGTCACTTCACGAAGGAAGCTTTAACGTGACGCCTATGAAATTTCCAGAGTCGAGCAAAACTGGGCACCGTGGTCGCCAAAACCAATTGAGCTAGGGGCTGCAGAAACTATAATCCGTAGCGCTAGGCAGCCATACGCCCCTCCCGCTGTGGCGTGCGTATAACCGTATCTTATCGATAGGGATCTTATCGATAGGGATCTCATCCCGATCTTGGAGCCCCACGTCAGATTTGCTGACTCCAATAAGAAAGTCTGATAACCAACCATATATAAGACTCCGTGCTTCGGAGTGACTTGCTCACTGCTGTATCCCGCGTCTTTCATCTTGGGTTGAAATATCCGCCTATATATTCTCTCATATTCATCGTCTTTTCGTGTCATATATAATTCCAGTCCTGTATTGCCGTTGCTCTTTTTTCCGTCCCTGTTCTTCCCTTTGTGCCGTATCGTCAACAAAGGAGAACGAGATTCCACAACCCCACTGCTAGAACTGTCTAAACGGCGGGGAAGCTTCGTAATTCTGCCGAGGAGATAACACACTTGAGAATTTATTATAAAAAGAAACGAAGACAAAGCACGCTGCTGGTATATATTTCTTCATACTTCAAGCCACCATCGTCCCCCGCCCCCTAAGAGTTCTACTTGTTTCCCAAAGCCTTGTGTCCAGTCCTCGTTTTCAGGATCTCAGCCTAACCTAGACCGCCCAACTTCGAAAGCGGCCACAAACATCACAGATTGATACCCCCGATACAAGATGAGCGGCGAAAATAAGGCATTCTTCTATGGTGAATATTGCTCTTGAATTTTGGGAAATCTCTGGACTAACGTGACGTTCAAATTGTAGGGACTTTGGTAAGATCATGTGCTAATACACCCCAAGGGAGGGAGTTAAACTCATCGTTATAGATGGCCCCAGAGGTCTTTTTCAGCGTTTGTTATGGTGAAAAGCAGCCGCCTCAGGCAATCCAAGACCTCCATACATTCACTCCAGCCATTCTAGATGGTTACTGTCGCCACAGAGTTCAATATGCAGACTATCCAGCCATTGTTGCAGAGGAAGGCCACTGCGTGCGAGGCATGTACGCGACTGGATTAACGGAGGCCAACATGCAAAAACTGGACATTTTTGAGGGAAGCGAGTATAAGCGGATCAACACCAGGGTAAAGCTACTGAAGCTGGAAGGCGAAAAGGAAGTTGAGGGAGAAGTGAAGGAGGCATCCGTTTACGTGTTTCTCAACGCCAATGACCTTGAGAAACGCGAATGGGACTTTGAAGAGTTCCGCCAACAGAAAATGCAGATGTGGACACGAGGTGACTGGGCATTCACAGATGGTAAGGATTAAAATCGCCGCTTGCGTGCATTGCAGACTCACTGACTTGGTTGTCCCAGGTGACCAGCCAGCCCAGGTTGAGAGCGCTTAAACGTCGATGCTTGCATGCATGCATGCTGCGCCAGTGCATGCACACGCGTGAGAGATACTAAAGGTACATTTCTAGTGACTAGGTAGAGAGACATGGAATGGGCGGCTTAGAGAAGACAATATAAATTATATAGACACTTAAACTGTCCTCTAGCCAGTGCAAGCGCCCGCGATATGTGGTGTCGTGTCTGAAATGACGGTGTAGTTATCACCAAACACATGCATCGTGTTATGACACGTGTAACTCTATTTTTGGTGAAAGCTCTTTGAACACATAGATCCAGCATGGGCCAGCGTTTCATCCTTGTCATGGGTTGTCGGAAAGTTGGCAGAGCCAACAACAACTCTATTCTTCAGCGGCTCGACGACCAACGACGCAGCGTCTCCACACTCAACGACATGCTCACATCAAGTGTAAATATCTCGAAGGATTTCATGGTGCAGATTGGTGAATTCATTTATATATATGCCCATTACCGCGGAATAAGACGGGACAAGGTTGGCTTAGAGCTGTATGGCTCTCTCGGCAAGGCAATTTGCGAGAAACAACCACTATCGACAAAACGAGAAGGTAGAAACAGCCACACAAATTTTAGGAGAATTTCGGACCTGATTCCGAAGTAGCTCACCTGTCATACTCCTTGTAAGACGGGATAATTGAAGCTTAAAAATTAATTAAACAAGATTGCAAGAGAAAATGTCGATAGTTGGTGTCGGAGCAACAACCCTGCTGCGATGGGGTTGGCTGAGCTGAACCGTAATATCCGAATGCAAGTGCCATGAAGCTACGAGCCGTGTTCAGACGACTCAGCCGATAGCCTCAATTGACAGGATAAAAGAGGAGCATTTTCTGTGATGATATGACGATGAGCTCATAGACAAATAAGAAAGGATCAAAATTTTCAAGCCGCAGGGCGATGCCAAGGAGTGGCTTGTCTGGCATAGACAGATATTCATGCGGCTGTTCCGCAGATCTGAGCCTCTCACAGAACGAAACGCAGCTGTTAATTTTCCTTCATTACAAGCCGTCTTGGCCGTCGTACTAGAAAGATCTTTTGTTTTCGAGTGGATAGGTAAGAGCTGAAGTCAAGTTGAGGAAATTATTATGCTATATGGTCCTTGACATTTTCGCCGATGTAACCAGTATAGATGTAACCAGGAGGACGGATCGAGAGCCACTTCAATATTCTCCCGATGGCCATAGCTTCATACCATCGTACCATATTACATAAAATCTGAGAACTTTAGCCAAGGACGGTATGAGCCGATGAGGATTTTCTGGTAGCGCCAGGTTTCATCAAAATAACAGACATGTGAAATATACGAGTGCACATGAGAAATAGTTGTCAGGTTGTCTGCTGCGGATCTTACACCAGCTTCGAGGTACCAGGCATATCCTAGTCCCTAGAAACAACCACTGGGCGGCTATTGAAGGTGCATGAGCCTATACGCACGAATCAAACAGCGATACGAACAGCGATAGGTTGTTTTTGCAGGCGTTAAAGTCGAAAAGCTGTAGCTGTAGGCGTGGGTTGGGCTGAGCTGCATGTATGAGACATGGAGTACGTACCCCCCAATGAGGCGGTCAGCGACCCGACTGTGGGCAATACGTACCTCGTCATCCATCTGCACCTCTTACTGGTCTGTAGCTTTTTCACCGTCGTCAAGCCTCAGCGTCTATCATCCAAACAAAACAACTCTAGCATCTCAGCTGCCTCCGACGAGTCCTGCTGATCGGCCATCACCGCATTTTTGCCGCCCGGCGACGAAGAGCCGATTGTTTCAATCCGCCGCCATCACAAATCACAACCCAAAGCCTGACAACCTCAGATGTCATCTCTGCCCACTAGCCAGGCTGCCTGCCTCGAGCTTCGCGAGAATGGAGTGGATATGCTTGCCCAAGCCGAAAAGAAGATGTTGAGCATGAAACCAGCCTTTGTTTCACCAGAAGTCGATTCAACCCCACGGCAGCAGAGGCTAGTTCTGCAAAAGTAACCCTACTGAGGGATTAGACACCCTTGCCCCCGGCCCCTGCATCCCGAGGGGCCAGGGTCTGAGAAGCAGACTTTTGCCATGGAAGCAGCACAGCGTTGCATTGAGATCTCCAAGTAGGGACGATTCTCGCCACACAGACTCAGACATACCGGCTATAACACGCGTCTTTTTGTGGCTGTTGTGGCATGGCATGTGAGAGGAATAAACGATACGATGCGATGCAATACGACGCGACTCGTATAGCGACGATGGGGTGGCGAATGCCCCCTTTGCATTCGTCTAGCGCTCTCCCCAGCGGTACGGCTTTACATCACAATGCATTGAGACGAGAAGACGCAGCGGCTATGAACATGCTCGGGGAAACAGGCCGTGATTTCTGCCCATGGAGTAGCACATCTCTAACCACGATCAAGAAACAATGACCGAGCAAAATGGCCAACGAACTGTTCACTGCTCGGGCCGTGGTCGATCACAATGTTTCTTGGGCGCACAAGGACAAGGTCCCCCCACATACCTGTCTCTGGAAATGACCACCGAATCTCCAGCTAAGAAAGCAACCATGATGTCCATGAAATGCAACAATGTCGCCTTCATTCCCCTATTCACATGGTTTCTGATTCTCGGCTCTAAGCGCGATGCTGCTGGCTAGAGGCGATGCCGGATCCCGTGCATTATGAAAATATTTGCAGGCGGCTACTGCTTGCTCTCACAAAGTGTCATTCTTCCGTTTGGTCAGCTCTACCACGGCGCATCTTACCCCTGCCGTCCGTTAGAATCCCCCACCAAGCAGTAAGATGTGCGGCAGACAAACTCAGATCGCCTCGACTTACAAGTGTGCCTCGTCCAAAGAAAGGCTTCAGAGTTCAGCGATGCGATGCATCCCCTTGGCGTCAGCGCACGAGTACCCCGGATGTTGCTTTTTTTTCGTTCTTTCTCAGTGGCAGATGCAGGGAGATCACGGCGCCTAGAAGCCTAAGCCGTTTGAGCCGGACGACAGAGAAATCAGTGGTGCAAGATGCTTTCACTTGCTGCCACGGCCCGGAAGTCTTCTGGCCAATTGTGAATGATAGACTAGGGAGAGGGTGACAGCTGTGGACCCCCCCAATTGACTACGACTCTACTCGTACTAACCTCAGCCCGTAGTGTGTGGCCTCCGAGGCTCTGCGCTCAAGGGGTCGGCTGGGCCTCATTGGTGGCCATCTATTTTAGCAGTACGACGGTGTCACGATGCATGTGTACGAGTACGGAGTACACGTATTCCATCCAAGAGGGTGTTGCGGCCTCCCTCCGCATTTGACTTTGCCAGCACGGCTCGACAGCCGAGTCTCTTCGCCCGTGCTTGTATGAACGTCAGGCTGCTGGATTCATGATAATCTGCGACATTTATGCGAGCTCTGCTTCAGCGCGGCTCCGTCCTTTCGCTATGCCACTGGTACATCATACTTATTATTAGGCATCGCTCTGTTCTCCGAAGATTTTGGACCCCTGACCAATGGCCCACATTGTGCATAATGCTGCCCAGGCTCACGGACCACAGATGTCTGACCCCTGTCCGGCGCGCATTCCTGGCCGCGGTATGTGCTAGCCACATCCCAGCATTGGCCGGTGGCGAACCTAATGGTAAGAAACAATATAGCGAAAGGTCAAGGTTACTCAGGGGTTCAACGCAAGCTGATTCTAGCTCTGCTTGGCCTTCTGGGGTTTTCGGCTGATGCCCACTCATGCCCGTCCTTTTTAGGCGGCGTCTTTTGAGATCCTGAAACGACGACTCCAGCCTATCAGTGGACTCCCAAGGGCACTCCCTTCGATGACCAGGCCACACTAGTGATCCGCCGTGCCTCGAAACCGCGAGATATTCGTTCCGCGGCTGTGCTTAACTGGATAGACTCCTTGTCCCCGACGGCTCTTGTTTCTTGAACGAAACATGCGAGCCATTCGGCAAAGGTCCCTGTCTGGACTCCATCCCCTGCCTCGCCAATGACTCTCCTGTCTCTCTCTGTTCCTGCAGCTCGCATCGTCCTGCCCTTGCTTCTTCTATGCTAGTCATGATCTAGGGGCAAATGGTCTTGGCGATTATTCCTCCGCCATGCCACCATGAGGCACGCAATGTATAAGATGGAGGTCTCATCCCAACCTTGCCTTTTGTTCTTGTCCCAGACATCTCCAGTCAACAACAGTCCTTCCTTCAAAGTGGTCGTCGTCAAGACTCACTCTCCTTCATTCTTACACGAGGCTAGCCCTTGTTTTCTTTCTTGATTTACTTTGCTCCGTCCTAAGCCTTCATTTGCATACGCCAGCCCGGTTGCTTGCTATCCATCCCTGAAGCCTTTCAGCATCAAACCATTCAAAATCTGTGATATTCACAATCCTGTCTTAACAGCATTCACTTTTGTCTTGACGACTATACATACCACCACAACATTCGAGCCTTTTTCGTCCGGTACGATTTAGACTCATCACTTTCCCTCAAAATGTTCTCCAAGCTTTTCACCATCACTGCCCTGGCTTCGGCCGTCAGTGCCCACATAACCATGACCAACCCTGTCCCATACGGTTTGTCAAGCCTGAACAACAGCCCTCTCGACCCCAACGGCGCCGATTTCCCCTGCAAACAGCGAACTGGTGTCTACGACCTCCAAGGTGCCAGCAATGTGTATGCCCAGGGCAGCACCCAGAAGCTCTCCTTTGCTGGAACCGCTGTTCACGGTGGTGGCTCCTGCCAGGTTTCCGTCACCACTGATGCCCAGCCCGACAAGAACTCCGTCTGGAAGGTTATTAAGTCAATCGAGGGTGGTTGCCCAGCCAAAGACCAGGCTGGCAACATGGGAGACAGCGCCAGCGCCACGGATCCTTACACATATGACTTCACTATTCCCAAGGAATTGGAGTCTGGTAACTACACTCTTGCCTGGACTTGGTTCAACAAGGTTGGCAACCGTGAGATGTACATGAACTGTGCTCCCTTGTCCGTCACTGGCTCGGGTGGCTCTAAGGATTTCCTGAACACTCTTCCTGACATGTTCGAGGGCAATATCTTTGGTCCAGGCGGCTGCGGAACTGCGTCCGATACCGATCTTTTGTTCCCCAACCCCGGAAATGACGTTGACCAGTTCAATGGTGCTACCTCAGCATTCCTTGGCCCTACCAGCTGCAGCAGTGCTACCGTCGCTCCTACACCAAAGCCTTCCAATGGTGGAGGCTCCGGCTCCGGCTCCGGATCTTCTCCTGTCACCAGCGCTCCCGCTCAGCCCACCAAGGCACCTCAGAGCATTCCCGGCGGTGTCTTCATCACCAGCCCTATCGGTGGTGGACAACCTGCTGCCACCCAGCCTGCTGCCCCTCCCGCTGCTTCCCAGGTTGCCTCTCAGCCCGCATCCCAGCCCGCCCCCTCCAAGCCCACCTCTGCTCCTCTGGTGAACTTGCCCGTTCAGTCCCAGGCTCCAGTTGCTACTTCTGCTGCTCCCGCTCCCGCTCCCGCCCCTACCTCCGGCTCCGGCTCCAGCCCCAGCGGTGGTTTCGCAGCTGGCACGGCTTGCTCTTCTGAGGGCCAGTGGAACTGCATTGGAGGATCCCAGTTCCAGCGTTGTGCCAGCGGAGCTTGGTCTCCCGCTCAGGCTCTTGCTTCTGGCACTAAATGCCAGGCTGGTCAATCTGACAACCTTAACATGGTCGCCAAGCGAGGCAGCAACTCCATGCGTCGCGCTATTCGCATTCGTGCTTAAACGGCATAAGCCGACATTCTTTCTTCTTTCGATTTTGGACATACATGTCGATACCGTTTTGGACAACGGTCTAGGGATTTGGCATAGATTTGTGATGAACATTTGAACATTCATTTGTGGGAAGGATTGACATTCTTTTATGTACATATACTTGTATCATTCGTTTTTTTCTGTATCATTATGGGGGGTTTGGCTTGGCCTAGAAAATAAGAATTGGCATATCTATGGTTACTACCATCACATTATTTGACTATTTCGTCCCTGTATGAGTGACAGAAAGTTTTCCATGCTGCAGGAACCATCATGATATCCGCTCGAGTTCCTGGTAGTTGGAGCGCCATAAATCGACTCTAAGACACGGGCCGAGACGGTTAGATAGGACGCCTAATGAGGAACGAGTAACCTGGACAGCGTTTGTAACAGTTTTTCGCCTTTGACGGTCGCAGTGGATTCAAATAGGGCCTTCGGCAGCGAAAACGACATGTAGCTATTTTCTTTGAGAGAAGCAAATGCGGGCTCATGTTGTGAGAAACTGGATGGTGGGAAACTAGATATTGATTGATAACTGCTATAAGGTTGAGAGCGTTTAAGTGGTGTAGAGATGACGAGAATGACAGAGCTCAAAGACACGGGAATGGGGTCCGTTTTAGCTTTTAAAGCAACATCACCCGTCCTACCTTAAGCGCGAAGAGGGCATATCCAAATCTACGAGAACCACAATTAATCCACACGATTATACTAAAATTAACTGTGAAAAAGCCTCGCGAAGCCTTTTTTGCAATTGCTGAACCGCAGACGACAGGGCTTATGCGGCTAATCGTGGTGAAGATTCGCGTCTATTGGCTGGGTGCGGCATGTCTGGCGCTTAACCGTTCGTCCAAGTGGAGATGCCCGGTTTCATACAGGGGATTTTCTGCAGCAAGGATTGCAGATGGCACCAACGGGTTTGTGAAGTATGGTGATAACAGCCTGACGCGGGAAGTGAGGCGAGTAATTGTTAGAGGAGGATATATGTTTTCTGTTGGTCGTTCAATTAGACTTGTGTCTCCTGTCAGTTGCTGGGTAGTATTCTGCAAGCATCTATGTATGTATTATATAGCCACACAATATCACCCTTTCCTATAAGTTTTCTTGGATTCTCATTTCCCGCCTCGTTCTCTTTCCTTTCTTCTGTTCTTTCTCTCTCCCTCTAGATTTTACTGTGCGAGTTGTTATCTGTGGCTGGCCCCAGATTTCTAGCATTATGTTTTGCTTGTTTGCTTGCTTAATTTAGGATTGGATCATTCAGCGGATTTTTTATTATTATGTCGTCGCGACCCGAACTCGAGCCTCTCTCGCCTAATGACCACGCAGTTGGTCAGTGGCGACCACAGCCAGTCCAAGATGATACAGTGCATGGGGTGGAAACCAAATCATCCTGGTATCCGCGTATAAGAGAGCTACGGCAACGCAAAGATGGTAAATATAGCTTTGGGTATTTTCGTGAGAGGAAACTAGCAACTAAGATTGTTCAGGGCCGAAAAAGGGATGGAAACCTCTATCTATGACAGCCCCGATTTTGATACTACTTACGATTTTAACGCTTCTCCTTGCTGGCGCCATTGAAGTACTGGCACAACTCAGCCATGCCCGGGGCGGCCTCGCGTTATCACGAACCCAAGACGACATTCCACAATATGCTATGATAAGCTACCTCTACGTACCCAACATCATTGCTGTCTTATACAGTCTCATATGGAGCTGGGTAGACCTTGATGTCAAGCGGATGCAGCCATGGTTCGAATTATCCAAGCCCGAAGGAGCGACGGCCGAAAACTCGATGTTCCTTGACTACCCGTACGACTTTATCGCTACTGTACCTGTAAAGGCTGCTAGGAGGAGGTAAATGTCACCACATACACATGTCAAGAGTCTTAATATCTAATAGTCAAAGGCACTGGCCAGTCTTTTTCGCGGGAACGGTGACGGTGGTTATCTTTTGGCTTGTCACTCCCCTCCAAAGTTCTATCATGGGAACCGGTTTCGTCAACAAGACAGAGACGGCAGTAATAGGGACGAGGTCATCTATCGTTCCACTGGCCAATCAATCACACTTTCTCACCAACCAAATCCTTAACACGGGATATTCCATCGGATGGCATGGCCAATCTTATCCATCATTCACTACCTCCGACTATGCGATTCTTCCGTTTTATATCGACAATGATCCAGGGGAGTCTCAGCTTCATACTAATTGGACCGCTACGACGACAAAATTATGGACCGAACTAGACTGCTGGCCGGCCACATATCAGCAAGAGCATCCTTCTATTACACAGTGGGATTTCCAGAACGGCCAAGGCTGCAATACTACGATTATCATTGATCTCAACGCAAATCTTACGATGCTTTACGTCGGATACCTCTCTAGTCCGTACGCAGATTATCAGTTGGCCGATATTCACAACTGCCCTAACTCCACACACTCGAATCATCAGTTTCTGGCCGTTTGGGCCTCGTCGGACAATAGCAAAGACAAATTTCACCCTGAAGTCAACGTCACTGCGCTTTTTTGCCAGCCGGCTTACTATAAGCAAGAGGTGATGGTCTCTGTTGCCACCGATGGCTTCAGACCATTGAACACGTCGATCCAACCCATCTCTCCTCAAGAACCTCTAACAGAAAAGGAGTTCAACTCGACGTCTTTCGAGTTTTTGATTGGAACTGGAATGCCCATGGAACAATTGTTGAATATAGTACGAGATTTTCCGTTCGAAAATGTCGTTGAGGCTGATCCCCAGATCGACAAGACAAATCTGTCTATTCCGACTTCCAATATGGTTGGATATGCTCTTGCTCCCCATAATGTGCCACCAATCACATATGGAGACCCCAACGTTCTGCACCAAGCATTCAATCGCGCCCACAAATACCTGTTTTCTATCGCAGTCAACCAAATGCTGGTTAATGATTCAACTGTGGCCAACAGCACAGCCATTTCCGAGTTTCAACAGAGCGGAATCATTGTCAGCCGACTGTTTTCTGCCATTGTCGAGGGACTTTTGCTGCTGGTGGCCATATTTACAGTCTTTCTCCTGTGGAGCTGCCATACGTCAACGAGCTATCTAACTACCAACCCATCCTCCATTTCTAGACTCGCCGCAATCTTTCGCAATGGCCCGGAAACGAATAAGATGTTCCGTCCTGCCGATCACGCTGATGAAAAGTCACTGAAGGAGCTCTTTCAAAATGACAAATTCCGACTCACCCGAGATGAATATAGCAACACAGGCAATGTATACATAGAGAAGGTAGCTGGCGTGGAGGTTGACCCGGATGAGAGGAGATTCGATAAACCAATTGGCTACTACGACCCTATTAAACCGGCACCTTTAAAAAGAGGAATCGGACTCCTGTTTGGATTGGTCCAAATAGGAGCTCTGGTCGCTATCGTATACCTGAAAGTTCAAACCGACAAGAGCAAAGGTTAGTCTAAGTCTATTCTACACTTGTGATGCAATCTAACAAATGTATGTAGGCCTTATTCGACCGTCGACCAAGTTTGAAGTGTTACAGATTCTCGAAAACTACATCCCCACTGCATTCGCCACTTTCACTGAACCTTTTTGGGTGTTACTCAACAGATTTCTATGTCTCCTACAGCCGTTCAAAGTCTTGTCAAGGGGACGAAGTGAACCCTCCAAATCGATTGATACGACATATACGGCACTTCCACCTCAACTTGTCCTCTGGAGAGCGCTTAAGTCGCGACATCTAATGTTGGTTATGCTGTGCCTCATTGCATTACTATCTAACGTCCTCGCTGTTGGACTCGGTGCACTCTTCAACGAAGACCAAACAACAGCCATTTATACGGCTACTTTCACTCCGAACGTTGGCGCGCAATTGGATAACGAGACTGTTTTCGACTTTGGGAACTACCTCGCGGCAAGAACGAAGACTTCTAGCCTGTATCAAGATGAGATGTACATCGCCATGGCAAATATTTCGTCTGGAATGCCACTTCCGCCGTGGACAACGTCTGAATACTTCTTTCAGCCATTTACCGTTGACAGCGGAGGTCAAAGTAACAGCAGCAGTACTTATAAAGTTTCTACTCGCGGTTTCGCCCTCACTGCAAACTGCACCGCCATACCGCGCTCTATAGTCGCTCTCTCGTTTCCACCAGATTTGGGTAAGACTTGTTCGAATGACAGCTCCTACATCATCGATTTTGCCAAAATGACAATGAGAACGAGTGCTACCACAAGGCCTTCTGGACCATCTTCTATCGAGTATATTGAATCACTGGGGCCAAGATCCAATTTCGAGAGCTGCAGCAGAGCCACGACATTTGGATGGGGTCGAACACCTCAAGGATTGAATATGAATGCTACTGTTGAGGCAAGCTTCGCATTTTGCCTGCCATTCTTCCAAACAGCCATGTTTAACGTGCACCATGACGCAGAGGGGAATGTATTGGCACACGAAAGAATCAGCGATGTGTCTATGCATCTGGATGAAGATGACGACGATGTACAAACGAACAGGATGATTAGCCAGATGAACAGCCTACTCACACTCACACCAGGCGTCCCCGGGTGGCACAATGACACTTTGACACGAGACTGGATTAGCTATCTCCTGTTTATATCTCTCGACTCACGGGATTTCCTCGATCCTAGTAAACCGCCACCTGACCCCAATGACTTGATACCTACCATCGAAAAGCTGTATCGACAGCTATTTGCGATTCTTCTCAGCCTGAATCAACAACTATTCGTGCCTAGCGGCAAGGAAGCCTCAGTAACAGGTCAGAAGTTAACGGAAGAAACGCGTATTTTCATGGACCGAAATGCTTTTATAATAACCGTAACGGTTCTATCCCTCAACATCATTGCAGTCGTCATTTTCTACTCTCGCGGCATCATATTCAACCTCCCCCGCGTACCAACCACAATAGGCTCAGTCCTTGCCTTTGTCTCAGCAAGTCACATCCTAGAAGATCAAGGACAATCTTCAAGAGGCCCAGATGACAAATCAAAGGAGAAAAAGACGTATAGTTTTGGCCGATACATCGGGGTAGATCAGAAAGTGCACCTTGGGATCGACGTGGATCCTTATGTAGCTCTGGTTGATCCCGCATCGTTGAAAGAGAAGAAATCTTTGGTGCGGAGGGCGGTGACGGGAGATTTGAGGAAGAGGACGGGCACGTTTGAGCCGGTGAGAAGTGGCACCTGGTTGTGAGAAATGTTAGTAACAGGGACGATGTTTTCTTATAGCTTGGATGGAGTGATACCCTACTTGATGATTCATAGAAAGCTGTATCTCAAGGACATATGTAACTTTTCTTTATAAGATCAAACAATTTTAAGCGAATATGGTATAAAATAACTGGTATCTTCCTTGAAATTTGAGACGCCGATATCCAATTCATAGTTTTGGTGTCCCACGTTTGAGAGGCACCGGACCGTCTAAGCCCGTCTAACAACCTCTGGGCCTTGACTCCCATCTTCATTTTTTATGCTATTTATCACATTCTTCAGTTTGATTCGAGATCTTGATATGGTCTGACTTGTTTCCCTCACATAGATAGACAAATTGGTCTATATGACAGTTTTCGGCCGAGAGCTATACCTTACAACGGCATCTTTGCATCATTTAGATCATGCCCACACACCCTAAGCATGTGCTCAAAATCTGTTCCCATCTCCTTATAATAAGTCATCAGCTTCTCAATACTGCTCTCAACAAGACTCTGGCGATACTCTTCGTGCCTCAGTGCACTGACATCAATACCAAAGCTGTGCAGAATCGCCGTTCGCTCGTGCTGCCCCAAGTCATCGAGCCCTATGTTAAAAACGTCCTGACAAACGGCCACGGCCACAGATCTCCGAGCCTCGTCAAACACATCCGCCATGTCTTTTAAATCTCGCAAGACTGTATTTCAGAATCTTAGCTCAAGCTATTAGAGGAAGGTTTCTTGAATAGCTCACATGTTTTAATTGCTTCACTCTTTTTCGAAATCGCCCCAATATTACTCTGCGCCGCCACAGCTGCGTACAAAAACACAGCAATCGTCAATGTCAATGGGTTTGAAGCCAAACCACCGAGCAGAATAGCTCCCCCAGTACTTGCGCCGGCTATTACACTTCCAAATCGAATATTTTTAGGCATTCGCATATCGTTCTCATATCGCTCGACTTGACGCTCTAGATGCGGCCCTAGAAAGTCCCTCGCTCTTGAGAGCATAGTATTTGCTGTGCGGAGACTCAAGCCGGTTTCGTATAATTGCTGAGGAGTAAAACCTGAATAAAATTAAGATTAGAACTTCGAATGGCGGCAATGGACAGATTAGGTGAGAATAGTACGGACATAAGTTGCTTTTAACTTTCCCTAGATTGCCCATGACATCTGCAAATTCGATTTGGAACTCTGTTGCTAGTTTCTCCGCCGCTGCCTGATCCACATTGGCCTCGTATAATGGTCTCAGCTATGTCCAGTTAGATAGGTTGCTTAATGAAATGAATGGCGTGTATTACCTCTTCCGCGACCCTGACAAGTGGTTCGATATCCCTAAGAACAGGTGTTCGCATATTGAAGATTTGATCAGCATCTTGTTTGTGCATAAAGGAGAATTGGGGCACGGTTTGCCCATGGAGGAGCTGGTATATAGAAAATATCTCCACAATTTGCGATAACGTTGAAAGGGCATTGGGTAGAGTAGATAATCTTCTCATGTCAGCAATGGTATCCGGTGATAATAAATTCACCAACAATAAACCAAGCAGTCATACCGGGTAACAATTTCATCGATACATGCATCATCTACTCCAGCGGGTGTTAAAAGTTGGTCCACACGGATGTTCAGCTTATTGATAATGAAAAGCTGGCAATATCTCTGTTGGTGGTCAGGCGACACGTTACGAGCAGCCAAGCTCATAGTATGGGGCTTGCTGTGAATGTTGAGGAAGAACCGAAAGATGATCGATGGGATTATCCGCCTGAAGAGCTCTCGGACATGGTTCTGGGCTCTGCCGTTGGGATCGTTGTCGGTATACTCATTGTGTATGAAATCAACCTTGAGTGAGCGAAATGGAATATCAGCTACAATACTACGAGACCCGCGTGCTGCCACGTTTATTCCAATGGGTAAATAGAAAGTTTCTTGCCTGGATGGGTACGAAGTGATCACGATTAGAAGCGCCATCTGGTTCAATCACGGCGACTTCCTTCACATCCCAGTTCTCAAGACTGGCCTCCTTAAACGCCTCGGCAAATCTTTTGTTCTTCTTTTGCGATCTACCATCACTGGAGAAGTACCAGACTTCTAGTCGAAGCAACAATTTTGGGTTCGGATCAACAGTAATGGTTTCGACATCTTCATAATTTGGAGGCTTCCCGCCCATCACAAAGAACGAGCTTGTAGATTCTTCTGGGCCGGACATTAGACGATCGCGATGGTTAATTTATGTACTCAAAAGATGATTCTTTTCTCTTTTCATTGAGTACAGGATTGGATGGGATTTTTCAAGGCAAAATCACAGTTCACCAAAGAAAAACAAATGATACCGCATCACAGGGACTGCCGACTTTTGAGGGAGTCGCCTCGCCTTTCCCGTCACATGCTGCAGCCTCGCAATTCGGTGATATGTATATCAAAGTATACATCGTTCCATGTAATCTCCAGATAACGTCATGATTTCGCCATATTAATTGGTTGATGCCCAAGTATATTCCCGAGGTAAGTTTTGCGCCCGCGGATTGGACGTGATGCATGGACGAACACGTAGCCCAGGACGACTGGAGCGGCACGTTCTTCTCCGACTGAGCTATTGGCAATCCTGCTGCGGGGTTGTAGCCAAAGCGCCGACCAGGTAAATACCGATCATGTCAACATCTTTTAGCCAATATTGTGGCCATCCGGCGGCTGTATCCATTTCGACTCTACATGATCCTGGAAAATGTGTTGACAGACTCCCGTATAACAACATCAATCGTGCCCTGGATAGCGGCTGTATATTAGTAAAATGAGCTGCCGACCAAGATGTCTGACTATTACAGCAATCTGAAAACGGGAGGCCGACGATCGACTTTTGAAAGCAATGGACTTATCCGTTACCTGAATTCGCCTCAGTCGGACAGAGGGAGCTCGACGGCATTTGTATTTGCTCCTTATTCCTATCACAGGTTGGACGAGGCAGCCACCTGGGAAGATTTTGATTCAAAGATACGCTCCGTCGGATATCATCTGGGAAAATACGTCGAGCATAAAGATTGCAATAAGGCCTCAGAATGTGTGGTCACAGAGTATGGCCAAGGTGAGTTGAAGCTACCATCTCGGAACCATACCCCAAGGCAGACTATGAACTGATAGAAGAGAAGTAGAAGCCGCAGTATATTCCCAACAAAGTGATAGCCTTATCCGTTACGGCGACGGAAACATGTCCAGTAACGGATGGCGGCACAAGGTGGAATCCGATATGGCCATCTCGGGCCTGGTCGCATTAAAGAATATCTTGGACCTACTTTATGAGAACGGCAGACACATAATTGACATTGCCGGCTCTCTTACCATGTGGTTCGTTTCTCTTTCTCTCTCAAGAGTGTCTTTGGAATGTGGTTATCACACTCCGTTCTCCCCTCTGACCCAGGAATCTGGTCTAAGAGCGCAGCTAACGTCTTTTCGCAAACTGTGATACAGGTCAATATTAATGTCCGCATCGTATCTAGTACGCACCCGACATTACAGTCCATACCTAGACAATGGAGCTTTCGTGACGTTCTGCGCAGCTGGCTATTATACTGTATCCTCGACATGCCAGCTATTTCATGTCGGACTGCGGACTCTGGCCATCAATCGGTGCCACTGCATCGTGACATCGCTACACAGCCGCGTGCTAGCCGGTACTATTGAGCAGCATGATGTCAAATACCTTCATAACTATTGGTTTCGTGCTCTGAGCTGGTACAAAGTCGAAGATAGATTAGGGAGACGACAGTATGGGACGCCTTATGGGTGCTATGTGGAGAGATCTCTTCCGTCATCTCAGTATGTGATTCCCCTGGACGATTGATAAAGAGAAATGCGGAAGAATAACTAAGAGAAAGATGGTGATATGTATAAGTAAATTCAAGAGATATAAAGTCACATGCTGAGTGAGATAAGAGAAGGGAGAGAATAGTGGCAATATTTCATGAATACGAACTCGACCAAGTACTCGTGAAATCCGCTTACTTAAGCGCACCTTGATGGTCAAACTGACATGCTATAAGATGACGGATGATATGACATCACCCTCCACGACACCTCCAAAAGGAAAAAAAAAAAAAAACCCACAAAATACAGCAACTGGATCAAACAATCGACCTCAGACGCCATCAAATGCCCACGTCCGAAAACGAATTGAAAAACAAAAGAATGCGCCAAACCCATTTAGCGCCAGCGGCCCGTCTGCGCTTCCCGAGCCGCCCTCTTCTCATTGGCCAATTCCCATCAACAGCGCCTTTCCCGTTGTTTACGTCTTGGCCATGGCAACCAAGTTCACGCCACAATCAATATCAACAGAAAGCAATCTGAAATTAATCGTTTTTCCATTCATCCTCGACTAATCATGGCAAAATCCATTTTATCCTTCTAATTACCAGTACAGTCCAATGCAGAATAAAGCCTTCATAATGATACACAGCAATTACAACCCTTTCTGCATTCATAGCCCAGCCTCGCTCATCATGCCCAGCAGCAACCAGATTATAAAACCTCGGCCAAACAGGGTCTTCGCTAAAGCATTTTCTGTAAAGAAATAAAGGCAATAGCCTAGTATAAAGTCGTGTGCCGATTTCTTCTGCCGCTCTAATGCTTCTCAAGCGCTGTACATCTTCCAAAGAGAATAAAGTTTGATGGGAAGAATAAAAAAACTGAAGTAGAAAAAGAAGAAACGAATAGAAAAAGAAAGGAAAGAAAAGGAAAAAAAAAAGCAAAATGCTTATGACACGCCTCCAGCGGCCGCCATAACGCCACCAACGCCCAAAGTGTGTTTTGTTAAAACGTAGATACTGACGCGTGAACGGAGACCGCTTGTGTCATTGACCGGTCTACGGGAACTTCAAGTCGTGCCATCATGGAGTCTTCGATATCAACTCGGTAGCTCCTTCATTTTTGCCGCCCCGACTCGTTAATGCGAAATTCGTCTAAATCTCAATTTCCTTCATGGTGTCATCAATAACAACCTCGGGGGTCTTGCTGGTTGCCTTGGGAACCTCGACTTCCTTGCCCTTGTCCTTGGCCAAGTCTGATGATGTCCGCTCAAGTGTTGTGACTGTTGGACGCTTGCCCTCCTCGCTGTTTCGCGGTGAGTCATCATCATCCTCCACGTCAACCAAAGTGCTAGGCTCGATAACAGCATCGGTAAGCTCAATTGTTGCCTCCTCCGTTACGCGGCTGAGAAGAGGAGCCTGAGGTTTGCCGAGACCGTTCCTCATGGGGCTAGTAAGAGGAGCGGAGTCGCGAAGTCGCTGCAAAGACCGACCACGGGTGTCACCGGCTGAGTCTTGGGGGTTGGCATAGGGAGAGGCTGATCTAGAGCCCAGAGGCGAGTTGCTCTTGGAAGCTGTCTGGGAGGTGGGTCCCTGTGACTGTCGTCGGGCTGCGGCGGCGCGGCGACCGTGCTTCTGGTCCATTCTCCATCGGAGAATATTGAAGTAAGAAGGCTCAACTCGTGCGTCTTTGAATTCTCGTAGCTTGAGCTCGTTAGTCTCTTCGTCCACGAACCACTTGCCGCTGTTGAGGTCGTCAGCCACCACGGCAAGGAATGCCGCCCAAGAGCGAGCAACTACGTATTTGGTATCGTAGTCACGACCAAAGAGGATAATCTGGCCATATCGACCAGCCGGTCCGGGGGCAAGATCAACAGCCAAGTTGTTGCCACCCCAGTCACGGACAAGAGGAATCCAGCCGGAGTGTGCGTATGCTTTCTGGACGGTGTTGGGAGGAATGCAGGTCTGCTTGGCCAAGAGATTCTGTCTCCATTCGCCGGGGCCGTTTGATGACGAAGACGAGCCAGGTCGCTGCTTGGACGAGGACGCCTCGCTACCCGATGGGGTCGGCGGCTTGTTGGCAGCGGCATCCAGCATGAACTGCTGGTTCACCTGGCGCCACGTCTCCCACTCCTGGGGAATTTCCTCACAGTCCATCAACATGGAGCCGAAAATGATACCCGAGGGCATTCCACCTCGCTCCTGACCATCGTGAATCATGAGAGACTCGCGGACATCTTGAGGCAGCGAGCAATCCAATTGGTGCTCCAAATCATTGAGGTCGTTGTTTGTGGCACCCTCACACAGCTGGTCAAACAGCTCTGGGTAGTTCTCCTCAGCCCATGCGTCTATGCGCCTCCAAGAGTGTGCAACAGGGGGCGGCGGGGGCAGGCCATTCTCAAATGACTGCATGGCTACGTCACCAGGCGACTGAACTTCGAAACCATCCTTATTTACGTTTTGCGATCGGAGGCCGGGCGAGTATCCTCGGGTGCCGTTGGTAGGCGAGCCTTGCACAGAGGGCGCCCGAGAATCGTCAAAGTACGGGCTATGGATGTCGGCTCGAGAGTCGGATGCGGTTGCGATACCAGTCATGATGTTGCGGCCATTCTGAAGAGGGACATGGCGACCCGTTCGTTGCGGTGAATCAAAGGAAGAGTCTAGAAGAAGCCGGCGCAGTTAGTATACATGGTCGACTGCTTAATTCTGAATGTGGTGGAAGATAAAGGGCCCAAGACATACGTCGGTCATTGCTGGTCATAGTATGCCAGAAATCGCGAAAGACGGATCCAATTCTGTGATTATGTCCATTAGCTTGCAGATCATGACAATTGCCGCATCACCCTGGAAACGAAGGGAGTCGACTCACGCATTGGCCATTGTTGATTCTGTCGCGGGCAATCACCCGACTGAAGCTGCGATGGCGCAAGGAATTCGAAAAGCGTTGAAAGGGGGGAGAATAGGGGAGAGTTTGATGGCGCGTAGGTTTCAGCACCAGCGTTCGACTAAATCGCTTGTCCAGGCCGCGGCAGAAATGCGCAGCAGCAGTGCGAAAAAAGAGTTGAGAGAACAAGCAGCAACCAGGCCTGTGCGCATACAAGAATAAGATTCAGCCACTGACAAAGTGCACTTTGCACCCGGCGGGGATTATGAAGACAGTTGGTCGAAAAAATAAATAAGAAACAATAAAGCTGCTGTGAATGGGGGTATCCTTCTCCAAACGTCAACGGCCGAGGCGCCAAAACAGAATGTGATTGAACGGATTGGAGACGAGACTCCAAAAAAAGAAACGCGGTCTCGAAAGTGGCGGCCGGGAGGCGTTTGTGTGCGCTTCTGTACAGTAGCTCGAAGCTTGAGGAGGCCACACCAACCAGCTGGGAGAAGCTGAGATTGAGATTTGATGACTTTGCTGTGACGACAGCGAATGCAGATGCTGGTCAGCCGACTTGGATTTTGCAAGATCTTCGGTGGGTGCGGCGCAGATCAACGCATGCAAATGCACCAGTTCAGCCTGCTGTTGCGGTTGCGTTGGCGCGATTGGGGGGGGTTTGCAGGGAGAAAAACCGATGAATGCTGGAGATGCTGGAAGATCAGGTACTGAGAGGAAGAGGCCACTGGCGTCTTGTCTGCTTGTCTTGCGGTGAATCAGTTGGAAGGGAAGGAGAGAAGACAACAGAAGCACAGAACAAACTGGAAGGGAGCGAAAAAGACGTGGGCGGTCCAACAAGTTCCAAAGGGGGAGAGAAAGGGGATCAAGGTGAAGGCGGATGCGAGCAGCTACATGTACTCGCAGTGCTCGCGACGAGGTCCGTCCCGCCTTCGGTTGGGCCTTGTACCGGTACTTGTGCAGTCGCGGCCTGGCATTGACAGCGCTGGGGGACACGTCTAGCGGCTTCGAAGTGCTGCGTGCCGGCGACGGGGGAGGGGCTGTTCGGCGGGCTTCTACAGGGCGTTGGAGCCTGTGCAGCCCTGTATCGGCCGTTTCTACAGGGGCGTCAGGGGATCCTCTGGCGGTACTGGTACTGGTGCTAGTACCGTTACCGATGGTCCTTGACGGGTCTGGTGCTTGAGCGCGTGCAGGGCCGTACTTGCTCGGGTACCGCTACCTCTACTTGTGTCTTCCATGATCTGGGCGGTCTTGTGCCTGGGGCCTCAACGGGCTATTTTCCCGGCGACATTCTCCTCCTCACACCGGAACTCGAGTTCATTCCTGTCAAGTCTCTCTAACCCGAACCCAACAAATCAACCCATGACGCGATATCTCTCTCGCAGCAGCAGAGATAGAGAGGCTGCAGCGATACCAGCACTTGGACACGTGCGAGCATATGCACCTCGACATCTCTTGCGCCGATTTACCTACAGTACATACATACAGCCTGCACCACACCGCATCACACGCTCTGCGCTCTGCGCTCTGCAGTCAGATTCATCGATGGCGCTTCTCCAGCTGCTTTGGGCGCCTCGCCGCACTGCTGGCGCTCCTACTGGTCCTTTTCTGCTGCGAACTTGCCTCCAAAAAGAGCCGAGTCGCGCGGGGGGGGGCCACTCATCCAAGCAACAATCCACCCAAGAAAGGGGATGAGCCAGGGGTTGCCATCCAAGCAGCTTGATATTCGACAGGGGCATCATCCCCACCGGCCGAGATAACTGGTTACACACGCCGGGCAAAGACTCGGGTGGCTCCTACAAGTACCGCACTAATGCAGGAGGCAAGTCATCGACTTGGCTCTTGGTCTTTGGGTCTTTGGAAGAGGCCAGTTCGGGAAGCTCCATCGGTCTCCGGAAGCGCATAATCAGGCTCTTGAAATTGCAGTGGAGGGGCCAGTCAGTCGTCTTTTGTGCTGGGCTGCGAGTCCTGCAATTACTGGGAGCCTCGCGAAGAAGGGGGAAAGGCCTTGCGGCAAGGCCGTGCGCTGCTGCTGCAGAGCGTCAGAGTACCAGTACTTGGCGTAAAGGAGCAGCAGCTCAAACAGGAGGCGTCGATGCATCTTGTGCTTCTATGCTAACCTTGATTCGATCCAGATCCAAATCCTCGACTTGCTGATGCCACATGCCACGGAAGGATGAAGCTGCTGCATTCGCATGACCGTTTGGGACGCCACGCGGCGCTACTGGGCGAATCTCTGGTGGCGTTATGCAGCGTATCATATCGCCGGCAGCGCCTTTTTAGGGCCAAAGCGATGACATTTCATTCAGCTTTTCTCTTATCGTTCGTGGTGTTGAGCAGCAACGTTGCGGGCCATCGACTCTCCAGCTTTGGAGGATTGATCCAATTGGCATTCTGACCATTGTGAATCAAGCTAGCCGTCCACTCGGCCTTTAAACAAGGGCGTTGAAATGCGAATCCACATGCGCTAGAATGCGCCGTCCAGTGACCAAGAGGGGCCAGGATGACACCAAAATCCCCTGAATCTGTGCTCGCAGAGTCTTGGACCCATTTTCCCAGGCAAAGGACAGGCACAAGCATCCACGCACCCTTTATCAGCTTGTCAAGGATCCCAGCAAGTCCCACTTGGAAAAGGAAAAAAAAAAAAAAAAGATTCGGGGGCAAAAAAGAACAAAAGAGAAAAGTAAGACCAAAGTCGACTCATTCGCAGTTGTGACTTGCCACCATCCAATGACCATTCGCTTCTTAGCCGATATTGAGTGATAAATTTAGCAACATTGTCCGGTTGGTTCCTTCTGAGAACCACAGAAAGCCACACAGCCGCCTCTGCTTCGTATTGGTAGAATTGTGTCCTGATTGATACTCGTACACTTCTAGAAGAAGAGTTGACTTGACGGAAATAGGCAAAAGAATAGGGTGCTAACCCGGTTATTAACATCTCGTACTCTGCCTTACACACCACGTTCATTTAAGCATCGTTCTTGGCCAACCACTGAGACACTTAGTCATCGCAACCACACAAGCTTTTTGCAAAACTCGTATTCTACGATGCCCATGCACAGGGATCTCTCGGAATCAGATCTATCGGGATCATCCAGTGCTATCTGTACGGAATTCGGCAGCAGGTACCATGTACATGCACTCCGTATTTTACATGTTCCGCAAGGCACACCAAACGGCTCTTATACCCTAGAGCCATCGTCAATTCTCCACATACGTTGGTTGCTTGTCGCCCTCACACATGATGATGCAATTTAATATGCCGAATCGCAACTATATCTGCTTTTTCGCTATGATGCTTTAGCGCCTAGTAGTACTGTAAATCAACGATCTAGCTTCAACTTCCTATATACAGACCGCAGCTCGAAAGCACCCGCATCTATGAATCAGGTCACGTTGGTGATGGATCAAGTAGATAGGTAACCAGTGATCAGTATGTGTGAGATAATGATGGGGCTGAGAGCTGCTTCAAGTAGATCTGGCCAAAGGGATGGAAACTGGTAGGTCTTGATATTTGAAAGTGATGTAACGATCAGCGCCATCACGGCTTCTTGTAACAAAACTAGACCTAAATATGCAATATACCTAGGCATAAAGAGTGTTGAGAACGAGACGTGGAGTACATGTAACCTTCAATAGGAGGTCCAAGTCTAAAAGGGCCCTCCACACTGATCAATCTAGCTACCAGCTCGGCCGTCAAATTGAAAAGCTTGATTGTTCCAGCCATAGGCCGCCAAAGCTCTGTTGATCACGGGAGGGTCAGAGTTCCCGTTATCGTCAACTGATCCAGCCGCCAGAGAAGCACAATTGGCCTCTGAGCTGTTCTCCTCCATCCAGCCGGAAATGGCAAAGCCCAAGTCATTGCCTACATCCTCGGCTCCACTATCCATGAACTGTCTCGCCAGACTCTCATTGCCTTCATCCCACAAGTAGTCGAATACAAGACCATTGACAGAACCTTCATTCCGTTTCAAACCTGAAGTCATGGTGGTGTTGACTCGGACATGGAACACGGGCTTTGATCTGCTTGATGGCCCTAGGACCGACTTATCTGCGTGTTTAATGTGGAGCTGTTGATCCAGATTGCTGTATTTTGAGCTGGAGGCTATATGGACCCAGTGAGTATCGTTCAGGCGATTTCTAATAAGATCCTGAAAGTCGGCGGTTCCGGGAACGCCATTGTGGAAGACCATGTACGGCGCGGCCACGAACGTGCTGTTTTCGAATCTTTTGTCTATGCCGTTTGCTTCATTAACTGCTGCGGCCACCATGTATCCGTTGAGAGCAAGATCAGCCGCGGCGATTATGCAATCGGTCCCCGAGGTTGCGCCAGTTGCGAATCCAATACACTGGACTCCTAGGTTGACGCTATTGCCAACGAATTTCAGCAATCCAACCTCGACGGGAAAGAATGGCTCGGCAATCGTGAAGACCACGTTGATGATTGCACCGAAAAACCTCTTTTCTGGGGGATTTTTCTCGGCGTTTTCCTGCAAAGCAAGCGTCTCGTTGAACTCTGCATTTCGAAACTCTAGGCTATGCTCGGCTGGCTGAGGTGGGCTCGGGTGCGCACAAATGCTCAAAGCGCTAATGGATACTATTCACGACCTGTTTATTTTTGTCTTTCAAGTTAGAAGCAATGACTTCGCAAAAGACAACTGAGGGTATCTTACAAGGCTTTCATTTCGGGCAAAGCTGTAGCAAGAGGTCAAGATGATACCAATTCAGTGCTGAAGTAGTTTGAAAAGATCACTGTGTAAGGAGAAATAGATTAGATTATATGCCCAGTGACTCAATTGCATGACTGGAAGCAGAATCTTGCAACCAGTCTAAGCAATAGTACGTGTAATCATGATAGGTTCCACAAAGTATTAGCAATAGCATGCATGTCAGATTTGGTTCCAGAAGAAAAGCAATAGTATGCAAGTCAGATTTGATTCCAAACGATACGAGATAATAAAGACTTTTGGATAGCTATTGAATTTTCACAAGTTGCCCTCTTTGTAGCAGCGTTCACATTACTCCTGCGAGGACAATTTATGTCCAATGATCGATGTTTGCCTTTTATTGCAATTAAGAGAGATACTATGTGACGGCCTGACTTATATATCCTGGCGTAGGGTGAATAAGACAGAGATTCCGAAAGGATAAACCGTATGTAGGTTTATGCTGGCAGATAAATTAGGATGTTACTCTAAGCGGTTATACGTCACGCTACTGATGGATCAAGTTGATCCGCCATCAAACCAGTATGTGTGAGATAATGATGGTGTTGAGACCATGAGGCTCCATTTGGTTTGATAGGGGCGGCGCCGTGCCTTTGCCGCTCAGGCGTTATCTCCAATCATCATTCATGGTTTCCCGATTACAGTTGCCGATGAGAAGATGGAGGGGATAGAATCCCCCGTCTTTTTACGGAGTAGGGATATTGATAAGTGTGCAATTTGCGGATGCCCACCACCCTCTATTGAACTAATACACTTCACCGGAGATCCCACTCAAAACAATACACATGCCCTCCGCCTACCACACGCCACAATCAAGGCATCACCATCCGGCTGTTTCCATATAGACACTAGATTGCGTTGGGACTACCACTGTGAGAAAATGGAAGCGAAAACCAAAAAGCGCTTTTCTGCTCTATTCTATCGGCTTCAACTCGGCATCATCGACGTGGGGCACAGGGCTGGGGATCTGGAATCTGCAGATAGTGACCTTTCAGGGCAGTGGATGGTACGTCCAGAGTCAGATTCTGTACGGATGCTCGGCATGGCACGCCAGGCAAATACGAACATAACTAGCAGGGGTAAGAATATAATAGCCGCGATCAGGAAGATCTAGAGGCGCGCGGCTCGGATCATCATAGGACCTTGAGGGCCCATGAGGTTGTACGTTGCTGACCACATCAACATGATTCCGGGTTCAAAGCGTGGTTTTTACTGCCGAGCATCCCTATATTTTTTCTTTTCACATCTACGGGTATTTTGATGGCTCTTGGCATGTCTTCAGCTGATCGGTAATCTTTCGCCCTTCAAGCTTATCGACCACAAGTCTGTGAAAGATAGTCCTGTGGCTTTGCTCGACTGCTTCTTTCATTACCTGTATCTTTGCGTTCGAGTATGGCTTGTTTCTCGTGCTCTCTATTCGAGAGTTGTGCCATTCCGGATATCTGGGATGTTTTTGCCTGCGGAAGCAGTTCCCGACGGCCAGCAGCAAGCAGATACAGCCGGATTTTCTCACTCAGACCATTCTGATTCTGTGCTAACCCGCCGATAGTGACTTGCTTTGCTTGCTCTTGAGTTTTAAGGGTTCCTTATCTAATGATCTACTCGGCTTCAGTCTGCTTGAGGCGGTCAAATCTGTGTCAAAATTCCTTTTTATCTTTTTGAGAGACAAGTAAACTTCAACGTATAATTCCAATCTGAACAGGCTCTCGAATATCAATATGACCAAAGTGCATTTCTCCTTTAAACTCTTTGGAATCTGTAACCTTGATACTCTATGTGACTGGGTAGCCATTCTGGATCTCTAGAGTGGCTTAAGCTTTTGGACAATCTAAAGTTGTAATTTTGACTTGAAGAACTATAAGCAAGGCCAGGTTGGCACAAATAAAACTCAAATTTCGCCCAAGATAAAGGTATCTGCTGTGGCTATGCCGAGAGTTCAAATATGCGGAACATGCTGTTAATCTGAACCATAGTATTGAAGAAATTTCAGCTTTTACTTTCGCGAGCTTCCTTCAGCCATGGCTTTTTTGCTCTTCTCGCCCGACTATATCTTCTCTGTTCTTCCCATTTCCCCTTCATTCGTTCCTCGATTCCATTCGTTGTTCGATTTCACTCGTTTCTTAGGTTGTCCATCGCACGGTTCATCCAGTATGGCAAAGTGGAAAGACTTACCGCCCGAACTCAAGTATCAAATCTTTGAAGCCATACCCAAGGCATGGCCCTATCAAAGTACAGCCAAGTACGCCGCGGTCAACAGAGACTGGCAATATTACTTTGAAAAGAAGACCTTCCGGACGCTCGTTTTAAACTACTCGTGCATCGATGACTTTCGCCAAATCGCCCCGTGTCGGGAGGACATTATCAAGCGTATTTGGCTGCGCATCCAACCCCCGACATGGGAGTGTTTCACTTGTGGCACTTTGGAACCATTCGATCAGCTTGCCAGAAATAACCAAATCTTCACAAATGCTTTGTGGACACTGATGGACATACTCAGTTCTTGGGGTAAAATAGATGGAAGCGACAGTCGTTCGGGGCTCACCTTGGAGATTAGTGTGCATGCTGAAAGCAAACTGAGGTATCGTTTCGATTGCTGCACCTTTGATAAAGATATCTATCCATGCAGATTACCTGAGTGGTGTACGATGGATGAAAACTGCAGTCTATCTAGGCAATTGCGACCATTCGGGCTGCGCGGAGAAATATGCGACATCGTTCGCAACCACATGGATCTAGTCGAGGAGCTGCGTACTGTGGAAAACGTCGAGCTTGACTTTAGCGAAATGGGCGATGGGCAAACCACAGAGCTTCCGACTGTGAGATGCGTGAAAGAGTTAACTATTCGTCCGCTAAACCTGCGCCGTTTTGGATACCAGACGATGAAGGAGATTGCAAAAAGTTTTGGGAAACTCGAGACGTTTAATTTGGAATCTGAACTGTTCTAGTCGGGCATCATTTCCAGATTTTGCTTAAGAGAGAGAATCTGGTTACAGTTGGATATTTTTGTGGCTATGGGTGTGTGCGTTCCAAAAAGTATTCTCTCACGATACGAAGACTGGAGGGGAGATATGGACTGAGTTGCGTCGGACAATCGACCACTCGGACAGCTGACTTTCGGACAACTTATCGCTCGGACAATCGGCCACTCGGATAGTCGATCCTCGGACAATGAAAATTTTCACGACCTTTATGACTATACAGGGTTTAATGCGAGGAAATGGAAAAGGGGTGATGATTCTTAGCAATTTAGATGGTATGGACTTTTGGTGTGTACATTGGGCTTGCACTATTATTGCTTTTTATTGCTTTGATGGGATAAACGGTGTTTTGAGATTACTGAAGAAAAACAAAAGATAACTGGTACAGAGTACGGATAATATGCTTAATTAACCCTCAAATGAGATTGGATAAATATGTTGAGAATAATGTGCGTGCTGTTAAACTGGATGGAGCTTTCAATATGTGGTCGGTGGCCATAAATAGGATTGCTGAGTTGAGTTCACAAGTTAGATGTATACATATGTTCCTAGTACTGACACTTACGGATACGAACGGTGATGTGCTCACATGGACATAAAAAGTCAATGCATCTCCAGGAGTGAATATCGGAATTATCGGGTGCCTCAGCGGGCATTGCACGGCCATACGAGCGGAATGATCTATACAATTTTTAATTCCTTCTTCAACTTAAATCAAATTCTATATCCCTGAGCATAAGCAGAGATGATGATTCGGTCTTTAGAAGATTTGTGCAAGTTGCTGGTGTTGAAGTGATCTGAATAGGGACTCAAGGCTGACCACTATTGTTGTAGCTCCTCAGAATCCCCTAACTAATTTACAAACTTGTCCCTTCCTATTTTATTATTATACACAATTGATAAATGTGTTTATTCTCTGTAGCGACAAAAGTTGTTACAAGTCTCATTTCTTAAAAAATGTATGTGTCTGTCTATTGAGCCAAGACTCACCATAGGTCTCGGATTTAGGTAATGCTCCCACGCCGAGAGAGGTCGTTTCCCTTCGTCTCAAATGCACATAACGGAGATAATAAATACTTAAACTCATAGAAAAAGAGATCATAATGATGTCATATATGATTGACTATAAAAATCGGCAGTTCTCCGCCGTTGAGGTTGTGTAATTCCGGGCCGGAATTACAAGGTGAGTGAGGCTCAGCGTACTGTAAAATGGTCAAGGCAAATTGATACTGAACAAAGAGTTTTTGTTATTGGTAGAATTAAACTCCGCAATTATGCTATTAAAAAAAATAGGGGCATGGTTCATTCACATGCACCTCGTGAAATGTATCCCATCTAGGGGTCTTACTTAAAAGACGCTGCTAATATGCATGCAAATATATATATATATATATAGCAAACACTCTCTGAGCTTTGCATACATCAATCAGTCTACTTTTCATCCAAATCTCTCTAGAACAACCACCATCTATCTCAACATGTCCAACGGAACCAAAGAAACTCCTCTCATCACGTCGCCCTCGAGGCTGGCACATGTGGTTTTGCGCACCGGCAACCTCAAGGAAATGTCCCCATTCTACAAGACTTTCCTAGGCGGAAAAGCTCAAGTTGAGAGCGACCAGGTCGCTTTCATCACCTACGACGATGAGCACCATCGCATTGCTCTCGTTTCGCGGCCAGATCTGCAAAAACTGCCACCAAAGTCCTGTGGTCTCGATGTACGCATTACAGCGCCAAATTGACCAAGTAGCAATGTCACTAATAATTATTTCTTTTCTTTCTAGCACATTGCGTTTGGGTTTGACGACATTGAGGGCCTACTCAAAGCATACTCGCAGCGCAAGGAGCATGGAGTCACGCCGGTCTGGTGCGTCCACCACGGGCTCACCATTAGCATGTACTACCGCGACCCGGATGGCAACGTGTTGGAAACATTCATCGACGCCTTTGATGATTTGGAGAAGCAGGATGCGTATATGACGTCGAAAGACTTTGTGGAGAACCCGATTGGTGTGGATTTTGACCCTGAAGATATGCTGAGACGGGTGCAGAGTGGAGAGTCCAAGGAGAGTATTCACAAGAGGCCGAATATTGGACCGCGGGACCTGAGCACTGTACCATTATTTTGATGGAGCTGGTGGAACTAGGAGAAGCTCTGTATGTTGTTGATATGAGAGGAAATATGATAGTTGATAACCGGGTATTATTTCCCAAGAGTGTGTTAATTTATTTAGCTTTTCGTAAGAGTGTGTCTGATAGTATATAGTGCATTAGTGTAATAAGTCAGGTACCGAGGAAGCATCAACATTGGATTGCACTCTTTCTTTATCTGCCCCTGTTTTCTCATATTCTGATTGACAAAGTTTCACGAGGAATGAAACTTAAATTTTATGCAGTGTACCAAAACAAATGCTTTGTTGTTTTGTCGCATATTCCCTTGTCTGCTCAATCATGCTCCTTACATCACTTGGCGTTCATGTACTGCAATGCACTGTACTTACAGCATCTGCATGCCCGGATTAACATGAGACATCGTGCTACTGGAAACCACCCCAAGGCACATGCAGGTCATGAATCTAGGATGTGCCGTCTCAGCAACCGACGCCCTGCCTCGTATAATTTGCATCTCTCCAAATGGCGTCCAAACTGTCTTCAAGCCACCAGGAAAAAGCAAGGGTAATAAAGTGCAGTAGCCTGTGCACTAACAACAATGTGGAGAGCTTCATGCCATCATGCCCACTTTACCCCAAGCCAAGCTGCGTTACATAAGCTGGGATGGTCTGCACGTGCCACCTTGTTCAACCTGTTTCATCGAGGGCTTGACCAGCCTAATTCATCGAAAACACCGAGAGGTTTGAACTTGACATTGTTTCAAACTCGTCACCAACATTGCAAACATCGTGCGAATCGTGACACCTACCGAGAGCGAGAAGCCGCCTGCGTATTTCTCAGCCTTGCCAGCAATTGCCCGCCGATGATGGCACACTGATGTGCCCGTTGCGTGCCGCTTGTTCTTAGCAATCTTGCCGTCCGTTGTCGTCCCATGTCTGCGACGTCACCAATTGGGCACGATTTCCCAGAGCCATAAATCAACCATCCCGCCCGCCGCCAGCAATGGCTTTTCTCGAGGATCCGCGTCTGCGTCAGCGCTGGAACCAGATTACACACGATGCAGAGACGGTGACTGAGAATGCCGCCGCCGGCATTTGGACCTTCCAGCACCAGTACATCAACCCTTGTCTGGGCTCATTACGAGGGGCCATTGAGCAATGCACAACCGTGTGTCTGGGCGATCCCGAAGAGCGCCTTCGACGGCAGCGAGAGCGCGCTCGCGAACGGACAGAATACAGCTTTAATTTTTACGATGACTGGGATCGTGAAGAGGAGAGCGGCGGCCTGTTGGGCAACTGGGGAGGGGAAGACTGGGATCGTCTCTTGGCGGGCTCTGGGAGCCAGAGGAGAGGCGAGACCGTTGAGCAACCCCGACGTAAGAGGGGTATGAGTTACGGCACACGAGGAGCCAGGAGGAAAAACAGCGAACAAGACCCCACCATTATTCCCAGCACCCAACCCATTGGCTTTTTGAGCAAACTCCCCTGGAAAATGGGTGGCACTCTGAGATATAAACCTAGTGCGGCAGATCTACAGGAACACCCTGGTACCAGAAAACACGAATACACCGAGTCACAGCCGCTGCTGGGGGCGGAAGATGATTCGGACCACGAGAGATTGTTACAACCGTCCCGATCAAGGAAGCGGAGCGGTACTACGGGATCGGGTGGGACGTCGGATTCCTATCGCTCTCGTGGCGATTTATTCCCAAGCGACGGTGAAGGCGATGAGGATGCAGTGGCGCTCGATGACGATGTGACCTATGACATGATTAGGAGAGACGATAGGAGCAGCGCCATGAGCGGAAGAACACCGAGTAGCAAAGGAAAGCGACCGGCGCATACCGTCTCCAGGACGGTTTCGAGGACAACACTTGGCTCGGTTGCGTCAAAAGATTCGCTTGGCCTGGCAATCTTTGGCCAGGTAACTCAGGACCCCACACAAGATGCTCAACCCTTGCCATCACTGAAGGACTTGGAGTTGGAAGAAGAGCGTCTAGGTAGAGAAGAAGACCAAGAATTGGCAAAGAAGAAAGAGGCCGCAGCTCAATTGGCGCTGGATCGAGGTTTGCAAACGGAAGCAGAGCCGAAACCAGCAGATGTGGCAGACGACGAATATTTGACTGAAGAGCCGCACGAGATACACTTGGACGACGACGAGGATAGTGACGACGAGGCACATCACGATTCCGGGTTATCCGGAGGTGATTTAGAGATACGGGCAAAGGATAGGGCATCACCGCCTGTCCAGAGCGCTTTTGTCCCTGCGCGGCTGCCACATTTTGGATGAATACACTCGAGCGTTTTGGGGTTGATTGCTAGCTTTGCCGAGACCTAGCTGGCTGGGACATGCCTTGGCCTTGAAGGCCATATGTATTACTGACATGGGATATCTAGATGTCACAGTTTATTGTTATGACGGGGTTTGGGGAAACATTTACAACGCCTGGGAGCTGCTTTGCGTGGGAATGACGTGAAGCAGACATGGCTTTACTGATATCGATTGACGACAATGATGAATGATGAATCACACAATTTTTTTTTCTGATGATAGATATGAGTCGTGCTTTAGTGATGGCCCTATGTTATAGAGGACGGCTTCACTTACCACCGCCGCGCCCAAACGTTGAAGACGTTGGAAACTATTCAGTCCACATGTTGTGTTGCTATCTTTGGATCCAAATACTCACTTGTGCATTTCAATTATTGCCGTTAATATCCATTACAGCTTCAGCTATTATCTTTTATAAAAATGCAGCTAATCCCAATGCCACGGCAGTTCGTCTCACAGCCGCACTTGATACCTCGGTAGCGGCCGCTTCCCCGCAAAGTGCCTCCCCGCGAATCGTCTACCGCAGCCGTAGCCGTGCCGTTTCTAGGGACCAGCGCAGGTCCTCCATCTTTTAGCTAGTGAATATTAACGGGCTGGGGGCCACCTTACTCCGTATTCCGTAGGCCTACATGTCCCCAGAAGGGAGCGTCAAGGATCAATTCCCCGTGCTATCAAGTACAAATCCGGGGCATGTCTTGCTGGAAGCTGCTTCTTCCTCCTCCGTCTGTTCTCCATTCTGTGTCACTGTAGACTGCTCTGTGATTACCTATCCATAGCGGTCGGATATCGTGTCGTACCCTATCACGACTGTCACTTACATCACCTGGTATCACCATCACTCCCTTTCTTTCATTCACTCCATCATCATCATGGCGCCCACTGGACCCATCACTACTCCCATCACCACCCTTTTGGGTATCCAGCATCCCGTCCTCCTCGCTGGTATGGCGCGCACTTCGGGAGGTCGCCTTGCTGCAGCGGTGTCCAATGCGGGCGGCCTCGGTGTCATTGGCGGGTTCCAGTACACGCCTGACCAGCTCCGCGAGATCATTGCCGAGATGAAGGCAAACTTCAAGAACCCAGACTTGCCATTTGGCGTCGACTTGGCGCTGCCACAAATCGGAGGCAATGCGCGTAAGACGAATCACGACTACACAGGCGGCAAGCTGGACGAGCTGATTGACATCACCATCGACAGTGGCGCCAAGCTGTTCGTCAGTGCCGTCGGTGTACCACCCAAGTACATCATCGAGAAGCTTCACAAGAACGGCATCTTGGTCATGAACATGGTGGGACACCCGAAACACGCGGTCAAGGCGCTGGATCTCGGCGTGGACATTGTATGCGCCCAGGGTGGCGAGGGAGGCGGTCACACAGGCGACATTGCCAACTCAGTGCTGATCCCAGCCGTCGTCGACGTAGCGAGGAAATACAAGCCTCCCATGCTCAAGGGCTCGACGGCTCTCGTCGTTGCAGCGGGAGGAATCCGTAATGGACGAAGTCTGGCCAGCTCGCTGATGCAGGGAGCGGTGGCCGTGTGGGTGGGCACACGCTTCGTGGCTTCAGAGGAAGCTGGGTGCAGCCAGGCCGCCAAGGAGGCCGTCGTGACTTGCGGCTTTGAAGGCACGGAGAGGACGCTGGTGATTACAGGACGGCCGTTGCGGATGAGGGCGAATGAGTACATCAAGAGCTGGCATGACCGACCTGGCGAGATCAAGGCGCTGTGCGACAAGGGAATTGTGCCGATGGAGCATGATTTGGACGAGGGCAGAGATGTGGATTTTCCGCACTTGATGGGACAGGTTGCGGGCGCGATTGAGAAGATTCAGCCTGCTGGGGAGATTGTTGCTGAGATGGTGGAGGAGGCGGTTGAGATGCTCAAGCTGGGAGGAACGTATTTGACGGCCAAGAGTCGATTGTAATGAACATGGAATGATGATGAATATATAATGAAGAAGGAAAGGAGCTGTTTATTAATCTTGAATAAGAACCATATCTTTTGGTGCCGTCTTACGAGATCACCTAATATGATGGACTGTACTCCGTATGATCAACGGCTTCTGGTAATGGTGACCTGCTTCCAATTACACGGTACAAAGCAGATGTACCTTGTGGCATCGGGCCAAACCAACTGTGGCTGGTGTCTTGCTAGCCTCATCGGCATCTGTGGCGCAACCCCACCACTGTGGGAACCGATTTTTGCAAATCGCAGACTAGCAACTTTTTTTTTTCTTATCGGTTCCTGATTGCTGGTGAAATATTTCTGCTGCAGAGCCTTCCATTACAAACCGCCTGGAGCATCGCCAAATCACCAACAACGTCACAATGGATGCCGCCACATTGAACAAGAAGCGCAAGCGGAACAAGGTTGAGGCTGCTGCTGATGCCACGAAAAAGTCAAAAAAGTCCAAGAATCCCCCGCCACCGGTCGAGCCCGAGGTTGAAGATGAGGTAGCAGAGGAGGAGGAGGAAGAGGAAGAGGAAGAAGAGGCTGTCTCAAACGAGGAGAATGAGAACAGCAATGAGGATAGAGAATCAGATGCCGGATCAGATCTCGCGGACAAGCCCGCCGCCAGAGACGCCGATGGAGATGTCATACCCAACAACTCTGCGCCCATACTATCGACGCTGGCCGACTCCCAGAAGTTTGAAGACCTCAAGCTGTCCGAGAAGACGATGAAGGCGATCCAGGAGATGGGCTTCACCAAGATGACTAGCATTCAGCGCAGCGTTAGTCTACCTAACCAATTTCCATCTCCAATGGCGCAGCATGTACTAACCTGCTTCTCAAACAGGCCATCCCACCTCTTCTTGCCGGCAAGGACGTTCTCGGTGCCGCCAAGACAGGTTCCGGAAAGACGCTCGCATTCCTCATTCCCGCGATTGAGATTCTCAGCTCCCTGCGATTCAAGCCCCGAAACGGCACCGGTGTCATTGTCGTCTCCCCGACTCGAGAACTCGCGCTCCAGATCTTCGGCGTCGCACGCGAGCTGATGAAGCACCACTCACAGACATATGGTATCGTCATTGGCGGAGCAAACCGAAGAGCAGAGGTCGAAAAGTTGACCAAGGGTGTCAATCTTTTGATTGCTACCCCTGGCCGACTGCTCGACCACCTTCTCAACACTCAATTCGTTTTCAAGAACTTGAAGTCTTTGATCATTGACGAGGCGGACCGAATTTTGGAGGTTGGTTTCGAGGATGAAATGAGACAGATTGTCAAGGTTCTGTCAAACGAGGATCGACAGACTATGCTGTTTTCTGCGACACAGACAACCAAAGTTGGTGAGTATTTTTTGGGCCTTTCTTCACACTTGTTGTAACGCACGTGTCTAACTAAATGCGATGTACAGAGGATCTTGCCAGAATCTCCCTGCGACCCGGGCCGCTATACATCAACGTCGACGAGGAGAAGCAGCACAGCACAGTTGATGGTCTGGAGCAGGGCTACGTCCTTTGCGAAGGCGACGAGCGCTTCCTGCTGCTGTTCTCCTTCCTCCGAAAAATGCAGGCCAAGAAGAAGAAGGTCATTGTCTTCTTCAGCAGCTGTGCCTCTGTCAAATACTACGCTGAGCTGTTGAACTACATTGACTGCCCGGTTTTGGATCTGCACGGCAAGCAGAAGCAGCAGAAGCGGACCAACACTTTCTTTGAGTTTAGCAATGCGCCTCATGGTATTCTTATCTGTACCGATGTTGCCGCTCGTGGTTTGGATGTGAGTGTTTTGCTGGCTCATCATTGAGTTAAAAATTGTTGCTGACGAATGAACTAGATTCCCGCTGTCGATTTCATTGTTCAGTTTGACCCTCCGGACAACACTCGCGACTACATTCACCGCGTGGGACGAACTGCCCGAGGCACTGATGCCAAGGGACGAAGTCTGCTCTTCCTTCAGGTACGATCATAATCCACACAACTCTGACTCAGCATCGACTAATAATCCGATAGCCCAACGAGGTTGGCTTCCTGTCTTACCTCAAGGCAGCCCGCGTCCCCGTCGTCGAATTCGAGTTCCCCCGCAAAAAGATCATCAACGTCCAGTCCCAGCTCGAGAAGCTCATCGGCAAGAACTACTACCTGCAGCAGAGCGCCAAGGACGCCTTCAAGTCCTACCTCCACGCCTACGCCAGCCACAGCCTGCGGTCCGTGTACGACGTGCAGAAGCTGGACCTGGCCAAGATTGCAAAGAGCTTCGGCTTCCCCACGCCGCCGCGCGTGGACATTACGCTGGGCGCCAGCATGGGACGGGATAAGGTGCAGGCGAGGAGGTCGTATGGTAGCCAGCCGAAACAGGTGGGCAAGTATAAGAGGGATAAAAGGAATTGAGATGTAATATAATTTTGTTTTGTTTGAAGCAAGGGTAGCCCGTGATCCAATAAAATGACTGCGATGAATTGCAGTGGTGTTCTTTTGACAAGATGGCTTTGTGTAGGCTCGTCAGACGTAATCCAATAGAGGACATGGTTCAGTGTGGCTGATTCGTTTCTTTGGTCTGAAATACCGAGTTTGGACTTATCAAAGCAGACGGTTCAGTCAAACAAAGTAGACGCAATCTAACTCTGAACTCTCGTCTGTGAACAATCGTCTGTGAACGGACAACAGGCTTCTTTGTCCTTAACTTTGACAACATCGACTAACCGGCAAGCTTGTGCCACTCAAATGAATTAACTACTAGGTAACTACCTATCAAATTTCTTCATCAGGTCGGAACTCATCAAGGTAACTCGATCCACTCAAACAAAGAAGCCGCGATGTGAACACTAGTATTCCGCCAACTAGCTCACAACAGGCTCCTTTGTCCAAACATGGCGTCGTCTCATTTGGGTGTCGCGGGAACTTGCAGTTTTGTAGGTCGGAGTTATATAAAGAGGCCTCGACTCAGCTCATGTCCAGAGGGATAACGTCAAACTCCGAGAGAAATTGCATCTTACAAGTCTGCATACATTATGGACCCCCCACCATATCGCCCAGAGGATCCATTGGGGAAAAAACCACATTCCCTCGATGATCCATTGCCAGAAGTACCATATTCCCCAGAGGATGAATTGCCGAAAGTACCATATTCCCCAAAGGATGAATTGCCGAAAGCACCATATTCCCTAGAGGATTCATTGCGAGAGGATTCATTGCCGGAAGTACCATATTCCCGAGAGGATCCATTGAAGGAAGTATCTATTTTGGTGAATAGCCTTTATGTCCTTTCAGACGCTTTCTGCCGACACCTCCGCTGTCAACCCTCGAGCTCTGAAGATGAAAGACGCATCATCCGCGATTGTTTAACGGCCTTCAGCACGCTGGAAAATAAATTGGTGGCATCTGTCCCTGGATACTATCTTGAGAATCCTCTTCACGATTCGTTGCGCGATTTGGTTGGCTATATTGTCTCCTTCTGTGACTTTGGACGACTGCAAAAAGCCTGGGAAGCCTGGGCCTATGACAAGGCTAAACTGTTAAGAGATGCTGTAGATGATAATGTAAGTTAAAGATTAGTAATATGTAATGAGGATGGAACTAGCCAAGGCTGACACTACAGCAACATTAGAACACTGTCTCCCGTATTGCGACAAGACTCAGGGTGACGAGAGAGGTGAAAGATGAATCCAAGAAACGTTTGCATCTTGCAGAAGCCATGAGACCTGTAAGTAATACTAATCTTCTCAAGGACGCATCCTGTAAAAAGCCAGCACTAAAGCTCACTTAGCTTAGGTCCCGCGGACGGCTTCGTATCCGTTGCGATGATCAACTATATTCATTCCTACACGAATTGGAGATTACTGGTATTCTATCTAACAACTACTCCATTTTTCAACATATATATCCAAATGACTGCGAAACGGTGACTTCAAAAATCTCACAGCTTAGCGATGAAGTCCATTGCATGCTTCAAGACTCATGTTGCCTGAAAAGGCTGCCGAGCGGTTACTGGAATATACACAAAGATTTGCGGGATGCCACTACTAAGCCTGATTTGTGGGAGTCTTCTTGTCTTGGGAAGCTTGCTTTAGGCGATAGCTTTGAAGAAAAAAGTCGTCTGCTGTTGGTCACTGGCGAAGCAGGATGTGGCAAGACAAACCTACTCTTACATATCGCCAAACTACTTCTGAAGAGAAGATGGTACGCCCATTCAGACCCTCATAAAGTAGTTACGCATTTTTCTGAGGATAAGAACACAATTCAAGATTGCCTCTCATCACTGCGGGAGCAACTCGAAGGGAACAATGATGCTGGTTTCCCACTTTCACCTGAGCCCAAACAGGACACCTCCTTCGACGATTTGAGCAAAACATTGGGCAATTTTTCCCAAGACAATACGAATACAACATACGTCATATTGGACGGTTTAGACAAGTACGGTAGTGAAGGTGTGACCAGCTTGTTCAAGCTGATTGCCACCACTATCAACTCATCACCAAAGATTCACTGGATTGTTGCAATCAGATCATTCAGAAATTCCACAGCCATCAAGGGCATTAGTTATACACTAGCAGACGTTAGTGACAATGAGAAATTGAAAGATGCTGCAAAGAAGTTTGTTTCAATGCAGGTTGATACATTTTTCAAAAAAACTGGCATCCCAGATCCTTCCCGGGAAGATCTTGAAAAAACCCTGATGAAGAGATCGAAAGGAAACCTTCTCTGGATCACGCTGGCGTGCAGCATTATAAAGAAAGACCCTATATATGCCATGCACATAGCTGAGAACGTTGAAGAGAAAATTGAAGCCTTATACGTTCGCTTCAATAACCTGCTGCAGGTACAGCTGCTGCTGACAGCAGAAGAAAATGAACATTTAGGGGAGATTGTTACTATACTGGCAGCCGCCTACCGACCACTTGCGATTTCCGAACTCCGACTTCTTGTCCAGCTGTCAGATGCTGTTGACTTGGAAAAATTGATCAAGCGGCGATTCTTGTTCTTGTTGGAAGTTCAAGATGATATTGTGCGCTTCAGTCATGAGTTAGCCAAGAAGTATCTGATGGAGAAACACGTTGGTCAGATAAAGCCGGAAATACATGGAAAAATTGCGCTTCGATGCTTGGACTTTTTTGCTTCAAGCAGTTCTTCCGGCAACCTTTTTGACGAACTTCCGATTCATTACGCTGTTTCGCACTGGATCAAACACTTTTTGATATCGCAGTCACAATCTGGAGATCTTTATGCAAGGCGCACAGGTCTCGGGGCACTAACGGACGTGTTGAGCCTTGGCTTCACTCAGTGGCTCGATATAATAAAGAAGATCCGCTACCCAGTATCAGGAGTCAGCAAAGATCTTCTACAGCTTAGGAATTTCCTCACAGTGAGTTATAACCCCCGGCTTGGTCAGGCCTCGAAGCACCTTCTTCAAAATTAACCAACTACTCCCCTGATCTCTTTCGGTTGGAGGGATGGTGCGCAATCAGAATCTTCTAACAGAAAAATATTAGGGATGTGAAAGTAAACAAGTTGAGCAAGACATTCCTCATGATTGCATTATCGCCGATGTAATGGACGCCATGCGGTTCCTTCGTTTCAGTTACGACATGGGCAACGTCAGCCCAAAGGATAGTCTTCTATTCTACCCATATGAAGACTTCAGATTGAAGTTACTCAAGAAAAACTTTCCGCGGCTGTTGAATAAGCCAGCGACGGAATACAAGATGAAAGACATAGCTCTGAACCTCCACCCTCAGTCCCAGGTCCTCACCTGCGCCTACTCCCCAGATGGCCGTTTTCTCGCCTCATATTCGAAATCCGACAAAAAAATATCCATATGGGATATCCATAATGGTACAAAGACTGATCAGCTCCAGACTCGGGCTCCTGATGGCTTCACTATTCTACATCGCCTTCTCAGTCTCGGGGGCGTTGGCGGCACTAACTTCTTTTAATACTATTGATGTTTGGGACTTTCCCACTCGCAAACATATCAAGATGATCCGCAAAAACCTCGACAGACCATATTACAGGTTTGGAGATTTACAGGGTCTTACATTTTCACCAGATGGGACGCAATTAGCCACAACCAACGGTAAATCTTTCTTGACCTGGGCTTTACCGTCTCTCGAAGAGCACAAATATCGAATCAATACACCAGACACAATTAGTTGTGTAAAGTTTTTGGGAGATGGATTAATTGCATTTTCATCCTCCAACATTATTACTATCTGGCGTGAAGAGACGGCGGAGAATGTTCATATACTTCGCGGCCACAAAGAGGATATTACTAGCCTGGAAAGCTTACCCAAACATCAGTGGTTGGCATCTGCATCACAGAATGAGAGTTTTATACGATTATGGGACCCAAACTCGGGATTGGAATTATATACCCTGAATAGCCACAACCCTGGCATTAGATCCATCTCTTTCTCATTTGATGAGACGAAGCTGGCATCAGGGTACAAGGATTCTATCGAAATCTGGGACTTTGAGAATATGGGCCCGGATCCTCAGGGATTAAATATGAGAAGAATTGAGTACTTCGAAGACTCGAAACACGTTGAATCAGTAGTATTTTCGCCAAAGGATCTCAGTCTGGCGTCAGTATTGACCGGCGGCCTGATCCGGATTTGGGATACTTGCGCCTTTCGGCACGAAGTGAAAGGCTCTGTTACTCAAATAAACAGGCATACCTGTGCTATTCAATGCTTAAGGTTCTCACATAACGGAGAGTTTTTTGCTACTGCAGATCGCGATGGAAATATATGTATTTGGGATGGGAAAACAGGAGATTGTAAGATTTCGATTGAGAGCAAGGGCTGTGAATTACACTCGATCTCGCCGGACGACCAGAGCCTAGTCACTTCTTCTACCGATGGTGTGATGGCCATTTGGAATACAGGAAATTGGCTTCTGAGACGAAAACTTATCGGCCATCAAGACAAGATATTATGCGTCGAATTCTCTCCAGATAGGAGGCACATGGCGTCAGCGTCACACGACGGAACCATTGGAATTTGGGATCTATTAAACGAGTATGATATCGCAGAAACGAAACCGGCACATCAGATTAAGGCCGAGTTCGAGCGCTCGAACGCATTCGACAGGAAAGGTATTATACGAGCATGCATGGCATTTTCACCAGACGGAACACAATTAGCTTGCAGCGTGAGAGGTGGTGCCGCCATTCAAATCTGGAACGTGAAGCCAGATGGTTCACTAGATGCGTCTCAACAACTGCACTCTGCATATGATGCTTTTAATGAGCGCCCCTTCTTTTCTGAGCGTATCTTCTTCTCACAGGACGCCAATTTCATTATTGCGTCTGGAGATGGGCATTTGAGTATCTGGAGGATAGAATCTAAAAAACTCCTAATATTGATTAGACATGTGCCGATGATATTTCAGTCTCTAAGATGGGATGCAAGGGATCCGGGATATATTTTTACAGAACTTGGACGCTTTTTCATCGGCTATGTGTTTGATACGAAGGCTGAAACATCGAAACCGATGCGATATAATGATGGCTACTGGACGGATATGGTGAAAACGTCATCGGGTCGGCAATCAGAATCGTGTACATTAAATTGGAGGGAACTTGAGATTTGTTGCAAGGGTAAGCCATTGGCCAAGTTTCCATCCAGTTATTTCCCGTCTCACTGGCACGGTATATGGATGCTTTGGATTCGCAAGAAAAGGATTGCAATGGGATATAAATCAGGCCATGTGATGTTGTTGAACTTTGAGGGGAGATGACGACATAGATATATGACATTGAGATTGCTGTTCAATGTTTACGGCTGATGGATGGATAATTTCTTGACTTTGAGTCTTTGTTAGCTGTGAATTGATGAATAATTTTATTACTTCTTCCAGTCGATCCATCTATCACGATATTCTGTATATTCCTCTCAACTCTTTAACCATAAGATTACGAGCCTTGGGAATCAACTCATCACGGCATCCTCGTACAGAGAATCTACTTGCCCAGACGCTTGTCATTTGCTTATTGCAAGAGACATGGCCTGATATTGAAGAGTTGGCTGTATGAGCAGTATGCATGGCTAAACTCGGGAAAGTAGGCGACTAATCCTTAGAAGATACAAAATATTGAAATATAGTAACTGTTGGGGTGAAATAAATGTGCCTTGATCTGGTACTTTGACGCCGCTCAAGCTGCCGCTGAAGTCTTATATGGCAGGGATTGCATATCATCGATGATTGTTCATTATTGGGCTACGTGGCCTTGATGAGGCGCATCTGCGCAGTGCCTACACATATTATTGATGGCATATCACCATTATATTATCCTGCTTGAAGTTTTAATACATAAGGCTGAGGTTCCTGAGACAGTGTAGAGTGCATGATCAAATTGGCCATAGCCGAGATATTTGCCAGACTTGTTGAGGGAAGTTTGTATGCTTGTATTAATTCAGGCGTAAATGAATGGAGATTTTTAGAAAAATATGCATTGATCTAATGTAAAAATGCCGAGTTTCGAATTTCTCTCTCGTCGTATGGGAATGTGTACGTTCTCAAGTATCGAACACTACATCTGTATCACAAGTTCTCTCGCTTCCACTGAACTGAACTGGACAACGTGATTGCCGTGGTCTATTATCACAGACGGCTCTCACGACTGTAAAATAGCGCCTAGGTCAAGATCAAGAACTTGATCATCCACGCTATCATGATGCTGAGATTCGCGACCATTGCAAGCCGGGGGGTTTTGTCCAAAAAGAACTTTCAAACACGATAGAAAAACATATGGAGCACCTTTCTAGTAAGAGGAGCGGGAAACATAACCAACTAGCCCAAAAGCAAATCGTTTTCTTTGTGATTACTTCCTCGTCTGCCGAAGAGTGACCCTCTTTGGACAATATTGCCACTTGAGGCCAATTGTTGCAAAAACTTCCTGACTTGGAACGGAGGCCAATAGAATCTGTACGGCTGTTTCAATATGGAAATACATGTTGTAGTCACGATTCTCATCCTGTGGAATCTGAGCAGGATTAGGCTACTTGGCTTCGAAGATTCATCTACTAAGGGTTCAAAGAAGCGCCAAACTCACCTCCCATTTAATGTGTTACAAATATTTTTGGCAAGAATTTGTTTGTTTGAAACAAAGGTAGCTGCGATCCAACAAAATGATGGCGACCAATTGCAGTGGAGTCTTTTTGACAAGACGGCTTTGTGCAAGCCCGCCAGCTGGTATGTAACAGAGGACATGGATCAGCGCGGCTGATCAGATTCTCTTTATCCAAGTTTGATAATTTCGATTGACTGACATGCTTGTTCCAATCAAACAAATCAGCCAACTGACAAGTCTCGTTGTTCTGAACTAGGTCATCGGAAACCATCAAGGGGGCCAATTCACTCAAACAAAGCAGACGCAATTTCGACAGTGGAACTCTGCTAATCAGCCGACAACAGTCTTCTTTGTCCAAACATGATGACCTCGCCAATCAGCAAGATGAGGCTTCATCGTACAGATGGACTCTTTGTAGAGTATTGAGATTGTAATGTACGATGGGAATCTTGATTGGCTGTCTCAGGAATTTGCAATTTTACCTCTGTCTGATGACTTTGGCCATCGAACTGAGCTTCAGCGAGGTGAGTGGTATATAAAAAGGCGTTAGATCACCGCTTGTTTAGCCAGGACAACTTTACCCATCGAGAAAATTTTATTTGACTTACAAATTTGTTGTAAATCATGGGCAACGACGACCCTTTGCCCCCATATCTTGCTGCGGATAAGGAAAGGGAAGACTTTATCTTCTTCGTTCCTTTTCTTTCAGAAAATTTCCGTCAATACCTCTTCTATCACTTCTCAGGTCATGAAGATGGAGATAGCAGCTTTCTTGAGTGTGCAATAGCTCTCAATTCCCTAGAAAATGCGATAGCGGGATACTTCTTTACTAGCTCCAATGTCCCCACAAAGGATATTGGTAACGCATGGTACGATTTGGCTCAGAAGTTCGAATCTTTGCTTCACGGTGGTCGAATCAAAGAGATGCTCGAAAGCCGGGGCACGAAACCAGAATAGCATATGATCCTGTGAGTGACAGCTTACCAAACATACGAGGATGGATCTAGCAAAGGCTGACACGAGAACATCATTAGGTGTCCCATTGTCATTTTCCAATACTAAGGGATTGTGGATATCTGTTTAGACTGCTGGGCTATGAGAAGCCTGAATCATCTATTTTCAAAGACCTTTCTCCGAATGACCTCAAAGAGTTGAGTTCAAGCATCTTTGTGTTTACAAACGTAATCGGGATTCAAGGTCACCTACCCAAATTACCGAATGGCTACTGGAACATACTCGAAATGGAGGATCTCGAAACCATATACCCTAAGATTCAGCGAATAACGTCCCACAGCCATTCTGAAGAAAAGGACCGTCTGCTGTTGGTAACCGGCGAGCCAGGATGTGGCAAGACAAACTTGATGCTACAGTTCGCCAGACGAATGATGAGAATACCGCTCGAACAAGGCAATGATAAGGGTACTGGAGTGATTACCTACTTTTTCAATCATGGAAATACAATTGAAGATTGTATCTCATCGGTAGTTTCGCAGCTCAAGCGGTTAGCTGAACCAACACCCGACATGATGATAGGTACATTATGTTGCGAAATTAAGAAAAAGTTTCGTTCAATATATATCGTTATTGACGGCTTAGACGATTGCTTCAATCCCGACGACGATGAAACGGCTCCAAAACTCGAAAATCTATTAGAGTTGATGTTTAACACTATCGAACTGTTAGAAGAAATTAATTGGATTATTTCCTGCAGATCATTCGACAAGGACTTGGTTCCCCACACCTTCAAGTCTTATGAACTGAATTTGAATGATGAAAAGGAATTGGAAAAGGAAATGGAAATCGAATTGGAAAAGCCTGCGATGAACCTTATTTCCATTCAACTCGATGCATTTTTCAGAAGAAATAGCATCCAGGATTCCTTTCGCCAAAAAGTTGAAACTGCTTTGCTGAAGAAATCGAAAGAAAATCTTCTATGGATCAAGCTTGCGTGCAACATTTTGGAGAAAGATCCTGATATTGCCTTGGGATTTGGGGATACACTTGAAGCACGGGTCGAAAATTTACTGGATACATTTGGAGAACAGATCGAAGACTTATACACTCGGGGATATGAACAGCTGAAGCTTACAGCAAAAGAAGAACCATATCTCGAGAAAATTATTACAACAATGATAGCCGCTTACCAGCCGCTTTCGATCTCAGAGCTCCGATGTCTTGCCCCGTTGCCAGCGGGCGTCAACTTAAAACAGTTGATCAAGAAACGATTCATCTTCTTTTTGGAAGTTCGAGAGGATATTGTTTATTTTAATCACCGGTTATCCAAAGAGTTTCTACTCAAGCGTTATGATCATAACGACCAGGTGACACAGCAGAGACACGCTGAAATTGCACTTCAATGCTTGAAGACGCTTGTATCAAGGGACTCTGAAACCAACGCTTCTAAAAACATATCTTATTGCGATTCTTCACACTGGGTCAAGCATCTATTGTCGTCGAAATTTGTGTCCAACGACATTAATATAGGCCTTGATGTCGCACTGATGGACTTTTTGAACCGCGGCTTCACTCTGTGGCTCAGTGCGATGAGCAAGACTAAACACCCATTTTCACGAGCAAATAGGCATCTCCTAAGGCTTCGGGATTACCTTACAGTGAGTTATAGCCCTCAGTCTCCTTCAGCTATACTCATCCCCCCTTCTCTCATTGCCTTTTGGGGGAAAGGGGAGTGTCCTTGATAAAAGTCTTCTAACAAAAATATTTTAGAGTTTTATCAATCAAAAAACCAGGTTTCATGATATTATCGTCAAGGTACTAGACGCTGTGCGATTCCATCTTTTCCACGACAACGTGAGCTCGGACTACCCAATGTATTCCCGAAACGATGAATCCACAGTCAGGCCAAAGGATTCTCTTCTATTCTACCCTGGCAATGGATTCAGACTACAGCTACTCAATGAAGAATTTCCGCAGCTGTTGAATGTCCCGCCGACGGAATACAATGTCAACGACATGGTACTGAACATCCGGTTTCCCACTGAGGTTTGCTGCTTCGCCTACTCCCCAGATGGCCGCTTTCTCGCTTCGCCCTCGTCTTTGTTTGGGGAGAAGAATGCTGGCATATGTATATGGGATGCATATACTGGTACTTGCATTGGAATACTTAAGACGCCTGCTCTATCTAGGACACCTATGGACAACATCACCTTCTCAGCCTCGGGCGAGTTAGCGAGAACGTATGGTTGTGCTATAGATGGTTATAACCTTTCCACACGCGCCAGCATTGAGGGAAAACGAGAGAAAAGATATCCCTTCGAATTTAAAGATCTTACATTTTCTCCAGATGGCAAGCAGTTAGTCGCCATGGCGTACGACAACATCTTCATTTAGGATTTTTCGTCTTTCGAAGAGCACCTATATCCCCTTCCTGAAGATCAGCACCCGATTCGGGCTATAAAATTACTGGGAGATGATAAAATTGCAATCGCGTCCAAAAAAGGCCTAGAGATCTGGGCATGGAAGACAGAGAAACGTGTTCTGCATAAGCTTCACGATGATACGTGGGATATCTGTAGCTTGGCATTCTCACCGGCACGTCAGTGGTTAGCAGCTGGATTGGAAAAAGGGAAACCTGGTGAGGGAACTGATGACAGCTACGCGATAAAAATATGGGACATAAATTCAGGAAAGCTATTGCACACCTCTAACGATCTCACGTGCAGCGTTTCACAGCTCTCTTTCTCGTTTGATGCGAAGAGACTGGCAGCAGCAGATGGAAAGTGGCCCTATAAGATTATCAGTATTTGGGATCTCGAGAAGGGGCACTTCGATCCCCTTGGCTTCGAACTGATGCAATATGACAATACAGAAAGTATGGAGTCCTTCCAATCAATGGTATTTTCTCCGAAAGATTTCAGCCTGGCGGCACTCTTCCACAATATCAACGGCAAGAAACACGGCAAGCGAAACGGCAAGCGTGAGCTTTGGAGCACTATCCGAATTTGGGATGCGTCCGCTTTCGAAGACGAAGCGAATAAACGTATTATTCAGACAAATGGACATACACATGCCATTTGCTGCGTAAAATTTTCTCATAATGGAAAATTCTTTGCTACTGCCGATTGCAATGGAAAGATATGTATTTGGGATGGAGTAACAGGAAATTACCAAGTTTCGTTCGAGAGCGAGAGCAACGGCGATGGTGATGACGTATTCCTTTTGATCTCGCCGGATGATGAGAGTCTAGCCACTTGTTCTACCGATGGCAAAGTGACTATTTGGGATGCAGCAACTTGGTCTCCGAGACAAAGGCTTATCGGACATGAAAGAGTGGTATCGTGTGCCGTATTCTCTCCGGATGGGAAACGTTTAGTTTCAGCGTCAGACGACAAAACTAAATGCATTATAATTTGGGATTTACATGGATCCTCGAATACAGACAAAATAGTGGAAACGCCACCGACCCGTCGAATCGAGATCGCAGAGAAGGAAACGGTACCGACATGCATGGCATTTTCACCGGATGGGACACAGCTAGCTTGCTCCGCGGATACTGTTAAAATCTGGAATCTAAGTCCAGATGGTTCGCTAAATAACCTCCAACAACTCGAAGATGAGTGGAGTGGGAGACATATTGCTTTTCAGAGCATTTCTTTCTCGCAGGACGCCGAGTTCATTATTGGGTCTGGATATGACCATTTGAGCCTTTGGAAGATAGAATCCAAAGAATGCGAAAGAAGTATCGACGTGAATTTGAGGTTTCAGTCTCTAACATGGAACCCGGACGACCCACAATACATTTTTACAGACCTTGGCCCCTATTACATTAGAGAGGCCTTTGATATCAAGCCTCCTAAAGATCAAAAACAGAGCTTCTGGAAAGGTAGATGTCATTTCAACGATGACTACGTTAGAACGCCACCTGCAACGAGCCCGAAATCAGCCTCGTGCACATTAAAAAAGGATGGAAGTGGCATTCACTGGAAGGGCAAAAGCTTGGTCAAGTTTCCAGACCGATATCGCCCCCTTGCGTGGGGCAAGGCTCTATATATGGCTTCCATTCATGGAAGAAAGGTTGCACTGGGGTTTGAGTCGGGCCATGTGACGCTATTGAACTTTGAGGGAGATGATACTGAGATTTGACGTTACGATTGATCATTGATGGTTTAGGTTTATGGTTGATCGGTGAATAGTTTTTGACTTGGATAGTTTTGACTTGGATAATTATGAATTGATGCATGAATTGGTTATTCATCCCGGCTAATCTACCTGCCATGATATTTTGTATACTTCTCTCAGCTCTTTCCCCCGCAGGCTAGGTATGGGAATCTAAAGCAACCCAGGAAACTTCACTGTAGCGCAATCTGTGACTCTGAATTTCCTGTTGGTATTGATCGCATCCGCTAAGTGCCTATGTGGGAACTAAGCGGAATGTAAGATGCCTACAAGCAATATCCCTTAATGTCTATATAGTCTGATCGCGAGCGAAGAACCACTTCCGAGCTGTAGCCTAAGTAATGTAGCAAGTTGGGAAAGGAAAAAATAAAGATCCGCCTATGAATCAGGTCTACCCTTCTGACTGTGAGGACTCATTATTCCAAACTTGACGACCAAAAGTTCATCGAGTGTTGAGGTACCTAATCTACCATTTCTAAACTCTGATCGCCAGATTTCTGATCCTCAAAAAGACGAGATACATGCCTGTTCGGCTCGGGAGGGACATGATCTGCTACATAAGCAAGTGAGCTCTTGGATGCCATCAAGTAAGTACCCGATTATGAGAAAACTAACGCAGAGAAATTTCATCGATTGATCGCATTTTCGGGTGCTGTCCTCCAGGAATCCAGCCAAGAAGCTCCTTTGCATACGCGGCTGCTGTTGCAGCGGCATATCTTTGCCATTGATCATTCCTGTGAGAGTCGGCGTAGTCGCTTATCCCCTTGATGACGAGACAAGGGAAGCTATGCATTACGCCGGCCGCTACCGTATCAAAGCAAAGAATGCCTTCTCCGACGTCGCTTAGAATCTTGTCTCGAGTGGCAGCGTCCTCAATTATAGTGTCTCCAGAAGCGATTATGCCGTAATGAACCCATGGATCTTCGGCACCGCGTGCTTCACGCTTAATCTCATAGGCTGGATCGCAATTGGCGCATGTATCACCCTCAACATGTTCAAATGTTGCTTTGAAGAGCCGATCATTCTCAAATCCTTGGTGAATATACTTTGAGCCTTGAGTTGAGGGCCGGTGTACTAGAGGAGTGATCGCCCACAACTGTGCATTGTTTATGTACATCTCTTTGAGAGTTGTTGGGATCCTTGGTGAGCTGACCTCATGCTCTGCCTGTAGAGCCGCCACCGCTTGAAGGAGGACCAAAGGAGGCGTGTTCAAAATGCCTTTGGGTTCCCATACTTGTCCTGTTTTGGCCTTTCCAAGGTCATATTGGATGACGCCTCCCGTTCGTCCTTGAGGCTGGCTGACAACGACATCGCCGAGGCGGATATCCTGACCTTGATCAGGTCGAGCGACACCCGCCCCGATGCCCACCAATAGGCCAATCTTTATATGAGGTAAAGATGAGAGGAATTTTGCCACTGTAACTGCTGCAGAACAAGTTCCGGGCACACCAGCAGGAAGTGAAGCTATGACGACGTAATGCGTGTCTATTCGGCCCCAAATGTATGAGTTTGTGTCGAACGGGTGTTGCTCAAATTCTTCGGGCGCCTCATAACGCTCATGAAGCACAGCTATGGCTGCGGCACGGTCGATGGGAAGAGCAGCAATCCACCCGATTTTATAAGAGTCGACACTATTCATGGCTTTATCAGTTGTTGAGGGATTATGTATAGAGCCTCTGGATGAAGCCAGAAGATAGATGTCGGCTAATACATATACGCAGGTATATCGTCTTTCCCATATTTAAGCGCTGAGAGGCGCAGGGATACAATAGCCGCGCATCCACACATGCATGAGAAGCAGTTGCGATTGGCTTGGATGGAGGAGGAGATGAATAGACGTGATGCTACAATTAGAATCATGGGTTGCCCGATTCTAACTTACTCGTCTCGTCTTAAAGGTACACATGCACCTGTTTTGGAACTGGATTACACTAAGGACCGTGTAAGTGCGAGGAGCCGCTGGAAGTGGGTGAGTATCAGCACACATGCACAAGTCAACAGTCAACATTCACAGCCCAATATTTGCGGCGCATATCAAATCTCTTAATATTGATATTATTGTAATCATAGCATTCTCCATTTTAGTTAATCGCTGCATCCTCAATTGCAAAACTACTGCCTTCTTCTCTGGAGGGTTTCCTTGAGACTCGGACCATTCAATGTGGCTGTGTCACGTACTAACGTAATCCGCAATTTCAAATGTCAACCACTGTGTCCAATGTGACGCCAACCGCTTCAATCTCACACAAACATCTTCAACAGCGACTTAATTCCCTTTGCCAGAGTTTGGTTTCATTTTCCCCAGCGTTTCTTTTGTATACATGTGTAAACCACCATAAAATCGCTCATATAACCACCATGGAAGCTCACGATAAAGTCATCGCATCCATATCATCCCGCGTCAAGCACTTCCATCAGCAGCAAAAGCCCTTTCGCATCTACCATGGCGCCACAAACAGCACGCGTCGCTCCCATCGCCGCTCAGACAACACAATCGACACCAGCCAGCTCAACCATGTGCTCTCCGTTAATGCCGCCGCCAAGACGGCCATTGTAGAGCCGAACGTGCCAATGGATCTTCTCGTCAGCGAGACGCTGCGTCATGGCCTAGTCGCGCCGGTCGTGATGGAACTCCCGGGAATCACAGTCGGAGGCGGCTTCTCGGGGACTTCGGGAGAGAGCAGCTCATTCCGTTACGGCGCGTTTGACGCGAATATCAACTGGATCGAGATTGTGCTGCCGGACGGCGAAGTGGCGCGAGCGTCCAAGACGGAGCGTCAGGATTTGTTTTGGGGCGCGGCCTCGGCGTTTGGGACGCTGGGAGTGGTGACGCTGCTGGAGGTGCAACTGAAGGAGGCGAAGAAGTATGTGAAGCTCGAGTATTCACTGGCATCAGGAGCGGCGGACATGTTGGAGAAGGTCAAGGGGGCATGTGCGGTGGATGAGAATGACTATGTGGATGCTATTGTTTTTTCTATGGACACGACAATTGTCTGCACGGGGAGGTTGGCGGACGAGTTGCCACAGGGGATAAAGTCAGTCGGATTTCTAGGCCGAAGCGATCCATGGTTCTATACCCGTGCCAAGGATGTTGTCAAGGAGCTCAAAAAGACGGCAGCAAAGGGAGGAGAAGAGAAACAAACGACAGTGACGGATTATATCCCCCTCGAGGACTACCTCTTCCGATACGACCGTGGTGGATTCTGGACTGCCGTGTATGCCTACCAATACTTCATCACGCCGTTCAACAGGATCACTAGGTACATCCTGGATCCCTTTATGCACGCTCGCGAGATGTACCGCGCCGTCCACAAGAGTGGTCTCGCCGATTACTACATGGTTCAAGACGTCGGCGTTCCGTATGACAAGGTTGTTGAATTCCAAGCCTGGTTGGACAAGGAGCTGCACATCTACCCGCTCTGGATCTGCCCATTGCGCATCCGTCGTGATGATCCGGATTCAGGACACGGTCTGCACTCGGAATTCGCGAACTCTGATGTCCCTGACTTGATGAATTTCGGTGTCTGGGGCGGCGTCAAGGGTACCCGCCGAGAAGTCATCGAAAAGAACCGCGCGCTGGAACGTAAAGTGCAGGAATTGAATGGAAAGAAGTGGCTGTATGCTCACGCATATTATACAGAAGAGGAGTTTTGGGCGCATTACGACAGGACGTCGTATGATGCACTGAGGAAAAAGTACAAGGCCGAGTATCTGCCGAGTGTGTACGACAAGGTAAAGGTCGATGTGGAAGGTGAGGAGAGGGCGAGGAATGCGACGTGGAAGGCGAGGTGCAAGGCCGGATTCTGGGATCTTTGGCCATTGGCGGGATTGAGAGGATTTTATAGTGCGGTGAAAGGGGGTGATTATTTGCTTCAAAAGAGTAAAGGGAAGAAGAACGAGGAGGCTGTGAGAACGGAGACGGAGACAGCGGTGAAGACGGAGTGAGGATAGACCTGTATGCTTGTGAGAGAGGTGGGATATGAGATACCCAAGAAGATCAGAGTGCAAGAATATAGACTGCTTTAGAAGACTAGGCTTACTAGAACTTGGAATGCGTATTTATTTATTTGTGTTGATGCATTAATGCGATAGCCATATACACTTTGATCCATCCTCTCCACTACTCTTACAAACCAAATGAATGAAGGTTTTGTTTTTGGTGACTATTGCTTGTCATTCCGACTTTGTTTTGATGTCGATTATCTTTCATTTGGGTGGCAACCCCGGGCACAGCAGACACACTTCCCTATCAGTCATGTCGAAAGCTTCCCAACTCAGTCTTTGTCCTCCCACTCATTTCGCCCATAGTCTTGTCACGCTGCTGTCTTGCCTCATCGGGATTCTTGACAATCCAGTTGTAGCCTATGAGAACGGCGAGGGCACCACCTCCAATGACCATCCTAGGGTGATACCCCATTAGTTGACATTCTCATTGTATATCAGGGGGAAATACGCAGGGACGTACCAATTACGCTTGAGAGCTTCAGGTCCGCCTGGATTTCGAGGTGGCGGCTGTTGGCCTCCGGGACCGCCGAGGTCATCTTTGCCTGAGCCGAAGGCGGTGGCCCGAACCGGAGCGGTAGTGCTAAATGGGGCAATCACGGAGCGGGAGGCAAACGCCGGACGGAGGACGGTGCGGAAGGCGACGATGGATCTTGCAGACATTGTTAAGAGCTTGATTCGGGGTTGTGTTTATTGGATTGATGAGATTGGAATCTTTTGGTGTTTAGGACAAGAACAAGAGGGTGTGCAGGAGCTGTGACAGTGTGCAAGAGGGGCTTTTTATCGTGAGTAAGTGCCTGGATGATCGATGACTTCAATGCGGTGGCGGTATGATGCGGGCATGACGCGCGGGCTGCGAAAGAGAAGATGCGTGTCCCGCATTTGACAGCGATATTGGATTGGCATTGGCAATTAAGTAATTTGAGGAGAAACTATGGGGATTTTAAGCAAATGGGTGATTGTGGCGGATGTTGGCGGTATAGGGGAGAGGTTGGTTATTTTTGGCGTGTTGGTGGTGTGATGGATGGGAGATCTTGGGCTGATGGCATGCGGGAGGTGTGTTGTCAATCTGATAATTTTTTTTATAAGATTATCTTCGTTAATAAAGATTTGGATGGTTTGAAGATGATATACTCTGTCAATGCGATTGTATTGGATGGTGGTTGCTGGCTATGCTCACAGAGTGTAATTGTATGAGAGGGGATCACAGGGTATCACTAGATCCGAAGTGAGATGAAAACAATGCAATAGTATATGAATAACAATAAGAATTTCATTAGGTTTTTATTGTATTAGAGGTCACATAGATCTATCTATTCCATCTACTTGTTATTAGTTGACCACAGCTCTTGATTGAACTACTGCGTAGTGTGCCACAAGCAAGCTCAACCTCATCAAGCTCAACCAGCACCATGTCATCAGCGCCGAATAATGCATCGCACTAGCCTATCTATTTTCGGTTATAGACTACCGCATTTGGCTGAAGTGAATCAATGAGCGATTCTCAACCACCATCTGCCAAATTACACGATTAAGACCAGCCACTAAAGCGAGGTAGAGCTCTTACATAAATGCATTGTCATGAGACAAACTCCGGCACATAAGAAGCTCTATAATCTTAATTCTTCATTATAGTACAACTTTTATCTGCTTTTGCATGCGTCTAAAAGTTCCACCCATTTATGCAATGCCCAGCTCTAGTCTCGCTTCACAGAAGGATCACCAACTCTTAGCGCATCCTTCACACGCCAAATGCTCAGTCTGATCCAAGTTCTATACCTCCATTGGGCATAACGGAGCGCTAATGCCTCATGCACGAATAAATAGCAAATCTCATTTACCATGACGTGTCTCTATAAATTCCCCTTTGCTCCTCACCCATCAAGCCCTCGAATACCACATCTCAAGCCCATCTCCGGCTCGATATTTCATGACCTACCAAAATGGGCCAACACGCATCCGTTCCCCGCAAAGGCGCCAAGCTCCGTGTCATCGGCGCCGGCATGCCCCGAACCGGAACCGCCTCCTTCAGTCGGGCCTTAGAAATCCTCCTCGACGGCCCGGTATATCACGGCGGCACCCAAGTCACACTGGGTCCAGAGCGAGGTGTTAAGACCTGGCTTGAACTGTTTTCACATTGGCCGGCCCAAGACAAAGCCACCGAAAAGACGAATCTGGAGCTCATCAGGAGTCAAACCGATGGCTTCGTCGCCATGACCGACAACCCATGCCTCGTGCTCGTTCCGGAGCTCATGAAACTGTATCCAGAGGCATTGGTAATTTGCACACAGCGCGATGTTGACTCTTGGGAGAAGAGCATGGAGGCAGTTTCCAATGCCGCGACGATGTGGTTCCTCCGTTTCGTCTTGTTTCCTCTTCCTACAATGCGCTACTTTGTTCAATTCATCGATTCAATGCGCCCTGTATGGCTGTTTCGCTATGGAGAGACCGAGCCACCCACAAGGAAGTCTTACAACCGACATGTCGAGTGGCTGAAAGAGATTGTGCCACCCGAAAAGCTTGTCTTTATAGATGTCAAGGATGGATGGGAACCATTGTGCAAAGCGCTGGACTTGCCAGTTCCCAAGGACGTACCCTTTCCTAATATTAATGACAGTAAAGCGATTGATGAGTTGGCGAAGAGGCAGGTTCAGCGGGGATTGACAAGATGGGCCGTCTTGTTGGCCGTTGGGGGAGCGTCTGTGGCTCTAGCTGTGAGAAAATGGATGTGATGATGTGATTTCTGGGGGATTATGTTATGAAAATTGCATGTAGATACAAGGCCTTGGGGGGAGTTAAAAATGCTGTGAAGGAGATTCTCATCGGGTGGTAGAAGCCGGAATGTGAATAGACCGCCATTGGCTATCTTGATGGGGCTAGTAGAATAAACTGAGTTTACTTTATTTAACCACAGCTGTATTAACTGGACTCGTTAAAGTAATATTCAATTTATTGAGAAGGGGCATCGTAAAGTACATTAGAAAGGGGTAGAGTTTCTGAACCCAGCAAAGTTCAGCTTCATTCAAACATGAGGGAAACTACCAATGTATTTGAGATTGAGTAATGAACAAACTGGCACTCACAATGCTTAGATGAATAGTTTTATTCTCTCATTCTCTAACCATTTTGTGTTGTTTCTTGGTGGTGATCTTGTTGTCAATGTACCGGCGGCCAACTGTCACAGACTGCATGGTTATAGAAACAGCTAGTAAGTTCAACGAAAGTGCCGATTGGTACTGCAACTGATCGAATTTACGGATAGGTTAAAGTATTAACGCCTTTGTACAACATTAGTAGTCGTTATTTCCTTCTTCAATCGTGTAATCACCTCTGAAGCGAAATTTCATAATAACTGTTTCTCGTGATACTCATATTCAATCATCAGGTGAAAATGCCGAACAAGCCAATGAGAATCGTCAAAGCGGCACAACCACGTCTACCCCAGATCCAATAGTTTGACAGCTTTCATCTTCGTCAGCAAAATTTCGTTTTATTCCCGAACAATTCAATCTTACTCGTCCCCTACCAAAAAGACGACCTAGCCACCAAATCAACCATGGCGCACCATAAATGCCGTCGGGTATTTTCCAGCCGCAAATCATGGCCCCGACGGAAGCTCCAGATACCAATCAGAGGCGCTTCGAGACTCAGATGATGGCCATCACCGTCGAATTCCATTGCTGCGGATTATTATTACCCGCCAGGCGTTTCCGTTATCCTATCCCTTCCGTTGCTCAATGGACAGCCTCGGGGCTTTCCACCCAATCTCAGCTCCATGTTCTCCTAATTAGCGGAAATGGATCTCTCAGCCCGCCTTATCTCGACCTTTATATATCGCCATCAGCCGCAACAGCTGTAGACTCGTAGCTCCATCATCTCCAATAATCACCAATCTCTCCTCCTCCTCTAACCCGTTGTCACTGCCGTTGGACCAAATGGGCAACTCAAAGTCAACCCCTCGATCCTCGTCACAGTCCTCGGGCCTTCGAAACGGCTTCGCAAAGACTTCTCAAAAACCTCAGATGGTTCAGAAGGCGCCGCAGGTTGTGGCAACGCCGCTGCCACCACCTACTGTACCAGCTGGACCGTTAACCTTGAGCGGCAAAGTCTTTGCCATCACAGGCGGCGCCAGCGGGATTGGTTTGGCGACTGCCCAAGTTTTGTCAAGACGAGGAGCGGTCGTATGCATCGCCGATGTAGATCCTGAAGCAATGAAGGCTGCCGAAGTCTACTTCACCTCGCTGCAAGTGCCTCACATGATCACAAAGGTGGACGTTTCCAAGCGAAAGGAGGTCGATGCCTGGATCGAGTCGATTGTCAAGGAGCATGGCCGACTGGACGGCGCGGCCAACGTAGCAGGAGTGATTGGAAAATACCACGGCGTGTCTCCAGTTTCAGAGCTCGACGATGACGAGTGGGATAGGATTATTGGCGTGAACCTGACTGGCACCATGTACTGCATGAGGGCTGAGCTCAGGAATATGAACGATCGCGGATCCATTGTCAACGTTTCCTCGATTCACGGTCTCAAGGGTAATTTTGCCCTTTTCATGTGAAGTTTTGAATGCCTTTCAATGCTGACTGCGTGTTATTAGGCTTTGCTAGACATGGTGCATATGACGCAAGCAAGCACGGCATCGTCGGTTTGACACGAGCAGCCGCCCTCGAGAACGGAGAGCGCGAGATTCGCGTCAACAGCGTAGCTCCAGGCGCCATATATACGCCCCTCATGCAAAAGAACTGGGACTTTTCAGGTCGACCAAAGGACGCCGCGTTTGATGATCCCACGGCCTTTCAGCGACAGGGTACAGCTGAGGAGACGGCAAATGTCATTGCTTTCCTGTTGGGTCCGGAGAGCACGTTTGTTAGCGGAAGCGTGTACAAGGTAGACGGCGCGTGGATTTGAAGGATTGACGCCATAGAGGGGGAAATCTGGCTTGCATTGTATTGCGGCGTTATCGTTATATTTGTTTCGGGACCGGAGTGGCCTTTTGCTGTTGTTGAAGTTTCAGTTGTTATTACATGTGTACGTGCATGTAAGAGCACGTACATGCAGTTATGTACCTACTTTCAACTCGTGTCTATTTATCAGATTGCTCTAGAAGCAATCAAAGAACTTTACCTACTTTTATCTAACTTGACATCTGGTTAAAGTGGTTTCAATATAGTGGTACAGTAGCCTTTGCCTCATGCAATTCGGCCTAATTTACGTTTCCAATTGCATGGGTCGATTGTTGGGTATCGACTGACACGGCAATTGCAAGTTCATCTCCGCCTCCGCCTCCATCTCCATCTCATCTCCTCTTAGAATGTCTGCCTGGCCTTGTTCAGTTGTTCCCCGATGCTCCACAGGTGCATTAGCATCCCGTACTTCGCGACTCTGGTGCTAGTGCTATTCAACTAGGTCTTCCATGTCCATACGGTGATGGTTGTCAGGATCGGCGTCATGTGAATAACACAACCACAGAAGAGGAGACAAAAGGCCGCACTCCGGTTGGATAATTCTTCCGACGGAACAGACGAGCTGACACGATTGGCCGAATTATGCCCCCAAATTGGCCGTTCACAGTAGCATCGCGCGGTTCCACCCTCTCCACAACCTCCAACTATGGAAACCTGGGGAAACACGGCTATTCTTCTGGATCCCCGGCCGCAGAGGAGAAAAAAAAAATGACGGTGCCGGCATGAGGCAAAAGCCCTGGCAGCTTGTGCTAGAAGCTTGCTAGCAAGAGTCTGCGCGAAACCAATTGGGGCAAAATGGCCAAGCCTCATGCCATTTAGCATCGACTTTCTCCCCGCATTCTGGGACGGGCACCAAGTTGCGAACGATACTTGTACTGTACTGGATGATTTGCGGAACGGGCATTTTGCTCTCTTGTTCGTGTTTCATAAAAGGCACGGCCGTCCAAGTCCCAGGCCGGAGCTGATGCTGGGTCCCCGCATAATAACCAGTCGCCAATCCGTCGGGTCCCCGTTACGTTTACCCCCTGAGCCTCGTCTCTCTCTCCTTGAATCGTGCCCGGATATTTCAGCAAGTCTCCATCTTTTACGGGCAGAAGGGCAAGCCAAAGGTGGATTCCGCACGAACGAAAATATGGCAGCCGAAGCCGACGGTCAAGAACGGGATCGCCCTGAGCCTCTCGTCGCGTCATTGATGCACCGCAGCGAAACGCCAGACACGGAGCACGCCCGCCCACGGAAACGGACCCGTAGGGCTTGTGATAAGTGCAGTGCCTCGAGGACGCGATGCGATGGAGAATGGTAAGTCTGATGTTGTGGCTGGAGCTCCTCATCGTTGATATCTGACTGAGATTTGTGCCCGCGTGCAGTCCTTGTCGCCGTTGTGAAGGTAAGCTCAATAAGCAGCTGTTTCTATTTCCACATTCCGGTTTCCACCCATTGGGGCTTCATCTTCATTCATCTCTGCTTCATTGTTTCACTTTCAAAGCTTGACGTATCTAACATCTTACCCTTTTCACTACTTTCAAAGACTACGGATACACCTGTCGTTACAATCGCGAAGTCAAGAAGCGAGGTCGACTACCAGCCTCAGCCACGGCCAACAACCACAACACCAACGGCAGCAGCATCAATGCCCGAAGAGACTCTTGGCCTCAATCACATCGACGAGGCAGCATTCGAAACGATTCAATCCTAGGCCGTAGCAGCAATGGCAATAGTAACAGCAACAGCAACAGCAATGGCATCTCCCAGGCGTCCTGCTCATCTCCATCGGCCAGCATCAGCTCTAGCACCGTTGGACAGCATCCTTTTGCCGACCCGGTGGATGCAACGTCGGCCGGTCCCGAAAGTGTAACCTTGGATCAGCGGGATCAGGTCACCGTACCTGACGCTCGCCAAGACATGCTGCATTCCATCAGTCAGCCTTACTCTCAAAGTCGAACTGCTCCTCCACTCAGCGTCCCGTCTCTTATCCAAGTCGGACTTCAACCGCCACCTCCTCAGCGTTCCTCCATAGGCAATTCTCTGTCAGTCAGTGTATTTGACGGACAATTTGCTGACTCAGAGGTCGTCCTGTCTGATGAAAGCGCTGGCTACCCCTCGCCAGTAAACGGACGGCCTCCTATCGAGACTGGAAGTGCGCGCCAGCACAGAGGCTCCTTTAAATCGACTCCCAGTCATGAACGAAACCGAGAGTCGTTCAGCACTGCTGCAACTGGCCATGATGCCGCGGGTCTCATGTTGGACTTCTTTCACAAGGCCCCAAACGAGGATTGCTGGTACAAGTTTCTTGAGCCAATCTTGCCATACATCCGCAACATCATTCCCGCCTCTGTTGCATGCGATTTGCTCGACATCTTCTTGACCGACCCGGGGAGCTCCTTGTTTCGTGTCGCATCTCCATACATCTTGACCAGAGTCTTTCGTAAAAAGTCTATTGTACATCCAACAAACCCCAGATATACCACACCAGCGTTGTTGGCAACAATCCTTTGGTGTGTAGCACAGACTGCCGATGTCATGATGCTGCATGTCCCGGGCTCAAGGGCCAAGGTTGTCAACGATCTGTACGACTTGGCAACATCTCTAATATCCGAACGTGACCCAGATCGGTGGCGTAGAATTCATGGTGAGACAAACCCCATTATCCTAAAAATAACTACATGCTAACAGCATTCCTACTCTAGGTGGCCTCCGAGCAGAAAACGAGACACCACATCCTAGGCTCCCTAATGCTCCAACCGTGCCAAAAACCACGGTGAATAACGAACCAGCTGGCGAGACTGACGATGTCCTGACCTTTATCCTTCTGTCCATTGCTGTCTCGGGCTCTGACTTCAAGTCGGACTGCTACAAATGGTGGTCCAAGGCAACACGGCTGGCCTTTTCGCTGGGTCTACACCGAGAGGACGAGCAATGTGCCGGGCCTGTGACGCCGTGCGCAAACCCCCTTTGCTCGTGCAAAAAAGACCAAGATGGCAGCATATATAACTTGGAGCTACGAGAAGAGCGTCGAAGAGTCTTTTGGCTTCTCTACGCTCTGGATCGCCATCTAGCCTTGTCTTTCAACTCGGCTCTAACAATACCCGACTCTTATTGCGAAGTTTATTGTAAGTATACTATATGATGCCTCCAGCTTATTGACTGGCCTTGCTAATTCTGCTCTTAGCCCCGTTGCCTGAAGCTGTTTGGGAAAACCTCGATACAATCCCACCTAGCGAAATCCCCGCCCGAAGGATCGGACCGCCAACGACTGCCTCTGGGTCTGCCTTTTTCGAATACTTTTTGCCACTCATGGCCATACTGGGCGACATTATCGAAGTCCACCACAGACGCCGTCATCCAAGACTGGCAGGTCTCGACGACTCGCACTCTGTAGCCGTTATCCAGGAGCTCCTTTCCACCTACGAGCTCAGTCTTGCCGCTCTTTCACCAGAGAGCAATGATAACAACACCATGCCTTTGCCTATCCATACCCCAAAGGGCATGCTCGCCGGAATGCCTTCGAGGCCATCCATCTCTTATCAGCACCCGCCCTCTGCAGCTCCATACAACGCAAGTGACCCTTCCAAGATGCGGCTAGCAAAGGCCTATAGCACCCACATTCTACACGTATTGCATGTGCTTCTGCACGGCAAATGGGATGCTATATCTATGTTGGACGACGGCGACGATTGGATCACGTCCAAGAGATTCAACGAGTGCGCGTCTCACGCCATTTCTGCGTCGCAATCGGTCTCGACCATCTTGACCATTGATCCAGAACTTACCTTCATGTCCTACCTTTTTGGCATATATCTGCTTCAAGGAAGCTTCATCCTTCTCCTATTCGCAGACAGGATGCCGCAATTGGGTCCCAACGAGTCGGTAGCGCAGGCCTGCGAGAACATCATTCGAGCCCATGAGGTGTGCGTTGTAACGCTGAGTACAGAGTTTCAGGTATGGAGAGCACTCATAACTTCCACCCACCCAGAAATAATGCTAACTTCCAAACAGAAAAACTTCCGTACGGTCCTACGATCCACTCTATACAGCGTTCAGGGCGCAGGAACCACGAATTGGGATGAGCATCGCTCACGACGCAGAGCTCTGTCCTTGTACAGGTGGACAAAGGGAGCCAAGGGGCTGGCATTGTAGCGATGGGGAAAGCCACAGGGATGAATACCACTCCACATCCAATGATTGTATCATGTAACTTGACATGTGATGAAATGGTTCCAACAGAGGCGTTTCCGAATTGATACCCAAATTATGCTTGATTAATCGTCTCGGCCGAATCCTTTAGAATTTTACATCATGCCGTGAGGGGTCCCCCCCTGAGATCAATTCAGCCGAGAAACAAAGGAGATTTTATCCTTTCGGACTGTGTTCGTTCCGCTGCATTAGCAGGGAAACTTTTGCCTCACCTGCATGAGCAAAAACCTGGGGTAAGATGCGGGGGAAGAAAAATCTCTAGATTTGTTGGAGTAAAATGCTTGGATGGCGCCACCGACGGAGGAGGCTTCCATCTCAGGGCGTGTGATTTCCTATCGTGGGGGTCTGAATGCCGACGGTTATTTGATGACTTATATACAAAACTGATGCAAACCCCCCTCATTTGGTTGGGATATACAGTGATATTGAAGTGAAAACTCATGTCGAAATGAATTGGTGTGTGTCATTATAGATCGGGAGGTTTCGGCTTGCATCAGTGATGTCTTGGTTTCGTCGTAATTTGAACATATCGGGCCTATTCTGCGAAAGCATGAATGCCCAGTGCAACCAGACCCCATAATATTAGGGCGAAATGATCCTAGAAAAAACATTCGTATTTTTTAGAGTTGTATTGAAGAATAGGCCGGGGTTTGGTCCCTATTTGGTGCAAGGACAGGACACCATCACTAATCACCCAGGCTGATGCATATGGGATGGAAAGAGGTTACATTGCAGATAGTCGGTGATCTATTTCTCGGCGGTTCTTTTTCTCTCGGTAGTTCATTTTGGTGTATATTAATTAAGGAGAATAGACTGCCATTGCATCTTGCATGGGGAACGGAATATTGCTGCCTAAATGTCTGGGTAAATATACCAAAATGGACTTCAATACCATTATTATGTCGTATAATCTTATTGTAAAGCATTTCTGATGCTACGGCTTAAATGGAATCGGGTATGAAATGTAATATATAAAAGTAAAGGGAAGAGTTTCATATTATATTACAGGGTAGATTTCTCAAACTAAGTTGTGTAGTTCATTGCAGCTATGTATAGGTAAAGATAATACGTTTCCTGTGATGGCGGACGGTCTTATGTGCTTCTTAAAGTGAAGCTGACTCAACGTGAGGTCGTTCGTGTAAGTTGAAGGAAGCAAGGCGTCCAAATTGCTTCACAGCATTTTTAAACCCCCTCAAGGCCTGAGGAAAAGTTTCCATGACGGGCTTAGCTCCAGTTTCCTGCAGAGAAAAGAGAAATGAACCAATCGGAACTCAGTAGGACTCAAACTTCACAACATTTTTTATTCCCTTCAAGGCTTGGGAAAAAGCTGCTCTGATATGTAGGCTTGGCCTCAATTTTTATACCGTACAGAACGGACCAAAGAGTGCACCTTCCGGTGCCACATCACTGAGGTGGTTCACAGCATTTTTAACTCCCCTCGAGGCTTGAGGAAAAGCTGCTTTGATAGACGTGGCTCCGATTTCTTGTATAAGATAGACCAATAACACAACCTCCCGAGTAGCAGAAGCCACGGGCATAGCCCAGCTGATTTCACAGCATTTTTGACTCCGTCCAAGCCTTGGGAAAAGGTGACACTCGTGTTAATCCATAAACTGGCTCAACGCTCGGCACCGGAGAAAAATTAATGCATAGCCAAAAAGCGCCCCACTCCAAGCAACGCCGAAATGCCAGCTGCCAACAATTTGAACTTGGTCGCCTCATCCATCCAACGGTGCCGTGACAAATCCGCAATTGCTTCAGCGAGGGCACCGATACAACCGTCGACATGGTGTTGCAAGATCTCGGGCGTCGCATTAATGCGGCCGTTTCAAACCTCACGCGAGAGCAGAATCTCGATGAAAAGGTACAACGCAATGCATTTGCCCCGCGCTCTCGGACGGCGAAAGTGCAGACTCACTAACTAACTACGACTTCAGGCATTCGATTCCATGCTCAAGGAGATTTGCGCCGCCCTTCTCGAGGCCGATGTCAATGTTCGACTCGTCGGCCAACTCCGAAAATCGATTCGCAGCACCGTCAACTTCAAAGAACTGCCTCCCGCCGTCAACAAGAAGCGTCTGATCCAAAAAGCCGTTTTCGACGAACTGGTCAAACTCGTCGACCCCCATGCCGAGCCGTTCAAGCCCAAGAAGGGCAAGTCGAATGTCATCATGTTTGTCGGTCTGCAGGGTGCGGGTAAGACGACGACGTGTACAAAGCTGGCGCGACACTACCAGACAAGAGGCCTGCGGGCGTGCTTGGTTTGTGCCGATACGTTCCGTGCTGGCGCTTTTGATCAGCTGAAGCAGAATGCGACCAAGGCCAAAATTCCGTACTACGGCTCGCTTACAGAGACGGACCCTGCTGCCGTTGCTCGAGCTGGTGTTGAGCAGTTCAAGAAGGAAAAGTTCGACGTCATCATTGTCGATACATCGGGTCGACACAGACAGGAATCCGCCCTGTTCCAGGAGATGATTGACATTCAGGCGGCAGTTACCCCCGACGAGACTATCATGGTACTGGACGCCTCAATAGGTCAACAAGCCGAGGCTCAGGCCAAAGCCTTCAAGGAGGCCGCCGACTTTGGAGCAATCATCATCACCAAGACAGATGGCCACGCCCATGGTGGTGGTGCTATCTCTGCCGTCGCCGCTACACACACACCCATCGTCTTCATTGGTACTGGAGAGCACATGTTGGATCTGGAGAGATTTGAGCCTCAGCGATTTGTCCAGAAGCTGCTGGGAATGGGCGACATGGCCGGACTGGTTGAGCACGTGCAGAGCCTCAACTTGAACCAGAAGGATACCATGAAGCATCTACAAGAGGGTATCTTTACGGTGCGAGATTTACGAGACCAGCTCTCAAACATCATGAAGATGGGACCACTATCGAAAATGGCTGGCATGATTCCTGGCATGAGCGGCCTTATGCAAGGCATGGATGACGAGGAGGGAGGCGCAAAGCTGAAGCGCATGATTTACATCTGCGACTCCATGACAGACAAGGAGCTCGATTCTGATGGCAAGATCTTGATTGACGAGCCAACCCGCATGACACGTATTGCTCGAGGATCAGGCACTTCGGTGCGTGAGGTGGAAGATCTTCTGACGCAGCAGCGGATGATGGCCGGCATGGCTAAGAAGATGGGTGGCAACATGAAGAACATGCAGAGAGCACAGCAAGCCATGTCGGGTGCAAACAAAGCGCAACAGATGGCTGCCATGCAGAAGCGACTACAGAGTATGGGCGGTGCCGGTGGTGCTGGAGGCATGCCGGATATGGGATCATTAATGAAGATGCTCGGCGGCGGCGGCATGCCTGGCGGAATGGACATGCAGGCAATGATGCGACAGATGGGCATGGGTGGTGGCATGCCGGGAATGCCTGGGATGCCCGGTATGCCAGGAGGAGGAGGCCGTGGACGGAGGTGAAGGGAGAGCGCTTGTGTCGCCGTGTCGGGTATTTGTTTTCATTGTATCTCTGTTTCGGAGCTCCGGTAGGTTGGGCAAGTTTATGGATGACGGCTGGTTGCTAGAGCTCATGTGCATAGGTATCGGCGTTTGGGTAGTGATGAAATGATTGAATGGTGGCAGCGAGGGAAGAAGGGACATGTCAAGTTACACAGCGTTGGCCTCTTGTTTGTCAGCGATCATGGACGCTTGCTTTGCTTTCTTTGAGGCCGGCCGTCGAGAGGATATACCAAAGAGAAAAACTTAATGTTGATGCCTTTTTGATGTGTTTGCTTCTTGATATCATCAACAAACTTATACGGAGTTCTTGGTGTTTTGGTGGTGTGAAATGTTGGCTTAGTCAACTTGCAGCACAAGCTCGTGACCCCCGCACACCTTAAAAAGCTGGACTCGCGATAAGCCCACTTTTGGCATCCATCCGACTACGACGGCTCCGGAACTAAGAAACTGCCCCACCGGTCCCAAACTCAACGGATAGCTTACAGTATAAGCTAGGAAGAAGATCCAAGTGTCGTTACAAATGTCCTCGCGAGGAAGAGGTAGAGGCGGAGGAGGATATCAAGATCGTGGAGGATCACGAGGAGGCGGCGGTGGAGGAGGTTATAGAGGTGGTGGGGGACGAGGCGGAGGGGGTCGAGGTGGTGGTGGTGGAGGAGATCGAGGCGGAGGTTCCTTTAGAGGAGGCGGAGGAGGAGACCGGGGAGGAGGAGGTTCTTTCAGAGGTGGCAGAGGTGGAGGGCCGCCTCCAGTCTATTCGTGAGCACCAGCATTCTCATTATACACCACTATCATGGGGCCATAACCACTCATCACAGCGGCTACCACAGTGTTCCCGGCGGAATCCCCGCCCCCGATAAGACGGTGACCAAAACGGAAGATGCTCTTATATCTCCGGTCAAATCAGTCGATCTAAGTACGCTCGGCCTACAAGATGTTCTCCCTCGCCGGCCAGCATACGGCACTAAAGGAGCGGAGGTTACTCTGTGGGCAAACTACGTCTCTTTGACCGCATCGTCCAAGCTGGTCTTATACCGATATGAGATGTCTGTCACCCCGGCCGCGACTGGAAATAAGCTGACACAGGTTGTTCGCTTGCTATTGGAGGCACCAGAGCTGGCCGAGTATAAATATGGCCTTGTGAGTGATTTCAGGAAAACCATCCTCAGCCGACAGAAATTTAGTGATCGGACCATCAACATCGCGTATCGATCCATTGGACAAGATGAACCAAAGGAGGATGGTGTTCAGTATCAGGTCAAGCTCCATCTCACCAATACCTTGGCCACCTCAGAGTTGATAGAATACCTCACGTCGACGAACCCATCTGCCCAGTATGACGAAAAGCTGCCCCTCATCCAGGCTCTCAACATCTTCCTCAAACACTACGCCAAGTCGGGCGACAACCTCGTCTCCATGGGGTCGGCCGAAAGCGGATCATCCAAAACGTTTGCCATAGGTCAGTTGTCTGATACATGGGACCTTGGAAACTGCCTCACCGCCATACGTGGCTTCTTTGCCAGTGTCCGTGCAGCTACAGCTCGTGTGCTTGTCAATATCAACGTCAGCCAAGCTGCATTCTTCCAAGAGGGCCCGCTGGATCAATTCATCCTCCGCCTAGGCACTCAGGGGGGATTGTCCAAGTTGCAGGCATTCATCCACGGGATTCGGATCAAAGTTACTCACCTACCTGACAAGCTAAACAGACGAGGTAAACCCGTTTCGCGAGTGAAAACCATTTGGTACTTGGCGAATAAAAACGATGGACAAGGCCTCAAGAACCCCCCTCGAGTAAAATCGTTTGGAGCTGGGCCAAAGGATGTCCAGTTTTGGCTCAAAGAAGATTTGCAAGATACAAAGAAGCAGGGTGGGAAAGGCGCCAAAGCTCAGGGAGGACAGTACATCTCTGTCTATGACTTCTTCGCCAAAAGTGAGCCTCCCACTATGCTATGCTCATTGATCCGTCCACCATTAGCTGACATTCCCACAGAGTATAAAATCCACATTCAAGATACTCACCTGCCCGTCATCAATGTCGGCGATAGAGCAAATCCCAATTACTTGCCGCTCCAGGTTTGTTATGTGCTGCCTGGCCAGCCGTGCAATACCACGCTCAGCACGGCCCAGGCCCAGCAAATGATCAGGTTTGCTGTTCGTAAGCCGTTCGACAACGCTACATCTATTGTGACAAAGGGACTGAAAATTGCGGGCCTGTCTTCTGAAACAAACCCATTATTGGTGAGCTCCTGTTGCGATTCTGGTATTATAAAACGAACGACTGGCTTACTCATTCCTCTCAGGCCCAGTTTGGAATCGATATTTCTCAGGACCTCATTACCGTTTCGGGCCGCGTTATCGCTAGCCCAAAAGTTGGTTACGGCCAGAACCGACAAATTCCCACGTTTGGGGGCAGTTGGAACATGCTACCAAGGGACTCTCCGAGTCTCAAATTCAGCAACGCCGGCAGTATGCAGAAGTGGTCTTGTGTCTACATTGAGATGCCCAACGACTATCCGCACGCCCAGACATTCACCAGTGCAGGCCTTACTGAAGTCTTGCGCAGCTTCCATGCCGTGCTGGGTGATACCGGCATCGCTGCCAGCCCACCGCTTCAACCCTTTCAACGACTTCAACTTACTAATAACGACGACCCTGAGCTTGAGGCGTTGATGAAGCGTGCTGCATCGTCGCTACAGCTGCTCTTCGTCATCCTGCCCGCAACTCCTATTCCGTTGTACAACCGCGTCAAATATCTTGGCGATGTGAAATATGGCATCCATACCGTTTGCAGCGTCGGCACCAAGATTGCCAACCCCAAGGGCCAAGACCAGTATCTTCGCAATCTCGCGCTCAAGTTTAACCTAAAGCTTGGCGGCAACAACCATCTCGTCGATCCCACACACTTGGGATTCATTACTGAGAATAAAACCATGATTGTTGGTATCGATGTAACTCATCCGACGGCCGGAGAAAAGCAGGCTCCCAGTATAGCCAGTATGGTTGCTAGCATTGACCAGAAGCTCGGCCAGTGGCCCGGTATCCTCAGCATCCAGCCTAAAGCCCGTCAGGAGTTGGTTGCGGATCTCACTGAAATGCTGAAATCGCGCCTGCGTTTGTGGCGCCAGAAAGGCAAACACTCAGAGTTTCCGGAAAATATCATTGTATACCGCGACGGCGTCTCAGAGGGGCAGTATCAGCCGGTATTAGACCAAGAGCTCCCGTTGCTACGAGCCGCCTGCAAAGAGATCTACCCGGCACCAGATCAAAAGAAAGGCCTACCACGCATGACTGTGGCCGTTGTCGGTAAACGCCACCATACTCGTTTTTATCCAACTATGGCCGCCGACGCGGACAAGGGGGGAAACACCAAGGCTGGTACTGTGATTGATCGAGGCGTCACAGAAGCTCGCAGCTGGGACTTTTTCCTCCAGGCGCACACAGCACTACAGGGAACGGCCAGACCAGCGCATTACTATGTTGTGCTGGATGAGATCTTTCGCGCAAGATACGCGAAGACGCCTGGAAAGAACATAGCAGACGAGTTCCAGAATCTGACGCAGAGTATGTGCTACGCATTTGGTCGGGCCACCAAGGCCGTGAGCTACTGCGCTCCGGCATACTATGCAGATGTCTTGTGCGAGCGGTCACGATGCTACCTCAGCAGTTTATTTGAGACGCCGCCTGCTTCAGAAGCGACGTCGATGGTGGAAGGCGCTGCGGGTGGTCCCAGTACTGGGGCATTGCAGCAGGAGGTGCAGGTCCATGAGAGGCTCAAGGATAGTATGTTTTACATTTGAAAGGGATCGCAGATTGCTACTGTAGTTGGAAAGGGACGAACTATTTTTTGGAAGTTTCCTGAGCGAAATTGGATATCATATCTTGTTCTATCATACCACGAATAGCAGATTGGATTGAAGATATTTTTTTGGATTACCTAGTTGATGATCAAGTGTCGATTGGAGGAACACTTGGATGATTGTATGAGTTCGGTGAATTCGGTGAGACGACAGCCGGTCGGTGAAGCAGCCCGAAAGTGGATGGCGGGTCGAAATCTCGATGGCCATGACAAGCGATGACGTTTTGATTGGGCTTCTCGCAACCCCCACTCGGAGCAAAGGTGCCGGCTAAACAACGTTACTGCCAAGCTTGTTGCACATATGACGCTATTCACGGCTGTGGCCTCTTTTATTCGCGGGAGCGGACAGGGGGGACAAGCCAAGTGTAGGACAGGCAAGGACAGGGCAGCGGGATGGCAACGGCCCAGGGCTTGCCAGGACCACTGGAGCGGGTGGCGATGACGGTGGAAAATGTTGTGGTTGACGTCAGGAGGTGACGATCCTGGGTTTGGTGGTTTTGGGTGCATGTTTGTTGGAAGGAGTGTATCATGATGATGAGTTTGGGTTTGGGTGCTGGTGCTGGTGCTGGGAGATAAAGGGAGGTGCTGCGGCGTTGACTTCCAGCTGGACTTGGCTTTCTTCTGCTCAACATCTCATCGCTTGATTTTCCATCATCCATATTGGGGATTGCTTGCTTACAGTCATCGGCCATGGCTCTCTTTGGAAACAGAGCTCGCGCCCCCGCGGGACAGGCCCCAGCAGCCAACACTACGACTACGACGCCGACTACGACGACAAAACGGAGATGGGGACTCGGCCGTGGTGGAGGATTTGGCCGTGGTCGCCAACACACTCCGTATGCGATGCACTCGCGTCCTAGCTTTGGACAATGGCTTAGAGTGACTTGGTTGGACATCTTGACCATGGTGGCTATGGGAGCCATCGGCCTCGGTGTAAGTCGAGAGTCTACCAGAAATGCAAATAAGTAACAAAACTGACTCGACGTCTTACCTAGATCTACGAAGCCAAACCTGCGCCGACACGCTCGTTCCCCGTCACATTTTCCGACGGTGAAATCGTCTGGCCTGAATTCGGCTACCCTCTTCGAAAGGAGATTGTCCCCATCTGGCTGGCAGCTTTCCTCGCTTCCATTATTCCCATCTTCATCATCCTCGTCATGCAGATCCGCATCCGCTCATTCTGGGACGTCAACAACGGTGTCATCGGTCTCTTGTACTCTCTCATCTGCGCAGCCGTGTTCCAAGTGTTCTGCAAATGGCTCATCGGAGGCCTTCGCCCACACTTCCTCGACGTGTGCAAGCCGGATCTGAGCCGCGTCACAACTTCCGGACTGGACAGAACTGGATTCCAGCAAATCTACTTCACGCGTGACATTTGCACCGGAGACCCAGATCAGATTGACGACAGCTTGGAGTCGTTCCCCAGCGGCCACACCACCGCGGCCTTCGCAGGCTTCGTTTACCTGTCTCTGTACCTCAACGCGAAGCTCAAGGTGTTTGCAAACTACCACCCGGCCATGTGGAAGCTCATTGCCGTCTACGCCCCCATCCTCGGCGCGGTCCTCATCGGCGGTGCCCTCACTATTGACGAGTTCCACAACTGGTACGACGTCGTCGCCGGAGGTATCATCGGCACTGTCATGGCCTTTTCCGCATACCGCATGCTGTACGCATCCATCTGGGACTGGCGCTTCAACCACATCCCGCTGAACCGCGGCGTGGCATTCCCGTACACCGTGGGCAATGGCGACTTGTTCGATTCAACCTTCACGAGGCGTGTTGGATGGGGCACTGAGAGCTTTGCGGGTGGCACGACTAATGGTGTTGGTAATGGATATGGACACCATCACGGCAAGCATGAGTATGGATATAATAACGGTGCTGGGTATACCAACGGTGCCGGTCATACTAATGGCGCTGGGTATACTAATGGTGCTGGATACACCAATGGCGCTGGACCTGCGGCCAATGGAGAATATGCTAATCCGACGATGCCTCGACGGGCGGTTGGGCACCCTCCGGAGCAGATGGTGTAAGACGTTGGCATGGGAGTTTTCAAACCACTCCTTTTGTCAATGTCTCTTTCTTGAGAAACGTTTCTCTTCTTTTGTGTTAAACGAGAGATTGAAAACCTGGGCGTGCTGAGGTGTTGTTCGTGTTATTGCATCTGGTAATGCGTAATGAGGAATGATGCTAATGAGGGCGTGGCTTTTCTACACGGTTAATGTTTTATAATACCCGCAGTTGATTAATTAGTAAACAGTCCTTTTGTGTAATAAAAGAAACATTTCTAATAATACTTTTCATTCAATTATCATATGGTGTGCAAAGTGTTGACCATTGGCTCCTCATTGGATTCTCATTCCACGACGCTCTCAATATTCTCACATAATTCAATCCCACCAAGAACAGACCCAGTAATACAAGACGTCTAATCTGACACATGTCAAAATAGCCAAAAGCGACAAGACACCAACCGGAGCTCCACCAGCCCCCGGTTCTCGGCCCCATTCACACTCAGAATTCACAACCGTCACAAAAAAAAAGAAGAGAAGCATCTAGAAAATCATTCAGGCTATACTGAATAGTCTGCAAAACAACTTACGCGATGCAGATTAAATTAAAACAACAAAACAAAGCCACCGGTCCGGAGGGCTAAGCAGCCCGCAGTGGGGGGAGTTTCCTCCAAGTCTGGAAGCTCAGCTAATATTTCAGCTACTACTACTTAGTAAATAGTAAGAGTCAGAGGCCAAACTCGCCGAGCTACATCCGGGATGGATGACTCTTTTTTTTTTCCCCCAGCTCCAATTGGAATTTTTTTTAAGCCAGCGCGGCGTCGAACTTTGTTTTTCGACTCTCTTCTTTCTCCTCTTTAACTGCTCAATTGAAATTGAAAGCTGTCCGTTTAGCTGTTTGCCGATCTTCAGTGTCTGACGTAGCTCGTCATCGTTAGCAATCTCGACTCAACTCGAGATATCTCTCCTCTGCGATATCGCACTTCGCCCAGCCAGCAAATCTTGCGCTTCAACGCCCCGATACACCCGCGAAATCCCGTCGCAATGGCTTCCTCCGGCCACATCCTCACCCTCAGCTGCCCCGACAAGCCCGGCATTGTCCACGCCGTCACGGGAATCTTCGCCGCAAAGGGCCACAACGTGCTCGACCTGCAGCAGTTCTCCGACCCCGTCACCAACAAGTTCTTCATGCGCGTGCACTTTGGCCCTGCTCCAGACGTTGCCGATGCCTCGTCGACTGAGCACCTCGAGCCCGACTTCCAGGCCCTCGCCACCGAGTACAGCATGACGTACAACTTCCGGCCCTTGAAGCGCCGCACCCGCGTGCTCATCATGGTGTCCAAGATTGGCCACTGCCTCAACGACCTGCTGTTCCGCATGAAGACTGGCCAGCTGCTCATCGAAGTGCCCATCATTGTGTCCAACCACCCCGACTTTGAGGCCCTGGCCAAGAGCTACGGCATTGAGTTCCACCACATACCCGTGACCAAGGACACCAAGCTGGAGCAGGAGGCCAAGGTGCTGGAGCTGATCAAGCAGCACAGCATTGAGCTGGTTGTCCTGGCCCGGTACATGCAGGTGCTGTCGCCCAAGCTTTGCGAGGAAATGTCCGGAAAGATTATCAACAGTCAGTCAAACCCAGTCGCATTGTCCCATTCCCATGCTCGTATGCTAACACAATGGCCAACAGTCCACCACAGCTTCTTGCCCAGCTTCATCGGCGCAAAGCCCTACCACCAGGCTTTCGACCGCGGAGTCAAGATTATCGGTGCCACGGCGCACATTGTCACGGCCGATCTCGACGAGGGCCCCATTATCGAGCAGCAAGTCACCCGAGTCGACCACAGCATGGACCCCAAGAAGCTGACAGAGGAGGGATCCACGGTCGAGACGCAGGTGCTGGCGGCGGCGGTTCGCTGGTATGCCGAAGGAAGAGTGTTTTTGAACGGACACAAGACAGTTGTGTTCTAAATATGATGAGTTTATGAGGGAGAAAAAAAGCGACACGACGGAAAGTGTAAGCGTATATATCTGGCGATGCATTAGCATCCGTACATAGTCCAAACTTGCTCTTACATACCCACAGCGACATTAGACTCACTACTTCCATATGCTTGTGAAAAAAAACCACTGTCTTCATTACCCGGCTCCGGCAGCTAAAAATCAGGGCTGCAATTGACAAAGAGCGATGTTGGCGAATCAACCAAAGACAACTGCAGCGCCAAGACAGCCATCGCCGATGAATACAAGGAAGAGAGAGAATCCTGGCTTCTCATCTTGATTGGATTCTATTAATAAAAACGGGGCACAGGATTCCAAGTGCGGTCCTGCATCCAGTTGGGTGTTGAGGTAGGATCGCCGACTTCCAAAGCTAGAGGCAATCAGAGGCTGCCTCTTGGATGATCCGTCTCAAGAACAAATTCAAGTTCAAAGCCTAATAGAGGATTAACAAGCTTGGTGATGTCAGTTGGCATTGCCTAGCGCATTCTTGAGAGGCCTGCTGTTGTTGTAACGGCAGACAGGCGATGAGGATGAGTCCAAAGTAGGGGGTTAGCACATAGTATATGCTGCCGATGATCCGATGGTGGTCGCACTCGGGCAGTATAAGGGCAGCACACTCCTTTGTCGTAATCTAGCTTTCTGATCGATACCAAGTCTGCAATACCGACGTCTTCGAAAAAAAGTATTACAGCTTTTCGTCGAGCGCCGTCAAAATGGGCGGAGTTCCCTCAATCCCCACCGACCGGACCCAGACCGTGCAGGTCATCGGCGCCGGCTACTCCCGCACCGGGACTGTATCCATGGCCCTGGCCCTGGAAAGGTTGCTGGGAGAGCCGGTGATGCATGGAGGAACGCAGCTGTTTAGCCGAGAAGACGGTTGGTCCAGTCCCTCATGCTTCTTGTGCTCATATTCACGCTCATGGAAACAGCCTATGTCAAGCTTTGGTGCGACGCCTTCGCCAACCGCGACAACAAGCCCGTCCTCATGAAGCTCCTGCGCGAGGCCACGGCCGGCTTTGCTGCCGTCACTGATGTTCCCACCAACGCCTTCATCGCCGAAATGGTCGAGCTGTACCCGGATGCCAAGGTGGTGCTCGTGACGCGAGATCCGGATCGGTGGTTTAACAGCATGCAGACACTGCTCAAGGACGGCTATGGGTCAATGTCGGTGCTCAAGATGCTTCTGTGGCCATGTCCTGGCTGGAGGTGGGCGCCAACATGGTTCAGATACCTACAGATTGTGTGAGTCGAGACAGTGCGCTTGGCTGTTGTTTTTTGTTGATGTTAATATCCATGGGCAGAGAATCAACCCGTCTTGGACCAACAATGTCTCGAGGTAGGTATAATTGTGCAATTGCCGGCAGTGACTGCGTTGTAACCATGGAGGCTAATCTTGGTAGAATCTATCCTATGAAGAATGAGTTAAGGTAACGACATGCGTATCGAGAATATCGGCGGTCAGTCATGCAAGTGATGGTGCAAGTCGGCGGTCACTTGAAGCACCGATGGAGTGCGGGTGACTTGCAGCAACAAGGCAGGCAGAGCTGCTACGTCACGTGAGAGGACATGCCCAACGTGAAGCTGTCCAAGGTACAAAAAGCACATGGAATCGATAAGGGGATAAGGTGCCATCCATTATGGAGCAGCAAATAAAAGAGTTGGTGTTGAAACCATCTGTTTTCCTTTGTTTGTTTTGCATTGAATTGTTTACATTGTTCCCGTTCGGTAGCCGGGACATTGATTGACTTCTGCGCTGGTCTGGATCCAGCCAAGCGTCATGTAGCTACGGAGTACATGGTTCAAGCCACTTGTTTTGTGCGTCGATTATTGATGCCTTTGGGGGCGTAGCTTGGACATGTGATTGGCTGGGATGGAATTAACCGTCAGCATAACACGAGGAGCTTGGATGATGATTACGGAGCGCTGGAAATCATGTTCTAATGCACGTCCAAAGTATCTAAGCAAGCAAAGTTCAATCGTCGGCGGAGAAACAGAGAAGCTACTGAATGAAGCAGAGGAAAGTCTATACACGTTCAGGTGCTATATCTCATGAGACACTCACTCACTCATACACTCACTTACACGCTCCCACACCACACTCAACTTATACCGTCAATAGGTTCATCAAATCTCATTTTTTAAAATCACCCATCATCAATCGTCATCAGCATCCCCACCCTCTTCTCGCTTATGTACACCCTTGCTGGAATTAAACAAACGCAAAAAATCCCCCATCTCGTCCCGCCCAATTCTGCCATCAAATCTCAGCTCGTCACGTCACGTCACGTCAGTCACGCATCGCCATGCCCCCTTTACACCCACTAATATGAACTGCCAGCACAGCACAGCACACAGCACAGCACAGGTGCTATGCTCTGCATGCTGACCACTAAAAGGCCGCTGATGCCCAGCGAGAAGCACCTCCGTAGCGCAAATCCATTGGTTCCATTTCCATTCTATTGATTAGGCTTCAATCGATTATCCAGCACAGTTCACTTGAGTTGAGCAGCTGATGCCCCGTGCTTTCGCTCACTGTAATCAGGTGGCGGCGCCTCTGTAATTCCGGCCCGAGCCTTTGTTTCCCTTGAGAAGATTAACGCCAGAAATAAATCCCCCAGACCAAGACCCGGACAAACAAACCCCTGCTAGGCCCAATCTGTCTTCCACCATTGCTCTCACCACCCCTCATCCCATCCCATCCCATCCCATCCCATCCCAAAGCCAAAGCAACTCAAACCTCGACATTTTGACTTTGCCCGTTGACCTGGACTGGACCCGTTTCCTTTGTTGACTTCTTCTTCGTTCTCTCTTTTCTTTTTCTCCTTCTTTAATCTTGCCCCTGCGCAACCGCCCGCCCGCTGATCCCCGCGCCGACGTGACGAACGAGCTGATTCCAATCCGAAACCCGACGAGCCTTACAAACCAACCAATCCAACCCGCCCTGATTTCAATCTCATTCCGCTCCTTCATTTCGCCGCGCCCCGTCGCCTGCCGTTGTTCTACCGTCCTTCTCTCCCTTTGTTCAGCCTGGATTCATCAATCATCATCGCGGCCCGCTCAGACCAGCTCCACGACGCCGCCGCCGTCGAAACCACGGAGATGGATATTTCCCAGCAGCAAGACTTTCTCCCCCCTCACGAGGCCGACATCAGCCAGGGCCCGGACGACACCATGGGCGGCTTCGACGGCGCTTCAGAGGTCGCTTCCAGCAATGGTGGCTTCCACCACCAGCAGAGCCACTCGCTCGACCACAGCCTTGCCGGCAGCCTGAGGCAGGATGAAGAGTCCCCAAGCCGACAGACTCCGCCCGTGTCGGGATCGCTTTCGAGGCCAGCTAGCGGCTTGTCAAACCCGGCACCTCCGCCATACAACGACTACCGGCCAAGCTCAGGCGACCAATCCAACGGCCGGAGCCACGTGGTGATCAAGGTCGGCATGGTTGGCGATGCCCAGATTGGCAAGACGTCGCTCATGGTCAAATACGTGGAGGGGAGCTGGGACGAGGACTACATCCAGACGCTGGGTGTCAATTTCATGGAAAAGACTATTTCCATCCGCAACACCGAAATCACCTTTTCCATTTGGGACTTGGGCGGCCAGCGCGAGTTTGTCAACATGCTGCCGCTGGTGTGCAATGACGCAGTCGCCATCCTCTTCATGTTTGACCTGACGCGCAAGAGCACGCTCAACAGCATCAAGGAGTGGTATCGCCAGGGCCGTGGATTCAACAAGACGGCAATCCCCGTCTTGGTCGGCACCAAGTACGACCACTTTGTCAACTTTCCAATCCAGGACCAAGAGGAGATTTCCAATCAGGTAGGCTGTCTGTCACGGAAACATATTACAGGACAATTTGCTGACAAAATGCCAACTTGCAGGCGAGACGATTTGCCAAAGCCATGCGGGCATCACTGATTTTCTCAAGTACAAGCCACAGCATCAACGTACAAAAGGTGTGATTGCTTCTGCGTGCTTGACTTGTATGGCAGGAAACTAATCTGATTCTAGATTTTCAAAATTGTCCTTTCCAAAGCGTTTGACCTCAAGTGCACCATTCCCGAAATCGAAAACGTCGGCGAACCATTGTTATTATATCAGTCTGTCTGATGATTTGCAGCCCCCCGCCCTACTTCAAGGCTTGACTAGACTCCCCTTTCTTGTTCTTTTCTCGCCAAGTCATTTCTTTACGATAATACATTTTAATGGATGAGTGCTCCCGCAAGCCGTCCGTACGAGCGGCATCAGCAGAAGACAGAGCACATGCATTCAGACCAGCGACATAGATGATGGCGGAACATCATTGCCCCCGAGGACGAGAAACAGCCATTCGCCATGCACCACAACGACAATGGAACGACGAATCGCGCATCTGTAACCCCCCATTTGAAGATTGTCTTTTCGCCATCTTTACCCATTGCTTTTATACTCGAATCACTGCACCCACGGCACCAAGCATCTAGGAACACCGCGATAGACTACCTCTGGTGATACAACAACGACGCTCCTCAGCGGTGACCAAACGCAGACGGCGTAATAGAGACGCCGTAAGAAGTGCACAGAAATATCGAAACATTGAGACCAACAACTGCCTGAGCATTAACTAGTTTGGATTTGGAGGACGCTAACAGAGAAGAGTGAGGAAGAGAGAGACGGAGGTTACTTGTATTTTTCCCCATCTTTTTTAAACTCTTTATTCTTTTTACTCTTGTCTTTTTTTCTTTTTCTTTTTCTTATTTTCACTTAACAATTCTACTTTGAAACAGGGCTCGAGGAAAGGGCACACACACTATACGGAGAACTAGAAGGGAAAAAAACAGGGTTGTGAAAGGCGCCTCTGCTTCTTTTTTTTTTTAGACAAGCGCAATGAGAACTTTTTGCGAAAAGAGAACGAGATGGCGAAATTGGGGGGACATGGCTGGGCCAGTGTTCTGAAATCTTACTTTTAGTTAATGTGACGGTCCATGGAATATGCTCATGTTTTGATGGTGTGAGATGAATCCTTTATCCAGTCTTTTTGTTGTTCGTTACTCTGATGTGATGGTGATCTTACATGATGAACTTACTGGCTGAACCTACTCCTCCTGAACCTAGGTACGTAGTGAATACACATGGTGAACTTACGTGCTGTGAACGGAAACTCTGGCGATTTACGATACCATGATTATATGGAGCTTGAATAACAACCTGCTCACTACATACCTAGACTTGGTAGTTCAGTTGTTCCCTGTTTTGTGTATCCCGTACATGTGTTCAGCTTAGACGAGCCAAGTGCCTCGACGAGCCAGAAATGATCTAAATGCAGCCGATGCCCCCTATTAGCCTACAGATTCCTGTGCCATGAAGAGGTGAGATGTTCCTTTTTTGTGCGTTTTTGTTTAGTGCGTCTCCTTGCCCCAACTGTACTTCTTGCTCTCACGCCTCGTAGATACCCATCGTACCTTTAGTAGCCCTGACGGCCAGCATCGTTCGAAGCCTGTCCCTCAGAGCGGTAACTCTTGGGCCTCGAGCCACCAACGCTCATTCGGGGATTATCAACGACAGCTCGAATGGTAGCGTCGCTGTCTCTTCCCCATGTACGCACCGTGGGCGTAGGCGTCTGCGGGAGCTCGATCTCATTACCGCGAGCAAGAGGGTGGGAATGACGCGACGCAGCTCGCTCAGCGGCGTACTCCATGGGCGGTTCGAAGTCGTACTCGGTAAAGGCAAATCCACCACTGGTTCTGTGGGCAGGAACTCTGGCGACAGTGCCTTCGAGGGGAATCTCCATGCGCTCGTTGTGGTGCTGGTAACCATACTCGGCGGTGGCAGATGGTCTGGTGCTGACTATGCCGGCACCTGCATCTCTGTGAAGACCGATGGGGTACTGCTGAGATCGAGCCTGAGATTGAACCTGATTCTGCCCCTGAGGCTGAGACTGCGAGTGAGTAGTGATTCCTCTGAGCGTTTCTTCCGAGTCCGTCGCCCAGTACGCCCAAGCATCAAAGTCATCGTCCACTTCAACAAAGCCGTTGATGATGGCAACGCGACGACCGTGAGAGCCAGAGACGAAGATGGAGCGAAGGCTGTACGCAGGGGCAAGGTTGTTACGGCTATGACGAGGAGGCTGCTGGTTCTCGGGGCCCCAGCGGATGCAGTCCTTGGGGATGAGCAGGTAGGCGATGCCGATGAGGATGTTGAGAAAGATGAGGACGGCCATGATGATGGCGACGACCAGGTAGCCGGTGGAAGGTCTTTGTCCCTCCATGATGAAAGCTTGCTTTGAGAGGTAGAATTGAGTAGTTTTGCGTGGTTTGGTTGCTGGGATGATTGTGGTGAGGGCGTGCAGAATTGCTTCGGGGGGAGGACGAAGCTTGCACAAGAGTTTTGGGGAAAGGAGGAAAAAGGGCGAGCTCGCAGATTTCTAAGGCACCCCAAGATAAGATGCAAATTTTTCTTTCGTTCGTTTGTCTTCATTTCTTTCTTTTGACTAAGCAGCACAATCACTTCCTGCCATCTGGTATTGTCGCCTGTTCAGCTGGCAGCCACCTCTGGTCAGCTCTTCCTGCCTCATTTTCCTTGGTGGTAGCTGCCAGTTCATTGTTCTTAATGTTAGAATGATTTAATGAGAAAGAGCATGATATAAAACAGAATAAATAAAGCAATTGCAAAACGTTACTTGAAACAACTGTAATATCTTGGTTCAATACCGTTTGATGTTTCGATGAGATATGTAGCATTTTACACCATCTATACGGCCCAGGCACAGTAACATTTACAAATCCCTCCGTTAGACCTATGGCTATTAATGTAAAATCCCTCTATAAACTACAATATCAACACAGTCGACTCATAGTCCTCGAGATAAACACCATTGATATCAGATTTATTGCATAAAAAGCCACTAACCAACTATGCACACATCTTGAAAGCGCCTCTGCAAATCACCCGCCCCACCACCAACACAGCGACATCAACCTTGATTGGCCACGAAATCTCCCGCGGCGCTTCACACCATGAAATTGAAATACGTGTATAGCCCATTTTTTCCACATTTGACAGGAACCGCTTTATTATTAGAACCTCGAAAGTGCATGCGTGCTTTGATATACGTGTATTTCGTGTGCCCACCTTTGACGTCTATTCAACAGTCCAGTTCATCTCTTAGGTACAGATCTGCTCCGGATTTTGCATCTCGGTTTGAATTGTCGCGCAAATCCACGCCTTGCCCCCATGCCTCCATTAGTACCAGTTCTAGTACGAGGTACTTCTGCTCCCTTGTGGCGTCTTTTAGAGCTTGAGCTTGTACAACCATCGCCATCTGCCGCATGCGGCCATCTCTGTCTCCCTTGGCGTAGGTATCTCATTTGTTCACATGAAAAAGAAAACTTAATGGTATTTTGCTCTGCATTACACGCCTGCATCAATTCAATATTTCGTCTGTTGCTCTTAAGTTCACGTCTTGGCATCATCACATCAATTGCCGACCCGATTCATTGTCAGAAATCAGGCCGTTCCAGCAAGCCCCTTACTGGGGTCAGTGCGCCATGTAACATGTCCGTCATTATCAGCACCAACTGCGGGAAAAAAAAAAGACCAGTCACAGAAGAATAGGCGAACAAAGAAAAATGGAAGAGAAAATCCCAAAACGGACAAATCACGCCATCCACAAGACAGCATCGTGACATTGCAACAATGGAATCACTGCTTGGTTGACTCAAAATGTGTGCTGGCATGTATGCTTTTATGTATCCCTTTATATAGGTAACTGTAAAAAAACAAACTCGTGCTCGAGGTCGAAGCTCATAGACGAGGCACAATTCCATCCAGCGGCCTTTCCAGCGTGTATTTCTACCGTAAATGCGCTCCAAATATTGGGGCTAAAATCCACACAACTCCATTAACGCCCGGCTATGATATGAAATCTCCCTCACTCTGCTATCGCAGGGCCATACATGATTACAATGAACAGTTGAATAAAAGAAGAACAAGAGAAGTGGCGGCACAATGTGTGACTCGGCGAAGGAAAAAAAAATGACTTTGAAGATGGGTGGTACTCCAAAGCGGTCGGCATATTGCCCCAGGAGGGCCTGCGAGAAAAAAGGTTCGTACGACGTTTCGTCATCGGAAGCATCACGGAGGAGCATGTTTGCTTTCAGTTGGACTTGTCGCCCCAGAGCGGTGCGCCCAGCGGCTTGCTGATGCCAAAGCCGACGCTGACGGCGACTCCCACGACCAGGACAATGATGAGGACCTTGGCAATGATCTTGTTGCGCGGGCTCAGGTTGGCCATGCAGGCGCAGTTGTTTCGCTTCACTTTGGTCTGCTGGGCCTGCTTCTCCCAGTGATCCTTTCCGGGCCACACTTGGCAGTTCTTCTTGGCATCCAGCGTCATGCTTTTTCGGAGGGGCTTGTCAAAGGAGCTGTGAGAATTGAGAGCTTCAATGTCGGCATCAAAGGGATTGGTGGTCGTTTTGTCGGAGTTTGGGTTGGATGTGATGCTGGTGACCGAGGTGGCATTGGTCGGCACGGCATAGACGCCCACGGTAGGGGTGAGGGCCTTGTCGGGCACAGAAATCTCGACGGTGACTTCTCTGGTGAGAACAACGCTGGCAGTAGACTGCCTCTTGTCGGGAGTAGCCATGATGGTGGTGGTTATGAGGGCAAGGCAAAAATGTGGCGAAGTGTAGGAAGAATGGCCGAAATCAGATTCTCGTCAGATCAAAAAGAGGCGAGAACAATAGCAAGAGGTAAAACAGAGTGTACAAGAAAAAAGGCTGTCTGGGAGACGGAAGTCAGCATCTTGGATATATGCAAGGGAGAATGTTTGTAGGGGCTGTGCGCAGAGACGAAAATAAAAATATGCGTGGGGAGCACCTGACGTTGCCACTGCCGGCACATGCAGGCCAACGGGAAGTGCGAATAGAGGGAGGGAAAGAAATCATACCTGTGGGTTGCACGAAGCTTGGAGAATGGAACAATGCAGCTGGTGACGGGTTTGCAAGTGGCAGGGGAAGTCGTATTCGTGTGGCGATGGTGATGTCCAATTTCGAATGAGGGAGCCTTGTGGCGAAGAAGAAGAAAAGAGAGAGCGGGTAGAGGAGAGGAGAGTGAAAGAAAGAGGAGTAGAGAGGGGAGAGGAGAGAAAGACGCTGTGGCGCTAAGCAACCACGAGAGAGAGAGACAGAGAGAGAGAGATGGATGCGATTTACAAAGTTGACATTGGCGAGCTTGGACCTATTTTGACGATGTGATGTAGGCTGAGTGCTTCAAATGTTTCCAATTGAACGAGTATCCAATTAGATAAATGAAGATCGAATTATCTATCCTTGATGAATGAAGGAAGACGAAGATGAATGGCAGTTGGACAAGATCGAGAGACAAGAACCGAGAAGAGGGGGAAAGTCGAGGAGAAGAAGAGAGCAGTAGCCTGATATCGAAAAGAGGGAGGCGAATTGCTTGGAGTTAGACCAGCAAGCAAAGCGGACAAGGTACTTCTTGGCTTGGGCTAAAGAGGGAAGAAACCTGAAGCTCGAGGCGTTTGCAGCTGGGGGAGAGAGATTGGCGCTAGCGGGCGCAGGTACCTCGTGCGTGTACTTAATGTACCTGGAGTACCTAGTGCAACTGCCGAAGAGTACGCCGCAAACAGCACAGCAATCCATACTCGCTCGAGGTAGCATCTGCCCCGTTGATCAGGTACCCGAGAGACAGGCCCCCAGGTATCTCGCATTGAAAGGCTCATTGCAGAGCTGCCAGGGGACGAGCCAAGGCCCGGCTCAGCGAGATTGCCTCCTCCCGCTCGGGCCACCCAGAGCCTAGAACAGCCCCGGCTAGCTGCGCGCTAGAGCCACTACGGCCGCAAGGTTTAGCGCACTAGCCTCTGCATGTTAGTGGGTGCTGTACTGCTGCAAGCTGCTGCAAGCTGCTGCAGCCGAGACGCAGGGGAAAAATGGATGCCACGAACCTCTGGAATTTGGATCAAATGGCAGGGGTGGCGAATGCCCAGCTTGTTGGGCGAAACGTGGGCGCGATAGATGAAGGGGAATCTAGGCGCATGATTTTGGTGGGATTGGGGGCGATGCACTGGATGATTGCTTGCATTTGATATGATATGGTGATATGAAGATGAGGATGAGGATAATCTAGAGTAGGTATTACAGCTACAGTGAACAACGAGGCAAGCATAGAGAATTGTCTTGCCTCTCTTTATCTTCCATGTCTCAGCATGTCATTTCCAAAAAGTGGGATGCGATGGTCTTCTCTTTCTTCCTTTTTGGCGAGTACGAAAGAGACCACACAGCGACAAGCAACACAGCTTTGAACATACGATCCAATGCCTTGCGTGTCTGCATCGACAACAAAAGTCGGTTAAACGACTGGAGCATTGGCACATGCAAGCGTCATCAACATGAACCCAACTCATGGAATCAACTCCGTACATACATACGCACTGCAACCGAACCAAACAACAGTCGACATCCTCCATCCAAAAGTCATGTCATGCCGTCCCCGCTGATGGACAACGCAGCCGTTGTTCCGCTTGGGCCCATTGTGGAGAGGCCCCGTCCAGGGATGCTAGTAATGGCTCCGAGTCAATCAATCCCTGGCCACCACGCGTATATGCCCTCCACCCATTGGCCCATTTGTGCATCTGCCATCTGGGTTCGAGCATTATTACGAGTACGAACCGCCGGCGTATCTACGTCCATGTCTCCTTAGTCATGTCGCGCTGAAGGAGGCTTTTGGCGGTTCTCAATGGCTCGTTGCATGGCTTGGAGCTTGTCGTCGGATGACGGACTGGTGATGCTACTATGCAGTACACTTAGAAGAGACGGTGTCGTTTTCGGCAGGCTAGCAGCAATTCTCTCTCTCCCCTCTTTATCTCTCTATATCGCTTCTCCATTCAGGCTGTCGCTTCTTCCTCGTCTTCCCCTTAACCGAGACACGTTCGACCCCCTTGCAGACAATGAGGATCGCCACCAGCTTAAATGACTACGATGACCGCATCTGCATCTGCATACGAGTCCAATTCTCGTTCTACTAACAGCATCAGATACTACCAAGTACTACCAGATACTACCAAGTGCTATCGTTTCCACCACTCCTCGCACTTATTTTCACCACGCAGCCCAAGAAACCGCCATCTATCTATCTACTCGTATCTATCTATCCGCTCAGGGGCTTATTCTGCCATCTGCTAGCTTGTCCCTCATCGTTTCAAAACTCATTCCGTGGCGCGTAAGAGTGGCGCCTAGTGGATGCCCAAAGATCCAATCCCCGCGTTTCCATGTGCCACTTTCGGCAGCTTCCAGTCCTTAGGCTCTAGAACAGCAAACTTGCTCTGGCTAAATCTCTTAGCATCGCGCACTATCGACCTCTTGCTGAGATGGCTCTGAAGCCCTTTGACGCTTGGTTCTAGTGGCATGAGTTGCATTGCGCCGTCCATTGTTTAGTACATGTATGTAGTTTTATGGTGGTAACTCGCAAGTACACAGGGTGCGGAGTCCAGAGGCGTTGTTTAGCTGACTTTTGTGTGATGATCCGAATTTGTTTTGATCGAAAAGAAAAATGAGCAATTTCTTATGTCTCATTGGACTATCGTTGTGTGTCAAAGATCTTATTTAAATAAAATAGGTTCTATATAATTACAGATACCCAAATCGGTAAACATGCAACTAATATTAGGCAGTCATAGTAGCCGCAGTATTGAACCGTAATTGATATCGCATTTGCGTTGTGTATAGTACCTAGGTAGTATATGTAGTAGTCTTGGTACAAGTAGATCCAATTACTATAGGATTGAAACCTAGTAGACATCGTGGAAATAATAGATCTAGATCTAGTAGGTCCGATAAAAAAAATAGAAAGATCTAGCAGATCTAATATCTCTGCAAATTCATCAATGAAAGAGGTAATAGTCGACATATTGGGCATAGATGCAAAGGTAGAGGTGATATTCACAGGCAGTAACATCATGTGCTGGACGGGTGAATGCGTTGTGAGTTAGATGGATGCATTTGTTAGGGCAGGCAGATGTTGACATTTAGATGCCCACGTACACATTACAACCTTTTCGACGTGGCGGTGAACTAAGTTTACGGTGAGTTCAAATCCCACCGAATCTCAAAGCAACTTTGGAACTATAAGAGGTCACCTTTGGAACTATAAGAGGTAACCTCTGCTGCTCTTTGCGCTCTCGTCTTCAAAGGCACCCATCTCTACTACCAGCATCGACTGAGAAGATTTTGAACACCCACACGATATATTGTACACTAGTTCTTTAAGTATCTGCTGCTATATCTATATTGCTCTAGTGAGTGCTACTATATCTATATTTTTCTAGTAACTGCTACTAATGTCATATAGTAAAATCCGGATGCTGGCTGAACGGGCGTTCCCTTACAAAAGCTGAGTTAAATTTACTAAAATTTCAAGTCCAGGAAGTCATCGGCAGCAACCGTCATGGAAAGCAGCGAAAGAACGACGATTAGACAAAGGGCCGAGTCCATCATCAATGACAGGCTTCAAGACAAGAAGACATATCTAGCCCAAGCCGAAAAAATCGTCGCCATTCTCAACAGCGCATGGCACGCCGGTAGCCTCGATCTGAGGCAAGACGAGTTCTGGTCCCAGATTGAGCAGTTGGAACGCTTAATCACAGCCTTGAGAGGAGATGTTGTTGTTATCCAAACCTCTTGTCACGAACTCAGCGGTAGACTCATTGATAATATGATTTGGCAACATGACCGTCAGAACACGGATTGGGCCTATCTGGATCTTTTAATCAGTCGTTACAAGACACCTGAAGGAGCAAGGCTGTCTTTGTTTGCCTCGAGGGATGCGGATGCCCAAGAAAGGTCTAGAAGGAGGGTTTTTAAGGCATATGATGCAGTAACTCCGGATTCGGAATGGTGTGTCATCTCTGGAAAATACTTCAAGCCATCTCTTGTGAAGGCAGCCCATATTGTTGGGTACAATGTGGGCGAACCCTCTGCGCGGCACCTGTTTGGGCCACCTCGTGACAAAGATGGCCACCTAATGGCAGCTAAGAACGGCATCCCAATGCACCACGAGCATGAAAGGCTTTTCGACGATGCACGGTTGGTCATCGTACCAGAGGTACAACCAGATGGAAACCCACGAAAAGGCTGTTGGAAAGTATATTGCCTCGACGAACCCGATACCTATGAAGCGTCTCCGCATTTCCCATCTGGTCGTGAGCTTCATGGGCGCTCGTTGCAGTTCCGGAACGAGTTTCGACCCTCTGCTCGATACTTATACTTTGCGTTTTGTATGAGTATATTGAGGAGACAACGGCACCAGGTCCCCGGCTGGTGGCAGGATTACCTCATCGATGACGTGGGAAAGGCTTGGGCAACGCCGGGCACTTACTTGCGCACTTCGACTCTTCGGAGACTTGCGCACCAAGTCGGTCACTTGACCGAAGAGGAGGCGGCCGAATTTGCACCTGGATCAGCTAATGAGGATGAAGGCGTGGAGATGCTAATAGATGCCCAAGTCGAGCTATTAGTCGCAGCCTACCATGACCAGAATTCGACCACTCCTGCCACCCACAAGGGTGAGAGTCTCTCGAGACGCGATAATCGAGATAACGAGAGATATGAGGAGGATGAGGAGGATGAGGAGGATGAGGAGGATGAGGAGGATGAGGAGGATGAGGAGGATGAGGAGGATGAGGAGGATGAGGAAGATGAGGAAGATGAGGAGGATAAGGGGGATGAGGAGGGAGATGAGGAGCAATTTGTTGTTGTGACCTAATTTCTTTGCTGATCATGCGACTGAAGTGATAGATTGAGAAAGACTACATAGATAGCTAATTGAAAAGCCCTTGAGAGCCAGTTATAGGCAGCAGAGATGGTTGGTCTAATTGACAGGCTCCATAGTATTCGGTATATGAATGAGAGATTGCAGAAGACAAAATGAGCTGTAAAGCAACTCACACAGTCCGCTGGTACGTCTACAAAATGGAGTAGGGTGCCTGCATCCTGGGAAGCTGCTCTTGGGAGCATGCCAAGATGACTTCCTGGTCGTGCTTCCAAACCTCGCTTCGTCGTCCAATCTTGTTTCCCCCATCTTAAGCCCATAGTCTCTTCCCTGATTCTGGCTAAATCTCTTAGCATCACGCACCATCGACCTCTTGCTAAGATGGCTCTGAAGCCCCGTGACATTTCAATGTTAGTGGCATGAGTTGCATTGCGCCGTTCATTGTTAGTCTATGGTGGCAACCTACTTGCAAGCACACGTCAACGCAAGCCAAAGTTGTGAGTATAGAGCGCAGAGTCGTTGCGTCTTAATGTTTGGAATAGATAGATAGATAGCACGGCCCAAAATGCCTTGATGCAAGAGACAGAAGAACAAGATTCTACAAGCAGTTATGTCCAGGGACTAACATTGTGACTACCCGCAGAGCTAAAACTTGCGACGCTTCCAGGTCGATCAGCATACCCAGAACGTAAGGTAGCGTGAGCAAGATTAGCTTGCGCCCAGTCGTCAGTAATTTGAGGAAATCCCCAGTCGTCAGTAATAAGATGAGGCTGCAGAGGGTCGCTTTCAAAAACATTTTCCTGTGTGTTGGCATAAGTATTAGATTGCCCCTTATTGAGGACAGTCTTAGGTTGCCGTATAGTTGTGGTACATTCAATTCCCCGCTCAATGCAATAAGTACATTGAGTCTCGTCTTCTGACGATGGACGACATCTCACTTTTAGTTTCCTGCAACAATCTAGATATCCTTTAGCAATTCTTGCGATTTCGGCAGATGAATGAACAAGGTTCATGGCGAGGGCCAACATAGCATACCACAAGCTCTGCTTTTTTTAAGCCTTGCTTCCCTACGGCGTCTTGCACGACTGACACTGTTTTTTACCCTCTTTCGCTGCTCCTGGAAGGTCATCTCGCCGGAATCCAATATGTTTTCAGCCGCAACAGCACGGGTGGTTTCATTGCTGGCTTTCGTCCACGACGATAGGCCCATATAAGCAGCAAAAGCGAGCATTTCGGTCCCTTCTGGTACATCCTCTCTGAGTGTGACCCAGCGAACCCATGTTGCTTTATCACTCAATCGCTTTACCACAGGGCTTGGATCAACTTCACATCGTTCAGCCAGTCGAGCATGAGTGAACAGTCTGAATGTGGCATATGAGAGAAGAGCAGGGTCATCTTCTAGTATTTGTGACCGGCTCAGCTGAGAGAAGCACGTCTCGGATCCACAGGGGGGCCTGTCTGATTCTGAATGCTCGCCAGGAATAGCCCCTCCCTTCGCCATCCATTCAACAATATCCACGTTTGGAGTGTCTTCCAAAGATCTCAGCATCTCAAATACGGATGCATTTTCTTCTCCCGTCGCTGATTGCTTGCTATATTGCAGCCTGTGTTTGTAGGAAGGTGTTGAATTTCGATTTGCCATATGATTGGCCTGGGTTGGGCCTTCGGTACCGTTTTCCACGATTTTCGGGCTGTCTTCGCGGTGCCGAGCTGCGTGAATCCTTGCCTTGACAAGTCCATCCAGCTCTTTGATATTGAGGTAGTCCAGGCAGGTGTTGATTATTGAAAGATGGCTATTGCCGACCGGGTTGGTCCGTAGACTCGAATCAAGCATAGAAAATTCATTACCTTTTAAAAAGAAGTCGCGTACTGATTCATGTATGACTTGGACAATTCTAGTATTGCCTTGCTCCAGATTAAGCGATCCCGCTCCTGCATGAATGGACATTAAGTCGACTCCATCGTCTTGCAAATCACCTGCTCCAATGTTCTTTAATTCCACTAAGCCCTTTGAGACTCGCCTGATCTGCTTGACAAGTTGCTCGTCACTATCGGTAAAATGGACCGACTGGCGCCACTCTTTGAGCGATGTAATCGAAGGCTGCCAAATGAATGCCATTATGTGATGCCACTCGTGAAGGCTAAAGGGTTTCGTCCCTAGGATTACCCACTGGAAAAGCCGGGTAATTGTTCGATTTTCATGCGGATCAAGGTCAGAAAACATCCTGGAGAATAATGTTTCGAGTTCTTTTGGGACATCCGTAACCAGTTTGGCCAGGTACGGCATTCCGTTGCCATCATCCCAGCTTTTAAGCACGTCTTCTACCACCAAGACAACCCAAAGAAACACTCCATCAGCCTTGCTCAGAATACTTCGTCTTAGTTGTTTCCAGTGCGTATCTTGGATGGGCACACAGACTCGAAGTTTTTGGTCCACATATGCCACAATGTCGTCACTGTTGTGCTGTTCAACGATTATCTCAGGACAGTCATCCAAGGTGATTGTGGGGAAGTGCCTGCTGGATAGACAGACATTGAGATCGGCTCCTTGATCATGGGCTGACTTGGTTATTGTCCTCCAGAAATAAGCCATCGGCCGTACCATAGACTCATCACATTCATCCAAAGCATCAATGAAAATGATTGTTCTCTTCGTCTGACTCATCACCATTGATTCGAAGAAAGCTTTTAGCTCTGGCTCTGTCCAGATAGATATCTCTTGTCGCATACCCCCTCTCATGAATTTGACTTTTTCCTCCCACATCTTGTGAAATCGCTGGAGACTTTCTCTGTCTCCAGGCAAAATTTGGTATAGCAAGGACTGGAAAAGGGCAAGACTCGAGCGTACAAGCGTATCTCCTTTAGCACTGAAGAAGAAAGCAGCAGTAGTATAGTGTGACGTGGCCTGCCCCGGCGCCGCCCGGCGAAAAGCTTCTTTCATGAGTGTTGATTTACCCGAACCTGGCTTTCCTTTCAGCCAAAGGAGACCGTAGCTCTCCTGCCTGCTCGTACTGTTGAACCAATCTCGATATACATCATGGTTGAATAACCATGAGCACGTCTGATTTGCCGGTTTTTCCAGGCTTTGGTAGCGAATATAAATACCGGGAAGCCACAGAGATCCAAGACAAGCTTCATAAAGCTGACTATTGACGATATTACCCAATCTCCCTTTCGTGGAGGCGGCACTCGATACTGACTTGGGAAATCGTATCTGTCGAGCTGGTTGAGCCTCAGTTGCTTTAACTCTTGCGATGGAACGGTATATCCAATCAAGTTGTCCAGCTATTTTATGATAGTTTGGATCATCTTTTCCCGAATACCGACACATTTCTATATGATTCGCTTGCAGCGTCTCAGCGTGCTCACGATAATCTCCAATCAGCGATGAATAATCGGGAACCACCTTTTTCCCAATCTTTGTCAAGCTGAGGCCTTCTTGGAAAGTTTTGACTTGAAAGTCATACTTTTGCCATATCATCGAAAAGTCTTCCTGTGTTCGTGATAAATCTGTTGTCTTTAATCCCAAGGCATCAAGAATGACAGGCGTCGTCTCCATGCCAAGAGAGCTGATAACAGACCGCACCACTTCGCCGAGCGCCGCGACATCCTGACTACCACGGTGCGGTGTGCCAAGAAAAATTATTGATGCAGTTGACTCGACTATGTCTTGAAGCTCAGCTTCAGGGGATGAGGATGACCTCGCCAACATCTGGAAGTACAGTTAAAAATTTGTATCCGCGCCTAAGGGCCAGGATAGACCTACCTCCTTGACGACGATCCCACCTAGACTGTGAGCAACGAAAACCAGCGGGTGCTTTAGATGCCTTTCTCTGTGTAAAGAAAATAAAAGATCCTTGCTATGGGAGAGAATGCTGTTATGATTTATAGCCCCAGCTCTGTACTTGGTAACCTTACTGTCATAGCCGAAAGTGAGAATACGTGAGTCGGGACATTTATCGGGAAGCAAATCAGCAGGCCAGAATACTGGCCCAAGTCGGCTGTCATTTTCCTCAGGAAGTGTAGTAGCAGTTGATTGCGTGCCGCCTGTTAGTGAAACTTTTGGTGACTTCCAGACCATACGACGAATGCTACTTCTTTTCTCGTCTTTCTCGCCTGTCGACGTTGTAGGTTCAAGCGTATCAAGGGTTTTGGGACGATAAGTCCATGTCTTGAATGGATGGCCTTGTAAGCCATGAACAAATACGATACTGTACAGTTGAAATCAGCTGGCCGACACCTGTTCTACTAGAGGTCAAAAGGACGCACTCGACGATTGGAGAAGGGATGTCGGCTTCGTAGACGACGGTTAACCCGGTTTCTGCTATATCCCGTGGCATGTCTTATCTAGAATACAAATTGTCAGCGTACGAGGTAGATGCTAAAGTTGACGTGAAAGATTTCTAGGTTGGGAAGATCAGGCTGAGCGACTCGGAACGACCAATAGATTATGCTGAGGTAAGGATGCATGTGCCTTGGATTGGTGTTTGGGGTAGCATCCAAAGACTACATGCACATATAAGCCCACCCGTGATGTAATTTTATTGGGAGATATGCTTGAGTATTATCATTACAGGTTAGTATTAGCCGTCATGTCTAAGCCACCTTTTATGCCTAAATTTACCCTGCAGCAAAGTAGGTACTTTGCACATGAATGAAATGGCTAGATCTTTTTCTCAATTAACGAAAAAAGAAGAGAGAAAAAAACCAGCACGCGATTAGTCGTAGTTACCTCCCGTTTACGCAGTCTAGCTCCAACTTTCAGGTACTCGCCCATATTTTTTAATGGGAAGCTGCTTTTGAGAGCATATCAACATGACTTTCCTCGTCATGTTTCCGAAGCTCGCCTCGATATCATGTGGGCTCCCAATCTTCCTTCCCCAAGCTTGTGCCCATAGTCGCTTCTCTTTTCTACTTTGTTGATTCTTCACTGCTTCTTTCTCTTCTTCTGCATCACCACAACATCGCCGCCATCAGCTTTACAGGTCCGAGCATCATTCATTTCAACCAGCTACAGTTCCTCTCCATACCGGCACTCGAGTTGCCTTTACTACCATCTTTTGCGACATCTTCTTCCTCCCCAAGCTCATTCTCTGCTCAGCCGCCATTAGCCAGTTCCTCGACTATGAATCGATTACTACCACGCAACCATGTGTCACTGCTCGACATCTGAAGATGCGGAACTTAGCCTCCTGCGCTTCTCGCTATGCTTACCAGGTGCCGATGGCATCCCCAAGCCCAGAACACCCGGTGACCAACAAGTGGCATGGCTTGTGAGCCCTGCCAGTCTAGATGCTGATCCGTCGACACCCGAAGACTCTGGCTGGATTTGCGGCATGTATGCTCGAGCCTGGGCTCGGTTGGAAATGGCCATCTATGGCCAAGACGTGGAAGATTCTCAAGAGATTGCCTTTTGTTATGGAGATGCTATTACTTTTGCCGCTTGCTTACCCTGTATGTTGCCTCGTCGCCATGTCAACATGCCTCCAGCCATCGCTAACAACGTGTACAGTCTATGGCTTCACTATTGGATCACTTCAATATGCTGTCCGCAGTTATTTTGGGCTTGAAGGAACCAGGAGACAAGATTTCAGCGATGGCTGCTGCTTTCCACGCGACACAATTCTGAGGAACGAGCAAGAAATTATTCTTCGTGAGAGGCTCCGCAGGGCCCCGGAGGAGAAGCCGCAGCCGCCATATGGCTGCTATGATCAAATGCTCTATCAATCTCAGTCAGAGCAACAGCAGCAGCAACAGCAGCGCGCTGTCCGAGGAGATCAAGCCCAAGTCCCTGCTAGCGAAAACAAGACAGCAGCCACGAATGCCAACGTCAAGCCCTCACCAGCCAAAGTACACTCTGTGCATGAGGATGTTCGCCAGCCCACTCAAACCAATCGACGAGCTCCGCACACTCTGGAAGAGGATCTCGCCACTCCGGCCAAGGCAAAACGACAGGAGCACACCATTCATGATGACACCGAGACAGCGACTCCCGCGAAACCGGTGCCCCACGAATTGGGCGCAACATCGTTGAAGGCTGGGCAGTGAAAAAAACTGAGTACATCATGTTGTTCCAGACGACAGCATCGGGTTGCAAATGGATCAAGTGAATTCGGCGGTGAAGATTATTCGCCTATGTACACACTCTTACACCACATTGGTCCTAACTTTGACTCGACCTCGATAGAATTACAAGTAGCTTGATAACAGAATATCTTTATCCAAATATGCACGTGGTTCCATAAAAGCATGGTTCAACCATCAATAACTCCTTTGTACTATTAGTTCATAGCCTTGATTGACGCTAATCCAATATGCAGTTTCAGCGAAGCAAGATTTCTATCACTTCTTCTTCTCGGCCCTCTACAGCCTCTCCCTTCATGACACCATACACAAAACACTCGCTGTGAAAGGTCAAGCTCGGGTCTGACTCTTCATCAGACGCTTTTGGTAGAGCATTCAAGATGACAGGCACCCTGCATCCACCAATAATCCAGAGTTCCTGACCGGACTCAACATTTTGGGGGCCAAGCCCAATATGTCCATCCTCAGTGATGAAGATGGCCTGTGACCGAACCATTTTATTTACCCATTCGTTGGGGTTGTCCTCGTCGTCGGATCCATCTGGAGATAGGCTGCCTGTGATGAGGCCCAGGAATGCCGTCAACCCGCCATTAGAGAGCTTGTCTGGGAACTGCTCGTGATATCTTGACAAAAGTTTACCCCATCGGTTACCGTATGAGCGAAAGATGGAAGCGACTGAGCCCTCGCCGGCTATGTCCTCGCCAGCTTCAATCTCTTCTACCAAAGCGACACGGCTGAGCTTCAGGCCGCAGATGCGGAGTGCAGTGTTGTTGTCCTCGACTCTGAGGCCCTCGCCGACACCGAACATGCCGCGATCTGCTTCGAAGCCGCCCCAGTGCCACCAGTGGTGGTGGTCCCAGAAGTTGCACTTGCTGCGTCTAGCTTCATCTTTGACGCCGCTCCAGTCGACGGCCCACGATGCGAGGCCTGGGATATCGGTTCCTTCCCCGCCCCGGCCGATCAGGGGCTGCAGGTCGGTGCTCATGCCGATGAGGTCGATTGTGACGGTGTGGTAGAGCGTGCGCACGTCGACTTCGTAGTTGCACATTTTGACCGAGGGGAGAGAGACATCTTGGCGGAAACCTAGGACGCCGTAGACTTTATCGCGGGGGTCTGTTGCGGAGCGGAAGCGCCAGCGCCAGAGAAGCTGGAAGAGTTCTTCTTCGCGGGAGGCGCTGAGGCCGCGGAGGGAGGCCTGGAGGTTGAGCAGGCAGCCGTTGTCCCAGAATTCATGGTGGATTGCCGGAGCCGTGTCGTTGAAGAAGCTTGTTGAGGCTTTGTCGAGGACGGCCCAGGAGATTTCGCAGGGGCCCCAGTAGATGGTGGCCGTTGGGGGGAGGATTGCTTCCTGGACGGTCCAGATGCGGCTCCACCAGGATACGTTGAGGACGGTCTTCAAGGCAGATGCAGCGGTGATTCTTTTCTGTTCGTCGTCTAGCCAGGGGGGAGGGTCTTGGTCGCCTGCGATCCAGGAGAGGGTGTCGAGGGCTGCTTGGGCGTCGGTCTGAGTGATGTCGCCTAGGGAGCCGAGCCAGATGGCGCCTTGCTTGCACTTGTTGTAGATGCGGCCCATCATGGAGACTTGCAGCGACTTTTCGAGATTGTCCGTCTGGTTGATGCACAAAGCATCGGCCCAGACGTGTCTTGGTTGATCGGGGAGCCGCAGTCGCCGCAGGGCATCGGCTAGTGAAGGCGTGACTCCGACATTGTTGTCTCCGAAGAAGATGTCTTCATAGGTATTGGTACTGTCGTTTCCCCAGGCGTAAGAGAGGGCTTCATAGGGGAAGTCGAGGTCGTCGAGAGTTGCTACGTGGAATTTGCAGCGTAGGGGAGAGTCTGGGGGGCCGGGCTTGATCTGGAGAGTGCGGATTTCCGATTTGAGGGAGTTGATTGAGGGGAGGACTTGGTCGTGCCAGGAGACTTTTTTCGCCATGGTTGTTTGGAGTTGGGATGGTATTCCCTTGTGACTCTCTTCTATCTCATTCTCTCTTTGTGGAGTTTAAAAGCCAACCAGTGTAAATACCGTTGCCTGAACCGACATGCCCCGCTGATATAAAACAGATTGGTTGCCATTGCAGGAATTGAGCGTCAGGATGCAATGTCAGATATAAGCACCGCCGCGGAATTAGTTAGTGAGGACAAGGAAGCGATGCCAGCGTGGTGCAAAAATAGAAGGCCTTGTCGTGTGATTGCTCAGGGCTGGGGAAACTGGGAATTTAGTCTGCCGCTAAGCGTATTGTAATGCTCTTTTTGATGGTGGGACCCTGGTATGGTGATGCTGTGTGAGCAGATGGGTGCATTGAGGTTGTCAACTATGTTGGAGTAGTTGTGAACACTGGCTAGCATTGTGAGAGGACGTCGGTAGTTGAGCGGTTCCATGGGGACATGATTGCCGGGGCGTGGTATGCAGCTGAGTTCTGTGACTGTGCGGCTCTTTCGACTCAAATCCATGATTGGTGCAAAATCTCATCCTTGTTGAGAGGCTTGTCTATCGTCTTACTATCACCCTTGATCTCTTGGTCGAAAAGGCAAGCCCCTAACCAGAGCATCTATTTTACTGATACACATCAATCGTATTTGCGAGTCCAGTGACCCTTATAGGTGGCCGTTAGTCAGACTTAGTTTAGCTTACATACATGTAGAGATGAATTAGAGTATTGACAACTAGTAGTAGCTAGAGACCGTTGAATGTTGGCATTGTTCGATAACTACGAAAAGAAAGGATACATAGATGCATCGCGACATGGTAGATGTAGTCAAAGTGGCGAGTGCCATACAAATCTGTATTACTTCATCCTACAATACGCGATGAGCAATGCTCCAAAGCTTACGATTAGAAGGATACTACCTTGATAGATAGAGGGATAAGATGACTGCATCAGACGTATAGCGAATGATGGTGTGTAAAAGAGTAAATGTCCCACAGCTGGTCGGGGACTCCCACGACAATGTTGAGGCTCTGCATAGTGGACCAGCTGCATGCTTAAAGTCCGCCCCTGGCAAATATTAAACCCCGATGCACTGCTTCCTGAGCAACACACAAACAACACCGATACTACAATTAATAGGCAGAAGCGTGAACGTAAAGGCAGTAGAATATGATAAGAAACTGTCATGTGGTGGCAGTCGATAAAGGCCGTCTTACAGCGGACATGAGATGCGCATCCTGTAAATGCTTAAGCATGTGTCGCACATCCATGCGACAAATTGGCTCATTCGCAGATTGGGTTGAGACTTTATTTCGTCATATGATTGAGATGGTTATTCGATTACTATTAGTATGTTCCAAGCAGAATATGCATCCATCCCATGCGAATACTAAACATGACATATTCTCATAAGCCCCTACATTTCCAATCCACCAAATTCCAGCTCCCGCTTACACATGCCTGCAGGTACCTTCAGAAATACTTCACCATCAAATACACCTCGCCTTAATACCAGCGCCTACAAAAAATCCATCCTCTAAGCAGCTTCTTCTAACCTCGGCATTAAATCACTCACCTCCCAAAATCCAAGTAATATCCCCCGACCAAATCTACATGTATTTCTTCAGCTCGCATCAACCAAGACATCCATCCGCATTAGGCATCTCGTACACCCACTAGACTAGCCCAACCAAACTTACAAATAGCGCTTGCGACGTCAAAACCCACCCTCCCGCAAGAAAAAAAAAAAGGTGTGGCAGCCTTTGTAATGCCCAGAGTCGGAGTGTGTTACGTAGTTTGGCTTGGCTTGGTATGTATGTCTCACTCATCCAGTCTATATAGCCAACATAGCTTAGCTTGTGGTTTCGAAACTTGAAGAAGCGAACGGCCCGTTGGCAAGGCCAGGCGCGTTTGTGGACTGGATTGGATTTTGGGGGCGGCTTGTAAGAATATTGTGGAGCGAAGCATTTGCTATATATGGCAACAATTGAAGTCGGATGTGCAACTGGTTCGTTCGCTCGCAGACGATGGTGTCTTGTACAAGTGCGAGTATGGGAAATGGTTGGCTCTCAAGCACGACATGACAGCGGCAACGATCTGCGATAAGAAAAAAAGAAATACACAGCATTGCTACATGAGGTCTAACAGAAGGCTACACGCATTAATAAGGAACCGGGCGATTCTCCTTGACCCATAGCTTCAAACCCTCACTACCAGCCTCCGGCGGCGTAAACTCATTCGTCTTCCAAAGCCTCCTATCCGTCTCCGAAATGTGAAACTCCCAATCATATTTGCCCTTCATCAACGGCGTCAAAAGCCGGTTAAACACGTCGCCGGCCTCGCGCCTGACCTTGTCGTCGTCGGGATAGTTGTGCGCAACGTGGTTGATGGTGAAGCGGATGAAGGGTTTGTCATTGGCAGCGCGCCGGACGCCGCCGACGTAGAAATCTTCGTGGGCGACTTTGATGAAGTTTACGACGACGTAAAAGGCGGGCATGCCGACGCCGATGTAGAAGTCGGTTATGGCTTTGACGAGGGCATCTTTGGATTCGTCGTCGGCGTAGGTGTTGGGAGGGTGGTAGACGAGCCAGTGGGGCATGATTGCGGTGGTGTCTTGTAGATGCTGCTTGGAGAAGAGGGTAATGGATGGTTTATCGAGTGATTGATGAAGAGATGTGAGAGAAATGCATTTTACAGGGCTTCCAGGTGCTTTTTAAGTGTCAAACAGGCCATCCAAACCGATACGAGACTGACACGAAGAGAGGCATAGCTGCATCCATCTTGAGCAAGTAAGTGAGCGAGCGTCCACGTCGTCTGATACTGCGAATATCCAAAAACTTCTAATTCGGGAAAACGAGACAGAGCACCAAAGATGCCAGAAATCTCCTCGAAACGGTAATCCCTCTGCAGTGGCGTCGAGTAATACGGCGCTTGTGGATTGTAATTGTAATCGCACTGTCCGCGCGGATTCGCCGGCTGGAGCCCCGGGCCCGGGGATAAGTGGGGTTAACTCCAACAGTTCAAGGCAGTCGGAGGCGCTGAGCTAATTGCTGGACGGTCGTGGAGATGTTGCTCCTTGATTGCTCATCGTGCAGCGGCTGACAAACCGGCGTCTGGACGGACAGACCTGCCTTTGGACGGACAGACCTGCCTCATAACAGCTCGTCTCAACTCGAGATTACTGATCATCATGAGCTGAACATGGCTTCAAAGTGTGTTTAGTCGACGAGTGTACCTGTAGATGATGAAATATATATAGACGGCATCAGTGTCGTTGATAAATCCAATCACAGTAGAAAAAGCACAGTTAGCAATTCAACAGCAGCAAGAAGAGACAGCCAACAATTCATCACAAAAATCCGCAATTCATCAAGTGTTCAACATGGCTTCAAAGCTTGCCTTCATCACTGGCGCGACGGGCTTCATTGGCTCGCAGGTCGTCACATCGGCCCTTCGCGAAGGGTACAATCTGCGCCTGAGCGTGCGAAAGGCTGAGCAGATTGAGAACCTCAAGGACATTTTCCGCGACAATGTCTCAAAGATTGAGTTTGTCGTGGTGCCAGACATCTCCAAGCCTCAGGCATTCGACGATGCTCTAGACAATGTCGAAGTCGTCTTCCACATTGCATCGCCCATGCCCGGAAAGGGAGCCGACCTGCACAAGGACTATCTCGATCCAGCTGTGCGGGGAACGCTCTCCGTGCTGGAGTCCGCCAGAAAGATCCCCAGCATCAAGAAGGTGGTCATTATGGCATCGATCCTGAGCATTGGCCCCCCCGACCTCTTTTTCAACACGGACACTTTTGTCCCAGGTGAGTACAGATCCACCTTCCTACATATAGGGCCCAGGGGTTGAAGTGAAGCATTCAACTGACACAACAGCAGCAAACACTGGCAAAAGGCACGAGCTTAACATTGAGCAAATGTTCCCTGACGGCAAGGGTGACCACGGCACAATGTACGTGGCCTCCAAGATTCTGGCCCATCAGGCCTCGCAGGACTGGGTCAAGGAGCACAAGCCGGCCTTTAAGCTGGCCACGATCCACCCGACCTTTGTGCTTGGCCACAGCCAGATTCGCAAGACGGCTGGCGATATCGACGGCATCAACGCCTGGTTCTGGAAGTCGCTGCAGTCTCCGGCACCCCTCTTCCCATCGGTGATTGTCGACGTGCGCGATGTCGCCGACCTGACCATCAAGGCGGCCCAACCGGACGTGCCAGATGGCATTGAGCTGGTTGCCTCTGGCGCACCAACGACATGGAAGGACATTGCCGCGTGGGCAAGGAGCACATATCCCGAGCTGGACACGAAGCTGGTGGAGGACGGCCCGGTTCCCTTTAGGGTTGACAACGACGTGCTCGGAATGAAGTGGCGGCCATTGTGGGAGACGCTCAGCGGGCTGATTGACCAGCAGCTGGCGCTACAGAAGGGCAACTAAGTGCCTGCATGTGAAGCTTGTACAGTACTGTAATTGGCATTGGATTCATGAATCCAAGGATAGGGACCGATAGATAAAAGGGAGATTGAGCTTGGGGAGAGTCGAGACAACTATGTGCTCAGATTCGATGGGGAACAAGGGATAGATTCGATTAGACGTGCAGATAGCTGAAACTGAAACTCGAGTTGGATTGCAGCCCGTCTAGCCTTTGCTCGTCTTCCGGCCGCTAATTGGTGAGACAGAGCTTGGTCCATTTGATTTGTGGGTTGGTGCAAATGCAGGCAATCAATAGTAAGACAGACCAAGACAAGGCCAAGACAAGAAGAAGAAGAGACAGCGAAGAATATGCGAGCCGAGCGCTAATAAGCAGCAGCGGCAGTATCCAATGGGGATCGGCGGTGGCGCAGATGCATCGGCCTGGTGCGACTTGTATGAATATTAGATGTCGAAATGCTGCAGTTGGTAGTGCAATATGCAATAGTGGGATGCAGGTTTGATAAAAAGGGCTGGAGCTGGATGTTGGATGATGGCTGAATGACGAGTGGAGTGACGAGATTCGGCAGCGGCTGGACGCGTTGATTGGATTGGGCCTGCGAGATTTCGGGGCAAGCCGAAGGCCCTGGTCTTGAAATGTACAGGGAGATGCCCAGGAGGGATTTTGCTAGCAGCACGTCATGCAAGGCGGTTTTTCTTCTCTCTACATCAATTAAAGTGGCTGAGCGGGTGGCGTGTAAAGTGCCTTGAGAAGAGGGTGCCTTGAAGGTGGGAAGAGTTGAGGTTTGCTTGCATCTACTCGTACATACACTGGACAGTTCCATGATATCCTCAACTCTTATCAATCACTATCAATCGCCATCATCCACCATCATCACCTCCGTGTAAGAGATGATGACCCCCAATTCGCTTCGCTTCAGCTTCCTTGTGCAAATAAATATAGACACTTGTACAATCCCAGCCTCCACGCGCGTGCTTCGCGCGTCTCCTCTAGCGCATCATGCAATGCACCATCACGCACAGCTCGCAACCTCCCCCTGTCGCGCATCCAAGGCGCATCCCTGGCTCTCACGCATCCCCACGCGTCCATTGGCCTCCCGCCCGCCAATCGTGGCAAAGCACTTTACCCGTCCCGGCAGACGCGTCAATGGTCTCCGTACAGGATGTATGTACAAGATGCATGGCCAGCCGCCCGTGTGTCTCGCCGGCTCGCTTTTATTGTCTTGGGGGGGGGCGAAATCTGGGCGAACGAGATCTGCCCTTTCCTGCCCTCTTCATGTCTCGATGCTCTTCCCTCCCATCCCATCCAGTACTTACATTCCCCCCCTCTGTCTCTGGCATCAAATCATAGGCATCAAATTTGATAGCAGAGCCTCGTTCTTCCCCCCCTGCTGTAAATCCCCTTCACTCAGCTCCCTCCAGTTCCCAGCTTCATTCTCTCCCACTCTCCCCCAACCCCACATTCGAGAAAAAGCCCACACAAAATCTGAAATCCCATTAAACTTAAGCGAATCGTCGGTGAGGCGCGTCGCGACAGTACCTCCCTCTTGCCAATTTGCGCACGGACCTCTATGTATCTGCGACCATCTTGTGAGCCGTCCGCTACTTCTGCCGCCCTCTGCCACCCTTCTGCTAGGCTGGAACGCTAGGCCCCCGTTTGGCCGTGTCTTGCGAGCAACCACTAGGCTTTAGCAGCTTTAGCAGCTTTAGCACCACCTTTAGCACCCAGTAGTGTGAGAGGGTAAAGGTACCCCTCAAGTAGCCCTTCGAGTAGCAGGAGTAGCAGGTACTCCAGGGCCGGCCGTTCAGACGCCTCGAGACATGTACCGGCCGCCCTCTGGCCGCATCGCCCTTCTCAAGTCCACATCGCGCTTCTTCAGTGTTTATTAGTACTCCCTCTGTCCCACTTGGGCCTCGCGCTCTTCTCCCCTCCCATCTCTTCCCATTTGCTTTTGTTATTCGCCTCGCTCTCTCTCACACCACGTTCGTTAGTGAATCCTCGCCAAACTCGAGAGAACGCAAAATCATTTTGATACCAAAGCAAAGCATCGCAGTGGCAAAAGAAGAAGATGACAACCGCACTCTACCATTAATTCCAGACCCAAAATTGACTGACCGCTTGCTCCCTTCGTCCTCGGTGAACCAACTGCCATCATCATTCAACCACATCGTTTCTTCATCTCCCCACCAAAGTATTCAATCAAAGTGGAACCACGGCAACTTGTCGCATCGCATCGCATCGCATCAATCACTCCTGCATTTGTACCGCATCGCATCGCATCGATTCAGTCCTTGGATTAAATCCCTCTGGAGCAATGGCCGCCGTCACTCGCCAGCCTTTTGCTCCCCTTGACGGAGCTCGTCTACAGTCCCTGACAAGCCTTAAGAACAGACAAAACGGTATGCTTTGCATCTTACCCAAGAGGAAAGAAGAATAAGCAGGGACTAATTCTACCGCAGCCAACGTTTCTCCCAAGCGGAAAGCAGAGTTTCTCGAGATTGATAACTGTGAAAATGTCGATCCCCTGCTCTTTGCAAAACGCTCCAAGGGCGTAAGCTCAGGCACCCCTGCCAAGGATGGCCTCAAGCCCTCCAGCTTCTTCCTCACTCCCAAGATCAGCACTCCCGTCGCCAGTGCACGATCTCTCGCCAGCCAAAACAAGGCCTCTTCAACGCCTCGTCGCATTCTGAACCCAAAGTCAAATCTGGGCAAGGCCAATGTCGACAACACGCCCAAGTCCTGCCCGGTAGCTCCCGCGGGCCTTTTGTCGGGACGGCGTCGCGCCACTCGCCTGGACCCCCCATCATTCCACCTCGGCGGCTCTTCCGCTCCATTCTCTCTCGATGCAGCCCTAAAAGGCACCATTGCGGGCTACACCCCTCGGCCATCCGTCAAGAGGCCCGTCGTCTCCAGCCTGCTTGAGCCTGACTCCAAGGCCAGCTGGTTCTTTGACATTCACGAAGACACCCCTGAGCAGGAGATGACCAACCTTCTACAGCACAGCACCTGCACACTCGACATCTCATCTGATGAGGAGACGGAGCAGCGCGCAAAGCGAGATGGTGCCGAGGGTCGTGACAAGGAGAACATTCCTCCCGCAGATGACGTCTCTCAGACTTCAGCCCAGCGTGCTAGCCCGTCGCCCAAGGGTGATGAGATGATTTTTGAGAAGCAGCGAGTTGCGCTTGGTGAGATGAATGCGGCCGACTTTTATGCCGAGGGCTGTGACGAGACATCGGTGATTCTCATCCACGAGGACGAGGAGCCAGAAGCTCCCATCGCCACTGTCTCAAACATTCCCGAGGAGCCGGAAGAGGAAGAGGAAGAGGACGAGCTGGAGATTCATGAAGACATTGACGCTCTCATCTCAAGATCCGACGGCACATCATCCAAGGCCGCTGTTCTGCAGCCCATAGAAGGCACAGGCGAAAGCTTTGAACTCTGGGAAAGCAGCAGCGCCAAAGATGAAGCTGAAAGCGTCGTTGGGAGCCCGTAAACCAGCGGCCCCCAGTCGATGGCAACCGGATTATAAACGAGGGAATGAGTGTACGTTTTTGTATGTCAGATGAAGAGCGAGCCTTGAGCCTTTGTGTTGTTTGCGTTGTGTTATTGTTTTGGTTCGGCCTGTTACCTGTGTCTTTGTCTTGTTTTGTCTCTTATTTTTCTTCTCTTCTTCCTTTCCTTTTTTCTCCCTATGAAAAAGGTCGTGGCTTGGCGCATCAGTTTTGCTTTTCCCGGACTGGGCGGCGTTTCCGGTTCGGTTTGGTACGGAATGGTTATACCAGGAGTTGTTGCTTGATGCGCCGGTTTGCGACTGTACGAGTTAGTAGAGCCTACCAGAGTACAAGAGTATCGTGCACATTTAATCGTATTGTTTGAATGCTACAGACAGTCTCGGTACCTTGATCTTTGTCCACGTGAAGTAAAGTGCCCGTGAATGAGACTTCATGTGTCTGAGCCCAACCATGGCAGTGAGAGCCCAACCTAACGAATTATGCATGACATTACCGTACCGATCAAGGAATTAGAAGCTATAGCGGTAGGCTAGCGGTGGTCAAGCGCTGTGTTGATCGCCCGCCACGCCCATTTTCAGCCACAAATTCTTACAGTGCGGGCGCCCAATCTTATCATGCCATTGATGATGAAAGCTCATGCAGCACAGACGCGGTGCACCTTTTGACTCCTCAAGCCTTTTGCCCGCAGTTCAATGGATGATCAGATCAATTCAACACCAACACACAATCTCAGTCCTCAATTCCAACAACAGCATCTACATCAATAAGGCATAAGAAGCTTGAACAATGTCTTCGATCCACGACCTCGCCGCCGCTGCAGTCGCCGGCACTTCGTCCCCCGCGGGAGCGGGCGATGACAGCACCGAGAACAAGATGAGGGGCGCCTTCATTGTGCTCGAGGGCCTAGACCGGAGCGGCAAGACGACGCAGGTGAAGCTGTTGGAGCAGAGGTTTGTGGAGGAGGGGAGGCCGGTCAAGGTGATGAGATTTCCGGGTGAGTTTTTTTTTTTTTTTGAGTTCTTTTTTTTTTTTGTTTTGTTGAGTGAGAGCTTGATGAGATGATCGCATGATATGACATGAGGTTAATGAGGCCTGGGTTTTTTTCGCTGGGTGCAGATAGAACGACGCCGATTGGGCAGATGATTGATGGCTATTTGAAGAGCCATGTCGATATGAGTGACCATGCGATTCATCTTCTGTTTAGTGCCAACCGGTGGGAAGCTGCGTAAGTTGTTCTCATCTCTACTTACTGTATAGTGAGATGAAACGCTAAGACAAACGACATTTACATATCAACAGCCAGCAAATCCGGGCCTACCTCGCCGCCGGCATCACCGTCGTGTCGGACCGCTTCTACCACTCCGGCATCGTCTACTCAGCCGCCAAGAAGAACCCGCACCTGCCGCTGTCCTGGGCCCGCGCCCCGGACACGGGCCTGCCGCGGCCAGACGTGGTGCTGTTCCTGGACCTGGACGAGGAGGCCGCGAGGGCGCGGGGCGGCTGGGGCAGCGAGAAGTACGAGAAGGAGGAGATGCAGCGGACGGTGCGGGAGCTGTTCTGGGCGCTGAGCATGGGGGGGAAGGACATCAAGGGGCAGGACTTGCTGCAGCAGCTGGGGGGGATCGAGGGCGCGTCGTGGAGGCAGGATGAGGAGGACATTGTGGTGGTGGACGCGAGCAGGGCGGTGGAGGAGGTGAGTGAGGCTATCTGGAGAAAGGTGAGGGCCAGGGTTGAGAGGGTGGAGGCGGGTGAGATGGGCAAGGTGGTGAGGACTGCGTTGTGATGGGATGGGGATGTGACATGGGGACCACGGTGATGATGCTGGCCGGCATTCCCTTTTGTGTGTGTGTTTTGTCCAGTCGAGAGCAATTTGCCATTCTCGAGATGTTCAGGTCCAAAGATATGATACACCTCTCTCTCGCACTTATTCAATATCAACATCGAGCAACAACAACAACAACTATCTACCTTACCTGGCAAGCAATTGAACTCAGTCATCCCAATACCAAGCAAGCCCACTTGTCACCAAACAGCACAACTTCATCCTCGTCTTTTGCAGAATGCAGATATGCATCTCCTTGATAAGGAGAATACCTTGCATCGTCAGCCAATCAAAACTCTGGGTGGTCTAGTTGGTTCATGGCGTTCGGCTGTAATGGATAACATCTCACCGAAATGTCGGCGGTTCGACTCCGTCCCCGGAGATGTTCTTTTTTTGGGCGTTGTCTTCTGGATTCATACTCTCATCAATTGGTCAATCTATCCAGTCTTTGACTCTTTAGTCTTGTTCTACTTCTTTTTTGTTTCTTTTCAGATTCCATTGCAGAATGAATGACTGCATCTTTCATATCCTTGCCCTGTCATACACGTCAACCACATGAAAATACCCACCCCCGAATCTCACTCACAGCAAAATCCCAAAAAGAAGCCCCATCGCCAAAAATCGTACCAGCCCGCTATCAAATCAACCACCCCATAGATTCCCGTATGGTAATAATTACCCAATTAGCACTCCCCGATACAATCCACTACCCGCAAAAATACCGCGTGATTGGTTCCTCTTTTTTGTGTCCCTCTTCTATCCCCTGATATTCTACCCGTGTTGTTACTTATGGGGTATCAGTTGATAATATTTTGCTGTCTCTCCGGGTGTCGGCGCCTTGCATCGGGTCGGGTCCTTTCTCAAGCTCTGATACGGCGATTTCGCGACATGACTAAGCCTACCGACTCAAAAAACGCTGATTTTCGCTCCCCCGGCATTTTTTGGAGGGGTGAGGAGAGAGAAGGGAAAGCACCGGGTTAGTTTGGGCCTGTGTTAGCGCTCCGATAAGCTAAAACGGGCCATTGCGTTTTCCCTCGGGGGCGGCGTCATACAAGTTTTTTTTTCTCTTCCTCTTCTCTTTCTTCTCTCTTCGTTCACATTCATTCTCCTCCTCCCTTGTTGTTTGCCCCAATTCGTCAGCTTCGGCTATTTTTTACAGTTATCACACAATGGCTTCAATTGCTTGCTCGCTGCGCGCTGCCCGGCCTGTGGCCATGCGCCTTGCGCCCCGTGCCGCTCAGATGGTTCGGCTGTCGATGCCTGTGAGGAGCTTCACCAGCTCCCGCATGAGTACGTTCTCGTTCTGCCTCAAGCTACCTAGAGTGAAGCAACAAAAAAATAGCTAATATTGATTCTTTAAGGCCTTGCCCGCAAGTACACAAAGGACCATGAGTGGATCGACCTCTCCGCCGACCGCAAGACGGGCGTCATCGGCGTCTCCGAGTACGCCGCCGAGCAGCTGGGCGACGTCGTCTACGTCGAGCTGCCCCCCGCGGGCGAATGGACCGACCAGGGCGACTCCATCGGCGCCGTCGAGTCCGTCAAGAGCGCCAGCGACATCAACGCCCCCGTGCGCTGCAAGGTCACCCACACAAACGCCCTGCTGGAGGAGAAGCCCGCGACCATCAACCAGGTGCCCGAGGACGACAGCGCTGGCGGCGGCTGGATCGTAAAGGTCGAGGTTGACGAGGAGGGCGCCAAGCAGTTTGATGAGCTGATGGACGCTGAGGCGTACAAGGAGTTTACTGCCGAGTAAATTATTTTGGTGGGAAGAATGAGAGGGAAAGCAGCTGGGGTTGTTGCGGCGGGTAAAAGATTAGACGAAGCTTGGTTTCTTTTTTGGCGATGGGCTTCGAATTGTGGGGGAGAATGGGGTGTTTTTTTCTTGGAAATGAGAGGGGGGAAAAGAGAGAGAGACTACTTGTTTTTCTTTTTTTTAATCCTTCTTTGTTGAAAATGAGGGGGTGGGAATTCTTTGCATGGCGTAGAAACAGTTCAACCTGACCAAGGGGAGGAGGGTGAATGGATGGTTTTTTTGGGTTCTTTTTAACATTAGGGAAACTTGGTCGCGTTTGGTGTACCATTATAGGTAACATATATAACATACAAAGTGGGTGGGCTCATACGGTATCTTCCTTTTTTACATTCAGATGAGGGTATACATTTTTGGTTTGCTAGGCCCGGCTTATCAGCGGGCGTCAAATATCAAGAGCTATGACGATGCAGTTTTCCTCTCCTCTCTTTTTGTTTTTCCCTTCCCGTGTTGTTGTTGTACAGCAGTTCATTTCATTTCATTCATTCCAATCATTGAGGTGGCGGCGGTGCCGGCTTGTTCTTGTTGATGTCGTCCAGGATCTTGTTTGCACCCCGGCTGACCAGATCGGCGGCCATCTTTGCTCCAAACTGGTCGGCTTGCTCCGCCGTGGTAATGGGCTCGACCGCCTCGCCATCGACGCCCTCTGTGCCCTGGACCGACACGACCGTGGCCCGTAGCCTCAGCTGTCCCGGTTCAACCCACTTGGTCTCGACGCCAATCGGAACGCTGCACCCACCCTCGAGGGCTCGCATCAGGCTCCTCTCGGCTACGGTTGCCAGAGCGGCGTTCTTGTCCTCGATCATCTTGAGCGCGGCCAGCACCTTGTCGTCGCCGGCTCGGCACTCGATGCCCAGAGCGCCCTGTCCGACAGCGTGCAGGATGCCGCCGTTGTCCGACTCGAGGAACTGTGAGATGTGAGCGTCCAGCTGCATGCGCTGCAGGCCCGCCGCCGCAAGGATGATGCCCGTGAGCTCTGGGTCCTCCTCCAGCTTCCTCAGCCGGGTCTGGATGTTGCCGCGGTGGTCCTTGAACTTGAGGGAAGGATATCGTCGGGCGAGCTGGGCGATTCTCCGCACGCTGCTAGTGCCAATGATGCTCCCTTCGGGCAGGTCGGCGAGCGTCTTCCAGCCGTGCTTGTCGACGAGCTCCTTCTTCAGCACCAGCGTATCTCGAGGGTCCTCTCGCTTGGTGACGCAGCCCAGCACGAGGCCCTCGGGCAAGGTCGTGGGCATGTCCTTTAGCGAGTGGACGATGATGTCGAGCTCGTTTGCCTCAAGCCTGTCCTCCAGCTGCGTCGTCCAAAGCCCCTTGCCGCCAAAGTTGTACAGCGCAGTGTTCTGGTCGCGATCGCCCGTCGTCGTCATGCCGGAGATGGGGAACGAATACGCCGGCAGCACGGATTGGAGCGCCGCCACGACAATGTCCGCCTGGGCCAGGGCCAGAGGCGAGTTTCGCGTGCCGACCCTGATGGTCGTGGGACCCTGTGCGAGGGCTGGTGGTTGTTCGTCGGCCATTGTCTTTTGGGGGAGGGGAGGGAACTTTTGCTTTTGGCTTTTGGCTTTTTGGAGGATGGTGATGACGGAGATTTTCTGGAGAATGGGGTGGTTCGAGAAGAGTTGGAAACTTCCGAATGCCGGTGGAGGGGTAGTCAGCAGTTTTGGCGGGGCATTGATACTGTGTCGACGGTGCGTGTTTTGCAGTATATACAGTACGAATTGTGCGCAGTTACTGTATCATGCAGGGTAAGTTGATATACACAGCTTCCAAGCATTGACGAAACATGGCACCAGCTATGTACTTGATCAGATGAATCAATTGTTTGCGGTTGTCAAGTTGGTTGCTCTATATTGGTAGGTTTTCTTTCCGTTTCTATTCTTACATCACTAGAGTACAAGTGCAACGGCTCTATCTCAAAAGATCACACTCATTGCAGATCTCAGAGCTGGTATGGACGTAATAATTACCGGCTTGACGGCACTATCACCTGAAGCTATGAGATGGTTTGCTCATCACTACTAGTTTCACAATCTACAAGAGGATCGCAAAAATTCAATGTTTGTTCTGAACAGATGGCGTGTTGTGACGAGTATAGGGATGAAAATAGAATGGAGAGGAGAAAAGAACCGAGTTGTGGTCACCACCATGGCTTGGTCTCAACACAAAAAGGTTAATCCCCCCTTGATCTCCATACTCTGTATTACCTCCTGAGATCTCGGTGCTATCTACAGATGATGCATTGAGATGAGATGAATTGTAAGAAGTGATATTTCTACAAGGTAGTAGATATATAAAGCCATAATGGGTCGAGAGTCATCATCATCGACTATATGGCTGCAGTTGCCTCCTATTCATTCATCTGTGAAGTTATTGCAATACTCATCATATCGATCAACTAATACGCTTTGACATATACTCACAATGAAGCTGGCTATGGCTCTCATCACACTGGTTGGACTGGCTGCCGCCAATCCCAGACCTCAACTTCCAACTCCCGACATGCCTCCCCCGCCTCTCTCTTCTCACGCTCCTCCTCCTCCAGAGACAGACGATGATCCTAAACCTCCGCCTACAACTTCAACAACCACTTCAACTTCCAAGGGCGGTCCGCCTCCAGAGCCGACCAAAGCGCCGCCCACCCCAGACGGGCCCATCTGCGAATGCGGCTACACGTATTGCGCATCCGTGCTGATGGGCATGAGTAAGTCACCCTGACAAAATCATGACTAGATGAAGCTCATGTCTTCCTGTAGAAAAGCCGTGGTCTCAGAAGCAGCTGGGCGAGGCATACTGCGACACGCCCAACGCTAGCTGCGACAACAACGTGCCGGCCACCAACATCACGTCTGCCCTCTACATTTGTCTCTGTGACGACCCTGATCAAGAGGTTGGTGCGCATCTGGATCTTGTTTGCGGGTGTGACAAGTGTCTGAACATTGGGCCTGACTTCCGCGGCCGCTGCGAGACTCCGTGCCACGCTGGGAACTGCCAGATGCAGATGCAGCTGCAGTGAGGGATGGGATGTTTGAAGATGATTTTGTTTTGATGATTTGCGTGCTTGAAGCGGACCTTAGCTCTTAAAGATTGACGACTACATGATTTGCATGTAGATGCGCAGGTCCGCCGCAGATGTTGAATGCTTTGATGAGTGCATGTGGTGAGTGAGTGTCTGGTGGTTTACCAGAGGTGCACGCTCAGAACTGCAACCTGGATAATAATACTTGTAATGTTAGTCGGACTTAATAACACTCTTTCTTAATCTACGCGAACCAAAAGTCATCCAATTAATATTCGTCATCATACCTTGGACCTCGGATGCTCCAAATCTTCAATTTCACCGGCAAAATCCCCTCCTCTTTATCCTCCCTCATCCCGCCCAAATCCCCCCAACTTTCTCAGCTTATCCCACGCCCTTCTGGAAATAAGCTCGTATGTACGCTCGGCTGCATCGGATCCCGTCGATTCGCAACCACAAACTCGACTTCCCTCGACACCCTCAGCGCTGTCACCATGCACCGTTTCTTCCCAATCCGGCCTCCCGTTCGCGCGGCGAAATGCACTCGCCCTTCCCCAGCTTTTAGCGCCGATAGGTCCCCCGCAGTGGGGGATGTTAGCGGCCCCGTCCCAGGCAGAGCAGCTCCCTAAACTCCCCTAACTCCCCCAATCGATGCCCCCCAAACCCCCCAAGGTCCCCCTCACGCCCCTGTAACAGCAGGCGGCTGCCCCCCTGTAGGCTTCGGGAAAAATCTTGGAGAGACCCCCTGGAACCCCGCACCTGATGGTTTCTGCCATGGACTGGATGGATGGATCATGGATATTTAGTGGTAACGTCAGAAAAGAGAAGGTCCGTGGAGCTCGAGATCGGCCAAGGTACATGGCCGGCCGGTGCAATACAACCCGTGAGGCTCGTATCGCGCGAGTACTTCGAGGCTGGAGATGCTCCGTCATGTCACCATTGTTGTTGTTTCTGGTGATTTTTAGCCGCTGTTACGTACCAGGTCGTGCGACTTGGAGTCGGCTTGGGCGGGGTTTTTACATGTGCATGTGCGGTTCTTGGATGGCCAGCCTAAAGGCCACTTCTCCTCATGCGCGCCTTGTCGGATCATCTTTTTTCTTTTTCCTCTTCCAAATAACTCGTTAGGCTGTTTCGTGATAGCTTCTGCTTGTACGGAACCTACGGAGCGCTTCTGGTTGCTGCTCGCTGCTCGCATGGGCTCTGGTAGCTGCTGTTCGCATACTCAAGGCGTCAGCCCATGTGAACCCGTGTAATCGAATCGACTCGGTAAGAGGTTTTTTCATGGGAAATAATTGCCTCTCTTTCTAATCAATGCGCCCATATAGATTTCGAATCTAGACAACTCGTGTGTGGCTTGTGGAAATCGCCTCAGATGAGGGTCGTTTCGTGATGGCGTCCTCTTTGCTTCGCCCCCTAGCCACCGAGCTGTACTTGTCGCCATCCACTGCTTCTTCGTCGCGATTTCTGCGCTCTCGAATCCAAAGTGAGTTTACGCTTGATCTATGCGTGAATTATAGCTCTGCCAACGTTTACTAATATTCGACTCTGCGCATAGATGTTAAGCCACTGCTAAACTGCCGCCGTCAATGGCATGCCTCTGCCGGGGTCACACGACAGACTGCCATTGTCGCTGCGGCCACCAAGTCTCTGGCGCTGGTTCGCCATGAGTCTCCGGTCGCACGAGCGCCCGTCCTACTGCCCAAGCTGTATTCGACGGAAGCCGCTGCTCCTGTGCCACCAACGACTCCCTACAGTCAGCTCACCGTGGGTGTGCCGAGGGAAACCTTTCCGGGAGAGCGTCGAGTCGCATTGACTCCGGCCAACGTTGCTCTCCTGCTGAAAAAGGGTTATTCCAAGGTTCTGGTTGAGCGAGGAGCCGGTGCTGAAGCTGATTTTCTGGATGATGCATATGAAAAAGCTGGCGCCACTCTTGTCGATTCCGCGAGTGGCATCTGGTCTGCTGCCGACATCGTGCTCAAAGTTCGGGGACCCTCCGACGCCGAAGTTGGAGCCATCAAAGAGAACCAGACAATCTATTCGTTTCTTCAGCCTGGCCAGAACAAGGATCTCGTCGCAAAGATTGCTGCTAGGAAGGCGACTTACTTTGCTATGGAAATGGTGCCTCGTATCTCGCGTGCTCAAGTCTTTGATGCCCTTAGCAGCATGGCCAACATTGCCGGCTACAAGGCTGTCTTGGAGGCGTCCAATGTGTTTGGCAGATTTCTCACTGGTCAAGTCACGGCTGCTGGCAAGATCCCGCCGTGCAAAGTCTTGGTCATTGGAGCCGGTGTAGCTGGTCTTAGCGCAATTGCAACTGCTCGTCGCATGGGTGCCATTGTCCGCGGATTTGACACTCGCCCTGCCGTTAGAGAACAAATTGAATCTCTAGGCGCGGAATTCATCGAGGTTGACATGCAAGAGGATGGTTCTGGTGCCGGAGGCTATGCCAAGGAGATGAGCAAAGAATTCATCGAAGCCGAAATGAGACTCTTCAAGGAACAAGCCAAGGAAGTGGACATTATCATCACTACAGCCCTGATTCCCGGAAAGCCTGCCCCAAAGCTGATTAAAATGGACATGCTCGAAGTTATGAAACCCGGAAGCGTTATTGTAGATCTCGCTGCTGAGGCTGGTGGCAACTGTGAGGCCACCAAAGCCGGCAAGATGATTACATACAACGACGTCAAAGTTATTGGTGCGTGTTTATCAACTTTTTGCCAACTCAAATGTTTCACATCATCGATGCTAACATAGACCGCAGGATACACTGATCTTCCGTCTCGTCTGCCCACCCAGTCGTCTACCCTCTACTCGAACAACATCACCAAGCTCTTGCTGTCAATGGCACCCAAGGACAAGGAGTTTGGAATTGACCTGTCCGACGAGGTTGTCAGAGGCGCCATTGTCATGCAAAAAGGAGAGATTCTTCCGCCTGCCCCCCGTCCAGCTCCTCCTCCAGCACCGGCTAAGCCCGCGGCTGCAGTCGTGGTTGAACCCGTAGAGCTCACCCCCTGGCAGAAAAAGACTCGAGAAGTGGCCACCGTGACTGCTGGAATGACAGGCGTGTTGGCTCTTGGAAAGTTTACTGGTCCTCTCTTCATGTCTAATGCCTTTACTTTTGCCCTGGCTAGTCTAATCGGTTACCGTGTTGTTTGGGGCGTGGCACCGGCGCTGCACTCTCCATTGATGAGCGTAACGAATGCGATTTCTGGCATGGTCGGTGTTGGTGGTCTCTTTATCCTTGGTGGAGGTTTTTTGCCCGAGACAATTCCTCAATCATTGGGAGCCCTCAGTGTGCTGCTTGCCTTTGTCAATGTTGGTGGTGGTTTCGTCATCACCAAGCGAATGCTAGACATGTTTAAGCGTAAGTTCTTCGCTCTTAGTATCGTTATTTATGGGTAGAGGCTAACAGAGCATCAGGCAAGACTGATCCTCCTGAATACCCCTGGCTTTACGCTGTCCCGGCTGCCTTATTTGGTGGTGGTTACATTGCCGCCTTGTCTACCGGAGCCGCTGGTCTCGTCCAGGCTGGATATCTCATCAGTTCCGTTCTCTGCATTGGATCTCTCACAGGTTTGGCTTCTCAAACAACCGCTCGAATGGGTAATATGCTCGGTATTCTTGGTGTAGGCTCCGGTGTGTTGGCTAGTCTGGCTGCCGTGGGATTCTCCCCGGAGGTCTTAACTCAATTCACCGGACTTGCTGCTGTTGGAGCCATTGCGGGTGAGTAGTTTCAAATATCTCCAACATATGACAATGAGTTTGCTGACAGTGCTCTAGGAATGCTGATTGGACGAAGAATCACACCTACTGATCTCCCTCAAACTGTCGCTGCTTTGCACTCCGTTGTCGGTCTGGCTGCCGTGCTAACTAGCATTGGAAGCGTCATGGCCGACGTTTCTGATCTTTCAACCTTGCACATGGTATCTGCCTACCTCGGTGTTTTAATCGGTGGTGTAACATTCACTGGTTCCATCGTTGCGTTCCTCAAGCTGGCGGGCCGCATGGGTTCTCGACCAAAGATTCTCCCTGGCCGACACATTATCAACTCTGGATTACTGGCAACCAATGCTGCTACCATGGGTGCTTTTCTCACCATGGCTCCTGGTGCTCCCATGATTGCCGCTGGAGCGTTGGCAGCCAATACTGTTCTGAGTTTCATCAAGGGATACACGACAACCGCCGCAATTGGAGGCGCTGACATGCCCGTTGTCATCACAGTGTTGAACGCCTACAGTGGTTTCGCCTTGGTAGCAGAAGGATTTATGCTGGACAACCCTCTTTTGACCTCTGTGGGAGCCTTGATAGGTGTCTCTGGTTCCATTCTATCGTACATCATGTGCGTTGCCATGAACCGGTCTCTCACCAATGTCTTGTTTGGAGGCCTATCATCGCCAACGACAGCCCTAGAGTACAAGCCAGAAGGCCAAGCAACCGAAACGTCTGTGGAAGACGTTGCGGAACAGCTGGTCAATGCCGAATCCGTCATCATCATTGTAGGATACGGAATGGCTGTTGCGAAGGCACAGTATGCGCTCTCAAGCATTGTCCAATCGCTTCGGTCCAGGGGCATCACTGTGCGCTTCGCCATCCACCCCGTTGCTGGCCGCATGCCTGGGCAGTGCAACGTGCTTCTTGCGGAAGCGAGTGTCCCGTATGACATTGTCCTGGAAATGGATGAGATCAACGACGACTTTCCGGAGACCGACTTGGCCCTTGTGATTGGTGCCAATGATACGGTCAATCCGATTGCCATGGAAAAGGGCAGCTCCATTGAGGGAATGCCTGTTTTGCACGCCTGGAAGGCTAAGCAGGTTGTGGTGATGAAGAGGAGCTTGGCGAGCGGTTACGGTGAGTTAAATCTGTGTTTTACCACCTTTTTTGTAATCTGGACTGGTACTGACAAGCGATAAATAGCTGATGTGCCGAACCCAATGTTCTATATGCCCAACACCAAGATGTTGTTTGGCGACGCCAAGGTTTCCTGCGATGGTAAGTCATTTAGTAACACCTGTGTGGCTCGAATTTGCTAACAATCTCAATAGCTATTAAATCCGCCGTGGAAGAGAAGCTGTAGAGTGGGGATGAGCGATTGGTAGACGTGATTGCAAGGCGTAGGGATTCCTGCTTGATTTGATCATTTGTTGCGTAGCAATAGATGGGATTAGATAGTATTGGGTCTTTTGATAGTTCCATCTTGGTTTAGTTTAGCAAAGAGTAAACATTTGTCGATATTTTGTGACTGCTTCTTGAGCGGGCAAGCCTCATGAGGTTCACAGCGGAAATGCACATGTCTGTGTCTATTGTTTGATTTGTTTGCGTTTGTTGCGCGATTTCAATATGTACACCATATTTTCCCACGGTTAAAAAAGAAAACGAAAAAACCACTCATACCCGATCCTTGGCCACCGGCTCCCAAGCATTCAGCTTCGATTTCACTCTGTCATCTCATATATTAGCCTTTTTGATCCACCTCAACGCATACAGACTCTCCCAGAGAGTCAGAGCTCCAGCATTGAATCCCGACTTACGTGTTATATGGCTTGTAAGCGCCTCGCGTTCCGGTAAAGTTGGGCTTGGGAAGAGCAGGCTCAAAGTGTCGTGTGCCCGTGGCGATCAGGCTGTCCTGGGTCGGAGGCTTGTCGACGGAGTAGCTGATCCAGGCGTGCCAGCCGGGCTCGATGTGGGCGGCATCGTAGTCGTGCTTGGCGTAGTCGACCCAGCGGGTTCGGAGGGGCAGTTCCTCGAGGTTCTCGTAGTATTTGTTGCCGAAGCGATCCTGGCCGATGAGAGTACCGTATTTGGTGTCACCTGTGGTCTCGTTGGTTAGGAGGTTTGTGTACAAGGTAGACGGTGGGGAGATGTTGGCGAGGGCATACCGATGTACTGTTCGAGGAGGATCGCGAAGAGCTGTGCGTTAGTCAAAGGTCGTGGGAGGTCAGAAGGGCGAGAGACGAACCAGCATCTGGCGGAAGTATTCCTGTTTTGCGGGAAAATGTCAGCGGCCGAACCAGCAATTGGGAGAGACAATGGGATCCGGAGGCATGAATACCTTAATGCCAATCTTGCGCAGGTTGCCCAGAGTCCTGGGAATGGTCGACATGGTTGCGGTTGGAGGGCAATTTCCGCCGGGAGATGGATTGCGGTTTCGTTTGAGGGAGCTGGTGAGAGTTAGGTTCATTGAGGTTGGCGTCAAGATTCCGGGGCGGCAAAAGCTCGGCTGAATTAAAACCTTGGTGGGTTCTTTGGTGCCGCCACACTTGATATGATAGCATCGCTTTTCTTTTCTTTTCTTTTTTTTAGAATACGAATTGGCCTTTTTGTTGGTTAAAGCTGAAAAAGAGCATCAATTACTCGCATAGAGAATGATTGTGCGCAGCTGCGCCCGGTGCGCCTCCAGGGCCCGAGTTCTGCGGACGAAGCCCAGCATCTCCCCCCCGCGATATCAATACCGAAGCTATGCGACACCTCACGGAGCTCCAGCACCGGCGCATGGAACGGGAGCAGGATTGCTGACGCCGCTTGTGAGCGAGCTGGATCGCATGGCGCCGAGCTTCGACGTTCGAGGGGAACAGATCCGCATCTTAAAGACGCCGGCCGAGTTCTACGAGACGCTCAAGGTGCGAAAGAGGGCGCTGCGAAGGGAGAGAATTTGCCTGGGCTGATGGATTGAAAACCCGCAGGACCGAATACGGAACGCCAAGAAGAGGATATTCCTGTCGACGCTATACATTGGAAAGTCGGAAAAGGAGCTCATCGAGACGCTGCGGGAGGCGATGAGGCTGAACCCGGAGCTGAAGCTGAGCATCTTGACGGATGCGCTGCGGGGGACGCGCGAGTCGCCGGCGGCTTCGTGCGCTTCGTTGCTGGCGCCGCTGGTGGATGAGTTTGGGGCTGATCGTGTTGAGATCCGGATGTATCATACGCCGAATTTGACGGGGTTGCGGAAGCAGTATGTGCCCAAGAGGATTAATGAGGGATGGGGGCTGCAGCATATGAAGCTTTACGGGGTGGATGACGAGATTATCATGTCTGGGTATGTTGGTTTGAAGTATCATGATGTGTGGGATATACATGTGCTGACGTTATATGCAAAGGGCAAACTTGTCTATGGACTACTTTACGAATCGACAGGATCGCTATCACCTCTTTTCGTCTAAGGAGGTGACTGACTATTTCTGGGGGATCTATAACGGCGTCACATCGTTTAGTTTCCTCGTTCAGCCGTCAAAGGAGGAAGCGGCTGGATACACCCTCTCTTGGCCAACAACAAACTCTGCGCCTTCACCTTTGGAGAAGCCACAGTCATTTGTTAAGAAGACTACATCTACGCTGCAGGCGCTTATTGCCGCGCCGGAAAAACAGCCAGACAGTGAATTAAAGGATACCCGAGTATACATGCTCAGTCAGATGTCTCAAGTCATGAACCCGGATACTTCAACAGAGCTTCCGGTATTGACGCGGATACTCGAAAGGTTGTCGCAGCCAGCATATGCTGGATCATCGTGGACGTTTACTGCTGGATACTTTAACCCTGCACCGTCATTAACCAAGTTACTTCTTAACACGGCTTCCAACAAGAATGTTGTCATTACGGCGGCGCCCGAGGCTAATGGCTTCTACAAGTCAAAGGGAGTTTCTGGGCTCCTGCCGGATGCCTATGTACTTCTCGCTCGTCGTTTCCTCTACGCCGTCCAGCAGTGTGGTCGTGAGGGTGACATTACTTTGAAGGAGTGGCGTTTTGGCACAACTGGCCAGCCTGGGGGTTGGACGTACCACGCAAAGGGCCTTTGGATAACAATGCCTGGCGATGCGAATCCTAGTATGAGCATCATTGGCAGCTCCAACTACACGAAGCGGAGCTACTCTCTCGATCTTGAGGCAGGAGCTCTAATTGTGACTCGGAACGAAACACTAAAGACTCGGCTCGGAGAGGAGCAGGGCTGGCTGCAGGATCACGCAGCAGGAGTCACGATGGAAGATTTTACGAGGTTAGAGAGGAGAGTTAGTCTCAAGGTGCGGATTGCCATGTGGATTGTAAAGGTCGTGGGAGGCGCCCTGTGATTGACATGGGCGAATAAATGGAGTAGCTGATTGGGCATTTTTGGGATTGGTTCGGAGTGAGAGGTTTAAAAAATGAGATACCCAAATGGGATAAAATAGAATTGTATAGAAATAGATGATGTAAATATTGATAGATGTTGAGAGACGATGGTGTATTTATTGTGAGTCACGGGCTGAACATACATATGTACATTGAATTGCCGATATGTCCGAATCCCATGGCTTCAGCTTTAGTTCGTCATTTCTAGCCACCAATTGATCCTTCGTTGAGATGCCAAGCTAAAGAGCTGAATAGTCTGAATCCTTCAGCCACGGATATAAAGGGAATGAAATCCTCTTCCCGTCAATGACAATCTCTGAATCCTTATTGCTCTTGCCCCGCACTTTCAACCATGGCCATAACAGAGAAGCCTATTGTTCTGTATCACTATGCAAACTCTCCGTATTCACAGAGAGTGGTGTGGTATCTTGCGTTAAAGGGGATCAAATACCAACAATGCGTATGTAACAGCAACTCTGTTTCCCGGGTCAAGCTAACACTAACACAACGCAGATTCAGCCACGAATCATGCCCCGGCCAGACATTCACCGTCTAGGCGTAAAATACAGGCGCATCCCTATTCTCACAATAGGCAAAGACGTCTACCTAGACACTCGCCTCATCATCACAAAACTCAATGAACTTCAACCCGGCCAGGAAACGGTCCATCTCTCAGTCGCGACAACTCCGGAAGAGCGAGCGCTGCAGCAGCTTCTCCAAGTATACATTATGGATTCCGGATTTCAAAGAAACGTCGTGCAGCTTGTTCTCTTTAACCACAAGGGACTTAATGACCCGGCGTTTGTAAAAGACCGTGCAGAGTTCATAGGCGGCACGACGTTTTTCCCGCGGGAGGCTTTGGAGGCGATGCGTCCGGAGGCGGTTCGTGTGGTGAAGAATGGGTTTGAGTTTTTGGAGCGGACGTTGTTGTCTGATGGGAGGGAGTGGCTTTTGGGAACTGAGAAGCCGAGTATTGGTGATATTGAGGTTGCTTGGTCGTTGGTGTGGTTGGAGAGAGTTCATGGAGCGATTCCGGATGAGTGGATTCCGAGGGGGGAGTTTCCGAAGGTGTTTGCTTGGATGGAGAGGTTTAAGAGTGTTGCGGCGGAAGCACAGGAGGAGTTGGGTGAGGTGAAGACTTTGACTGGGGATGAAGCTGCGGAATTGATCCTGGGATCGGAGTTTTATGAAGAGGAAGGACAGGTCAATGAGGGAGATCCGCTGGTTCAGCATCTGGGGCTGAAGAAGGGACAATTGGTGCGAGTTTGGCCAACGGATACGGGAGTTAATCATAAGGAGCTGGGAGAGCTAGTGAGCATTAATGAGAAGGAAGTGGTTGTTGAGGCGAAAGCGGATAAGGGCAGGTCAACAAGAGTTCATGCGCAAAGACATGGATTTGCTGTGGCGGCGTATGAGGAGTAATGGTTCAGGAATGATCATGACGGATATGGATATCGCTGCTCGGTCAAGAGTGGGAATAGCCACTATTTAATAATGTATAATCTTCACTTTTTATAATCCTATACATAATCATAATGAGCATCGTTATTGATACTGAAGCTATTCTGGTCACTAGATTTAAGTGATGGCCATAGCCCTTCATTGAGCCCGCCTCTTGTAACTTCCATTGGATACGTCTTCTGCTCTGTTACTTTAATTCTACAGCGGCTCATTATCTTCATTTTTCTTGAATTCCATCTCTCGGATTGTACAACCTTGGCAGTAGTGTTGTAGAATAAGGGCTATTATTAATATGCCACTGTACTCTTCCTCCATTGCCCACAGTTCTCTGAGAGAGGTTTAATGACTTCTTTACATATTTCGCCCCATAGCTCATTTGTGTTCCAATCGGTCCAGCGCTTTGTAGCCGCCCCGTAAATGCAGTATCTTACAGCATTCTCGTACAATGGTAGCAGCGTGTTGTAATCATCATCCAACCACTCAGCCGCGAAAGACAATCGGGAGAAATAATCTCCTGACGCCTGCTCTATCCTTTGGGCAAAACGGTCTTCCAATACGGTATGGTGCCATATTTCGAGCAGTAATATTCCAAGTTCCAGGAGGATAGACTTGGGCTCAGCGGGTTTCACCTCGTTGGCTTCTGTGCCTTCGATCGTTGCACACACAAAAGGTCGATTGAAGTCGGCGAGGGGCGCTACACCGTCGGAAACTGGGTGTAAGAGGAAAAATATTGAATCTTTTGACCATGCTTGACCGAACCACTGTGTTTGAGAGAATTGAAGCAGACTTGAAGCAAGTTTGGAGGCGAGCAACATGCTTGACTGCAGAGGCAACCTTGCCCCGTAGCACTTGGATGTCCCCGAAAGTACATCTTTTAAAGTAATCGTTTGACAGCTGTTTTTCTGCATTACAGTCTTCTCTTTTGCTGTCACAACGCCCATCCTATTACTTGTATGTAATATAAAGGCGACATGTTGCGTGTTCTTATGAGCCGAGACAACAGCTGCGCAAAAATTGTCTACTGGAGTAAAGTTTGGCTGCGACGAAGTCGAATTACTTGACTTGGGAGGCTCGGGTTCACGTATCTTGACCTGTGAAAGCCTTGACTCTAGTGCCGAGAGGCAGTCACCACTTTCGTCTTCCTGCATGCATCTAACTGACAGTTCATGGCATCTCGTCTGAATCGGAACGAGTAGCTTTGCAGCAAAGATTAGCTGAAATGCCAGTGTTGCTTTATCTTCCTCGCTCCATTGCTTTGTAGAACGGAGAAGTTTTGATGCTACGTCAATTCGGTCTTCAAGCAAGACGTGTACGTCGTGTTCGTTGTGACAAGATCCTATACAACAACTACAGAGAGCCGTGTACAGGTTTTTGGAGGATTTCTGAATCCGACGGAACGCTTTGGCTAGCTTGGTGCTATTGGATGATGGCAGCGAACTAACAGGTCCATGGCGATTCATCAACATCGTTTGTGAGAATGTGTGTAGTGTGCTGGTGGCCGTGTCAAGCTCGCTAATGCTCTGTTTTATTTCGCTACTCCTGAGAGCGACTCTAAGTCGAGGGATAAAATCTGCTCTGTGTTTTTTCGCTGTTTGATTTGCTTCTATGATGCCAACAAGATCGTATGGGTTATCCTGTACTGAACAGTAAGAAAGGCTTTCTCGCAGTAACTCTTATTTCACCATACCTTGTGAGAAGGAATGAGACCGTCCAAATGTTTGGCCACTTCTTCCAAAGTAACCTGCATGTCTCGCAGCCTCCCAGTCAAGGCCTTGTAGTTCTCATCACCCAGGAAGTCCTCCACTTGAGCCTGAATCTTCTTATTCTGAAAGTATGCAATCGGATCCTCGTTGAGCAAAGCCTCATCGTAACTGTAGCCGCTCCGCGTGATGATAAGATGAACTGTCTCTGATACTGTCTGTCGCTGTAGCAGCAAGGCATTCGCAAGCTTGTCGACATACTGTCGCTTACGGAATGCCAGCCGGCCTTTATCATATCCCTCACGCCATAGCTCTGCGCCCGAGATAAGGATGGGAATCGCCCGAAGAACAATTCCAAAAGCTTCAAAAGTCGACATATAGAATCTTTAAGATGCTTGAAAGGCCTCCCTAATTTCGGATGCTATGATATGACATCGTCAGGCGCAGATTTGGGAGGATTCCCGTGAGGCTCTGCTGATGCGGGGATATTCCTGACCACCTGTGCAGGCTATGAGGTGGCAATAGCTTGTACAGATTGCAAGGGTATATGTATTTGATGATGATACGCACAACTTGAAAAGGAATACAATCCAAGTGCATCAAAATATTTATATCGTAGAAGACCACAATCAGCGTCGGTAGGTCAAGTAGCAGACGCCCAAAAAGAAATCTTACCACATTATACCGCATCTTCCGTACGCAGACCTTCGAGCAGCAGACATAGCGTGTCTGAATGTCAACCACTATCTCAGGATCTGGTTAATATTCGGCTTGGCAATAATGGAGGTATCATTCCCATCAAATAATCCAATTGGCTAGAGTAGATGATTACTCCCCGCACAGCTCAGCGTGAGTAACCATTGACCCTTGTCACTCCGAGGCCAATCGCCAACTTATCAAGTTGTAATGCCGTTTCGCGATTTTGATTTATTAAGTATTCATTATGATTCCTTTGCCTCTATTGGCAAACTATTAACCCAGAAACAAAGCTCGTGATCATCAGGTTCTGCGTGTCTGAATACAGCGCAATGGAGTCTCTCGCGGATACGGGTCTCGCAACAATGAAGCGGTTCAAGCTTCTTCAAGAAGTTGAGTTAAAATCAGCCGAAGATCAGTCACACGAATCGCCGAAGCAACTCTTCCTTGCTCAATTTGACCGATTTGAACTTTGGGCGGTGAATCTCGGCGTCTTTGTAATGGGTCATGGTTCTCTGGATTACAGGATTCGCGATTCCGAAAGTATGAAAGAGGCCATACTTCAGATGATGAAAAATTTGAATAGGTCACTCGATGAAGGTACAGATGGCATTTCAATCTACTACTTTTGGCTCCGGCCCTGCTGTTATTCTGGAATCATTCTGACATTATACTACAGCCCTTGCCTACCTTCATGGCGATATTGAACAGGAAGATGAAGATTCAGATACAGACTCAAGCTCTGAGATGGAATCGGATATGGACTTGCTTCTTGATAGTATCAAGGATCCCATTGATCGACTATATAAGATGGCCGTTTGGATACGAAACCCAGCGACTAGGATTACGTCCACAAAAGCCAGAAATTTGCAGCAAGTCGATGAAGAAACAAACGTAGATTTGTTCAAGTCATTTGAGAAATTTGATTATGAACATATCAGCTCTCTCTTTCTAGAATATGAAAAGAATAAAGCTATCCAAGAAAATCCAATAGCCAAACCCCGCGACACAGTTGGCGACGACAAAACGCTTGTTGAAGATCAGGTGTGGGAGCCGATCAGAAAGACGTTGGAGCTGAATAGGATGAGACTATCAAATGGAGATGAATCCTACCTTGTTCGCCGCATAGCTCGAGCTAATGGACTCAGACGGCAGCAGTTTGCTTATTGGAGAAAGCATAAAAACAAGCTCCGTGAACACGCCGCTGTTGTCGTGGAAGTTCCAACGCATAATTTACCTACAACAAGTCATATTATACAATTGGAAGATAAGAATGAAAAGGCCAAGGCACCTCTCACAGTCACTACGGCTACTCAACTACGCCTTTCGCACGAAACTGGGAAAGAATTGGGGAAAGAAAATGTCATGACTCTTGCCGTCTCTGAGTATGCTCCGTCGGCATGGAATCCTAGCAAGGACATCGTCAGCTTTCCATCGCCCCCGAAAGCATCCCCAGTTGATGAATTCTTCGAATGTCCATACTGCTATACCATTTGTCCTGCTTCCATTCTCTCGGAAAAGGCCTGGAGGTAAGAATATTCCCCCGAAGCTCCATGGATAGGTAGTTGTATGTACCCTGAGGTTACATTGCTTACCATTTATCTGTTAGAGCTCATATAATACGAGATTTACGACCTTATATTTGCACTTTTGAACATTGTTCAGATTCTGAGCAATTATATGACAACCGTGACGACTGGATTCAGCACGAGATCTCTACCCACCAAATCGTATTTCGGTGCCCAAAGCATGAAGAAGAAACCTTTACCACCTTGGCTACATACGAAGAACATACACAAAAACATCATAAAGAAGACGTAATGTCCCCAAGCTTTGCAAGATCAACAACTACCAATATCCACCGCAGCTGTCCTGTTTGCTCAATAGTTTTGGGGACCTCGAAAAAGTTTTGGAATCACATCGCTCTTCACCTTGAGCGGTTCGCAATGTTTTCCTTACCTCGCTGTACATATGATGACAATGAGGGGGGCTCTAGAGGTCGATCTGCTAGTGCTATTTTTGATTCTGACAGGTCTTTCAACGAGGATCCAGATGTAGAATCAAATGCTACTGGCAGAGATGAGGAGCCCAACACGACAAATGATGAAATAATGAATGGGATATTATGTGACGCAGGAATAGTACGCTCATTAAGGCATACGGATTGGGACGATAAAACTTTCCTGGCGGTAATGGCGCATGCAGGCGGCAAGTTAAGCCGGTGTGGGGAAGTAATTAGAGCCTGGACCCCGAACGACACAGTAAACAACCTCCTATTCGAGTTCGGAGAAGCATGCATTGGGGCTGGGTTGGTAGAAGAGGCTATCGAAACGCTTGAGCACTTGAAACTTATTCAAAGCGGCCAGCCTGAACATGATGGGCCGGCACTGCTACGGACAAAGCAACTGTTAGCGACGGCTTACCAAGTAAAGGAAGCGCTACAAGAAGTGGAGGAATTGTCAAGAGATGACCCCAATCTTTATGATAAGCCGATCAACACTAAAGTTCTTCATATATTTGCTCGAACCGAAGCCGGGAAGAGGCACGCCGAAACTATTTGGGGCCGGAGCATCTGGAAGACTCGACAGAGTCAAAACGAACTGGAGGAGCACGGAGATGATACAGACTCAAATTCTTTCTCTTCACGCTCCTTTGACGGCGGCCCGCCTTCTATACCCTTCACTGAACGAGAAGAGTTTCCGCCACTAGCCTAGAATGAGGACGTTCGCCTAGAAGAAGTGCATACACAGGCTCTGTCACAAGCACAGCATCAATCACAAGGGCCACCGCAAGCATATGATAATGCCGCCTTACGAGGCCAATTGTATAAGCACGCCCGTGTTGTCTATAATCGCCTTATGACAGAGGCGGCTTCTCAATTTAGCGGCTCTGAAAACATACCACAGGATACAGTGTCAAGAATTCTACGGCAGACCTACGCGCAAGCCCAGCAATCAGTTAGAGACTCAATTCGGCGGAAAGCCCAGCAGCAGCAACAGATAATATCGGAAGAAACCAACCACAATACACCTTATGTGGGAATAGACCTTGAAGCACCAGAAGAATATCCACTCACATTTGACGTTCATGGCTTCGTTAGAATGGCGGATGAGCTTCTTGAGGAAATTCGTGTGAATGAGAATCACATATTATCAGAAGACAACCACGCCGGCCACAGTGGACAAAACCCCAGCCGAGCTGATGACGACCGCCGGGTGCCCATAGATCCGCCTGATATCGCCGAGTTCGCTTCCGAGCGCTACTTTGAGAAGCTCCGCCAACTGCAAACCGATCACCAACAGACGAATGATGATGAATCTAATGCCGCAACGACGGCGACCGCGTCTGAATTCATCCTATCCTTGCGAGATTCATCGAGTCCCACGGATGAGAAGCCCCAGCCGTCAGCTTGAGGGAAGAAAAAATTCCTGTCATTAAGACAAAAAGCTGCCGCACATGCAACCCACCGTTTGAGTTCCGTAGATATCATCGCAGAGCAAGAAGCGGCGGGTAGTCCATACCTATTCAGGAAGGAAGATATTGAAATGCGAGGGGGGGGACATGATAATGAATCAGAGATAGGAGTATTGAGGGAAATGTTTAGAGTGCTGTTGGAAGAATCTCAGGCAGAGTTTGAACAGGCAGCTGAAGGCACGGAGCTCAAATTAGAAGCGCAAACATTGGCCCGAACATTGGCACAACAAACGACATTATACATGTTAGATGTTCAAGAGCTAAAGATTCAATACTTTGGGGCAAGTAACATATTGGAAAGAAATGAGAAAGGGCACGCATTTGTCAACAAAATCAGATCATTCGATTTCCTAGGGAAGAGAGATATGATCAAAGAGATACAAAAGAAGCGAGAGGCAGAAGAAGCGCGACGAGCAGAAACAGCACGAGAACGAAATGAAAAACAAGCACAGTCAGAAAAGCGACTACTTCTAAAAATAGAAGAGGCCAACAAGGAGCTGCTTGAGCATGAAGAGAGAAAGGAGAGACACAAGCAGGCATTGGAGGCAATTAACGCAAAGCGTGGACTAAAAGATTCCTCTGCAGCACCGCCGGAATTGGAAGCACAAGATGCCTCAACAGAAGTACCAACAAGAACAGAAATGTCTAAATCGGAGTTGAACTACTACGAAGAGGAAATAGCAGCAGAAGATAAAAAGATAAGGATTGTTGTTGAGAAATTAATCGGCCTGAAGGAAGTGTTACGTCGCGTCCGAGCAGAAAAGGAAGTCCAGGTCCCGTCTGGTAGCGAGAGCCAAAAGGCTCAATCGAGACGTAGCGAAACAACATGGCAATGTGTACGTCTGGAGACTTGTTCCCCCCCCCCTTCTTCATGCCAAGGAAGCAACTGACATACATACTACCAGTGCCAATGCGGGACGGGAGATCTCGAATTTCACGTCGATTATTATTGCACTGAACGCGACTGTCGACACCCGTTCTGCCACAACTGCCTTATTAATTTTGATTATGTAGGCTCGGCATAGTATATCCATCAATGATCTTTTCTCTTGGTAATGGAGAATACACTGCCTACTAGAACTAACATCAGAACGAAATATATGGAGTTATTATTTTATTTTGATCATTACATCGCTATACAAGCATTGTGATCCTCTAGTCTACGAATATAGTTTTGAATCGAGGGCACGGGGGAAACAGCATGTCCGTTTATTATTTCGAATGAAGGCAGTCAATGCTGATCCAGGTATAGTTAAGATTCTGTAATACATTTGTTTCTCTTAATCTCGACATTGATCTATCCGTGCGCATATTAATAAAGAGTCTCAATAGGAATTGTCTGTGCTCGATCGTCAGCCCCAGGGGTCTACGACTACTGCGTAGTATTTTGCAGTTTTCTGCCCATATTCACATATTTTACTAAAACCTGACCGCAAACCATCTTCACACGGATCCTTGGTTGTCCAATAAAGCTTTTCTAGCTTCTTATTAGGTAGATGATGCTGTATACATGCTCTGAATGCCTTGACCAAGTTGTTGTGCAATTGATTGTTGCTGCGGCTGCTGCACTGCCGGTGGCGATAGCGACAAAGGCGGCTGTTGTGCTATGGACCGTGGAATCTGCATGGGGTCCTGCACTAACGTAGGACTCTGGAACGGAGCACTGCTTGTAGGGTCGACTCTATTATTCCACTGCAGCTGATTGATGGGAACGTTTGGCATTTGCATCTGCATCTGCATCTGATTCGAGTTGGGGTAGACAGGCTGCGGGGAAACAATGTTCTGGTGCTGGTATTGTTGCTGTGGCACGCCAAATTGCTGAAATAGTTGCTGCTGCTGCTGCTGCTGCTGCTGCAAATCTTGATGCTGTTGGAAATTCTGAGAGTACTGAGGCTGTTGTAAGATGTATTGATGTGGCTGTGGAGATGAATTCTGCGCAAATATCTGTTGTTGTGGCAGCTGCGCTTGTGTTGAGTTGAGAAAGGCCTTTTTCTTGTCTTGTCCTCTATTATTGGCCCCAGAAGTGTCGACAATATTGTTGTTCTCGTCGATCCAGACAGCTCGCAGTCGACCTTCTTTGGCCCGTTGTGCCGCGCCAATACCATATAGCTTGTTCATGTAATCGGCAAATTCGAGATATGCGTTTTGTACAATTTCGAAATGTCTTTCGTTGAGATTAACGAGAGCATCGGGCTTCAGAATAGCTTCGTGACTGTTGCCCTGAGCTTCATACTCGGCCAAGGCCAGTGCTGTCTGGCAAGCGTTGCGAATCTGCCGGCCATTCCAACGAGCCTCCTTGTGCTGGAGGAAATGAGTGGCAGCGAAGCCGCGAATCTTTGTGTTCTCAATGTTTATAAGTCGGTTTTTCTTTGCGAACCTGTCTTCAATCATGGCCAAGTTGTTGTCGAAAACTTCGAGAGTTTTGCCGGCATCTAACTCCGGGTAGTATAAGCTGATGTGAATTCGAGACGTAAAGGCTTCGTCAAAGTCTCCAACACGATTGGTGGTCAAGAAGAGAATTCCGGCATAATACTCCATAACACGCAGGAAAACTAAGACGAGCAATTAGTTAGTATAATAGCGATGAATGTTCTGTACTTTGACGCACCTGCTACAAGTCCATTCCGCACAAAGTCCTCTTTGGTCCTCGCAGCCAAAAATACATCCGCCTCATCGAGAAGAAGAATGCAATCCCATCTATTTGCCAGCGCAAAGTTTGTTTCTAGAGCTTTTTCGACTTCTGCTGCAGTTGTGCCGAGATCACCTAGTAACAGAGGCACGTTAGCCATCGATCAAACACGACCGTGTAAAGATTTACATACCGCACGTAATTTGGAATAACGGCTTCTTAAAAAGTTCTGCTATTCCCTCTGTTTGATACACATCATGTCAGCAAGATGAACTTTAGGTGGACAAAATGAATTGGAATTACGAACCAGCAGTCGATGTTTTACCCACTCCGGGCGCGCCATGAAGAAGCAAAATTAATCCCTTTCCTGTAAAAGCTGTCAGTTGATTGTATATAATAAGCATTCATTTGGAGATTACCTTTGCCTTTGACAATGTCAAACTGCTGTTGTTGTCCGCTTGACGACTTTTTGTCTCGGAAATGCTGGGCAACAAGTGACACAATCATGGACCTATGCTCTTTCTCGATAACCAGACGATCGAAAGCGGTTTTGGGCTTCTTATTGTCAGTACTGTTGCGTGCTCTCTCATCAGCCAACACGGCCGACGCCTCTGGCGCATGTATCGCCGTCATGTACGTGAGATCCAATTTAGCTAAAGGCTTTATATCAGCAAACAACGACAAGAAGTAGGAAATTTTGACTGCTTACCCCATTTGCGGTTACGTAGAACAAAGCCAAAGACACGATACGACATGATAACTAATTCCTCGTCTGTAACGTAGGGGCCGTTTTCAGAACCAGCCGCCCTCAACTCTTTCAAGGACCGTGGGAAAACGGCAATAGAAGGTTGCTCGTTCAAAGCTGTTATCCTGGGTAAAAGACTATTGAGATATTCTGTTTTCTGCTGGTCGTCTATATGCGTGTCGTCGTATACAACATCGCCTTCGCAGCAGCGTCCGCGACAACGAGCATCGGCCGTATCATCATCATCGTCCGCCGGGGGATTTCCAATGAGGGGATGCAAGATTGGCTTCCACTGCTTCTGGACCTCATCTTCCACAGAAAAGGCTGTTTCGAAGTCGATGACTACCTGCCCTTCGACATCATCGCGTACTTCGAGTGTAGGCCCAGCGTAGTACATGTGCTTGACGGCGGCAACTTCGAGAAACATGGCTCCCCGTCGTATCAACATTCGTCTGTGCTTCTGATGCTGTGATAGACCTTCATCTTCTGACCACAGCGAATCATCGAGGTCGGATTGCTTAACAGGATGAAAGCGAAGAGGATAAACTTCAAGTAAAGTAATATCCTTCTCGCCATCGAACCTTTTGAAGTCAAAGATTTTGGTTACTGGACCAATATTCTTTCCGTCAAAATCGATGTAGATACAGGTGATGCTGAAGGGTGAGGCTTTGCGCTTGTCATCCGTAATGTTGTTATACCACCTCTCCCAAGGTGCCGCAACTCGGTGTTTTGCGCTGGTGACGCCGATAACTCTGTAAACCTGCTTGCCATCGCTTCCGATAACTTCCATTCCAGGTCGGAAAAGTAACCAGAGATCCGAAAAGAACACTTTGCGGCATTCAGGCTCTCCGAGATGAAGAACCCTCGAGGAAACGTCTGAATCTATGAAATCGATAAGGCAACTTATATGCTCCAGTGCAGCCGGCGACTTTGTAAAGTTGTCAAGCTTTCCGTCTTCGTCTTCTTCATCTTCTGCCTTCTTTTCTTCCGTCTTTCCTTCTTCTTTCTTTTCTTCTTCTGTCTTTTCTTCTTCTGTCTTCTCCTCTTCTGTCCTCTCTTCATCTGCGCTTTTTCCTTCTGCTCCTTCCTTCTCCACTTTCTCTTTTTTTGCTGTCACTTCTTCCTTCACATCATGGTCCGTCTTGTCTTCAGTCTGTTCCACTGGCTTTTCAGCCGTAGGTTCTTCAGCAGGTGATTTTTCGACTTGAGAATCCTCTGCAGCCGGCGTCAGACTTGAGTCACCCTCGGTATCCCGTATCTCGGAAACACTTGGTTTGTTCTTCTCTTCATTCAGCTTCTGCGAGAGCTCAGCGTACCAGTCTAGCAGCGCAGGCTTGCAAAAGAAGAGGGCTTTGAATGGCCTCACGAAGACTATCGAGCGATAGTTCGAGTTAGTCAATACTTCATTCGCGTTTGACGAGAGAATTTTAGCGAGAATGTGACGAAGGATAGTCGAGTGGATTCGTATTCTCTCAGGAAGAGCTCCTTGGCGATTTTCATTCGTTTCGTGCGTCTTGCCATCCAAAACAAGTTCCGTCTTACGCTTTCGACCTTTACCAAAGCCATACCACCGCCGGTAATCTCTGGCATCATCATCGACAATGGGATCGCCTATGAGAATATCAATGGCACATGACTCCTCCTCTATCATCGATTCCATGGCTTTGAAAGCCGCCCAGCTCACCCGAGTGAGCTTCGGCTTTGCAAAGACCCGCTCTGTGTCTTTGTCGGGTTCAGCTTTCCCGGGTTCCTCAAGTTCGTCGTCTCTCGGAACTTTATGCTTCTTTCTTTTTTCGGACTCTTCTATTAGATAGAGACGATCCATTTCCCATTCAAAGTTCTTACGGAGCCGCTCACGGCGGTGGCCATAATCGATTTCGCGGTCAAACTCCTCATAGGCATCAGCCTTCGCATCCGCATCCACAGTATCTTTTAAATCCACGCAGCTATGAGATGGATTAAAAGGATTTGGCCGTTGGTAAACTTCATCGTTGCTTAGTTCCCAGCGGCGATCAGATCTTCCGTTCCTAAAATAGTCGTTGAATGACCATAGGTTCCACCCTCCAGGCCCTACATTCACCTCCCACTCCTTTCGGTGCTTATAAAGGCAATCTTCCATTCGTTTGTACTGTTCTCTTTCAATTTCTCTTTCTGATGGCGGATTTTCTTGTTCGAGATTTGTCGATGAAGCGGCTTTGGCATGCTGTTCGAGTTCGAGAATCTTCTTCTTTAGAGTCTCGATGTCGTCGACGAATCTGGCAACTCCTTGTGCAGCAGGCTTGTTATCATCTCCAATTACATCGCCAACTTCACCAAAGCCAGCATTCCCACTGTGAGTTTCATCTTGACTTGAGGCCAACAGAGTCGAAGTCATGGTCGAGGTAGTATCGACGGTCTTTGACTCATCGGCCTCTGAGAGAGGGCCGTTAAGACTCATTCTCGATGCTTAGTAAACTGCAAGCCCCAACGAGGCCATACAACGCAGCGATGATTTGTGTATTGCTTCACTGAGCCGGCATTTGCGAATGGTTCATCGACGAGTGAGAAGTGTTGAATGCAAAAGAGTCAATATATTCTGAACTAAAGATAAGTTTCTGGGGACAACCACCAAAAGAGCCTCAAGTAGGAAGCGCTTAACATTCTAAAATTAGGCGAATCAAATCCTACACACCACGTTCGCAGACATTTGGGGGCGAAATGTCTGGATAAGCAGCTAGTTTGCTATGCGTGATCCCACAGCAGTTCTAATGGATTGCTCAGCCCCACGAATTCCCACAATATCCGTCTCGGAAAACCACACCCATGCAGCACGGAAAACATCTCAAAACTACAGGTAGCTGTCGAAGAA